GACAAAGAAGCTTAAGCGAGTCAACAACCCCATCTGGGACAATGGTTCCAAGGAAATTCTCATCACGGATCGCAAGAGGGCAAAACTTGGCGTTACTATCAAGGATGACCGAGACCTTGCCTCTGACTTGACTCTCGGAAAATATCAAATTAAGCTCGATGACCTACTGGAATGCATGGAACAAGGTAAAGAATGGTATCACCTCGCAGGCGCTCAAACCGGCCGCGTCAAGATGATGGCGCAGTGGAAGCCAGTGGCCATTTCAGGTGTAGCTGGCACCGGTGGCTACATCACACCAATTGGCGTCATGAGGCTTCACTTCCAGAAAGCAAATGATCTCCGTAACTTTGAAGCTTTTGGCAAATCCGACCCATATGTCCGAGTTCTTCTTTCTGGTATTGACAAGGCGCGAACGGTAACTTTCAAGAATGACCTGAATCCTGTATGGGATGAAGTTCTCTACGTTCCTGTTCATTCCGCTCGAGACAGACTCACTCTTGAGGTAATGGATGAGGAGAAGGTTGGCAAGGATCGTTCCCTCGGATTGTGTGAAGTTTCTGCAGCGGATTATATTCAGCAAGATGAACTTGGCGAGTATCTCGTGCATGACACAAAGCGCGTTTTCCAAAGTGAACTTCGCATTCACGGAAAGGGCATTTCCAAAGGTACACTGACTTACACCGTTGCGTTTTATCCCTGCCTCAACATCGCCGATCCAGAGGAGGAGGAGGAGGAAGCGGCAGAAGCTGCTGCTGAAGAAAATGGCTCGGAGCCCAGAGCCTCCATCGACAGACCACTAAGCTCCGCCTCTAAATCTGCACCAAAGGCATCTCTCGACGCATCCAGAAAATCAGTCGATGTGTCCAGGAAATCGGTCGATACGGCTAAATTGAGCGCTGCTACAGGAGAGGATGGCCGGCCGATCTCGCCGGCGTCGATGAGGTCGTCGATGTCGGTAGAGAAGAAAGGACCGCCCAAGATACGGCTCAGCCCCGAAGAGTTGCTTAGATATGAGAGTGGCGTTCTCATCTTCAGACTATTGGAATCGGAGATGCCCGAGAGGGATAGCCAACTGGAGATTTACGTAGACGACATGGCCTACCCGTCCTATACATCCACAATAGTACCATCAAAGTCGCACAAGTTTGACGAGATTGGCGACTGCATCATCCGGGAGCTCGACTTTTCTCGTTTGACGATCAAGGCGCGAAAGAAGGGCGATGATGCTGAGGATACTCTGGCGTACTTGTCTGGCAATACGTTGGAGACTTTGAAGCAATGTCTGGTAAGTCGAAGCAATGCGTTGTGCCTTTGTCCCACTCAGATGGATGTTTCACTCGTGTACTCCCTATTCTCATCCCCTTGACCATGATCACAATATACTGTGTAGAAAAATGTGTTGACATCATATACAGAACAACCCCACAACATTGAAGCTCAAGAGCGATGATGGCAAGTCCAGCTGGGTCAAGGTTAGCCTCAAGTATATCCCCCTCAAGATGGATCTGGACCCCAGCGAGAGCATCAACAACATGGGCAACCTCCGTGTCGATGTCTTGAGCGGCACAGACTTGCCATCGGCCGACAGGAACGGAAAGAGCGACCCTTACTGCAAGTTCGAGCTGAACGATGTGGAAGTATACAAGACCAAGGTGCAGAAAAAGACGTTGTCGCCAGTATGGAACGAGTTCTTCGAGGTCTCTGTGCCATCGAGGACAGCGGCCCAGTTTGTTTGCAACGTCTACGATTACGACTTTGCGGACAAGCCTGATTTCCTGGGCGCCACCGTCATCAGACTGGACAATCTCCAGCCTTTCAAGGCGATGGAGCAGAGCTTCCCGCTGGATGGCAAGTCGGGAAGCATTAAACTCCGAATGGTTTTCCGTCCCGATTACGTTACTCGCGCCAGACAAGGCACATCAACATTCCAGGGCACCTTTGGCGGCACCTCTCGCATCGTTACTGGAGTAGCCGGAGTGCCGTTCAAGGGAGCCACCGCCGTAGGTCACGGCGTGGGCAGGGGCGCCTCGTTCTTGAAGCGCGGCATCCTCGGTAAAAAGGATCGAGATGACCCTAACGGCTCGTTGTCGGAGCTCACAGAGGTGCCTACAGTACCAAGCATCATTACCAACGGCAGTGATTTCGCCGTCCGCAACAGCAACTCCAACCCCAGCACCAGGCCAACAACCAGCGCCGTGGATAGCTCTCGGGATGTCCCTCCGCATCTGACACCCGAGGGTTCTGGTCATAACAGAACCAGGAGCTTCGGCAGCTCTTCGGTGCACAGCGCCATGGGCTTTGGAACTCCCACCGGAACAGCAACGTTTACTGTTGTTGGCGCTTCTGGGTATTCTCAGTCCACGGACCTGTACATCCTCATCACACAGATCTCTCCAAGGGAGAAGATTGTTGGCAAAACGAAGCACTACAAGTCGCCCACGGGGCAGTGGGCCTTTGACGAGACGTTCCGCTTCAGCTGCACTCCTGATGCACAGTTCAAGATTGAGGCTAGGGGCGAACATCTGTTTGGCAGCGATGATGGTCTAGGAGAGCATTTCTACTTTGTTGACGAGACTGGTAGCGCAGGTGCAAAGGATCTCACCGTTGGCACCGGCACGGTGACAGTCAAGAGCTCTTTCCAACCTGCGGAGGAGAAATATCCCGACAGCCCCAAGTCTTTCTCACGACGGGGCTTTCTGAGCAAGCGAGAGGCGCGGAGTCGGGACCCAACGCCAAATCCTTGAGCTAACCTTTTGGCAACGAAGCTTGATTTAATCCTTCCAGTTCCTCCCAAGGCTCTCATGGGTCTCCATTTGGGACCGAGTTATCTGTATTTGCTTTACAAGTTGCTTCCAACGCAATGTCACAGCCGTATCTTCGCTCTCTACGTCGGCTTCAACTGTTCGCTTGCTTCTTGTCGTTTTGTTTCGACTCTTTTTCTTTATGAAATTGCAGCTCTGTATTATTTGTTATAGTCTATCTGCCTGGAGTCTGAGGTGATGAATGGGGGGAATCGGTATGGGGATTCAATGTATATGTATATAAGCAGTGCGGGTCAGGCGAGGTCAAATGGGACAGCGAATTCATTTTATTTTATCTATTTTAATTTTGGATAGTCAGTCCCAGTAATCGCATCTGAAGTTTTTGATTCAATGTTCTCTTTTTTTTCTTTCTTTTTTTTTTATTCAGCATCTATTATCGTTCAACCATGCATAGGTACTTGTAGACTGTCGTTGTTTGCCGATGGACTAAGTCGTCAGGCAACAAGGCCGCCAAAAAAATCACTGTGAGTAACTTAGTCAGCACGCTCGAGATAATGGCCAATCAGAAGCTCATGTTGCTCGAAAGAGAGCAGTGACGCGCGATACGGAAGCTGCCTGACCTGGTACTCTAGAGGTACTCGGAACGAGGGGCGTCTTTTGGCCTTTCAATTCTCAACCACGAACCGCCAAATATCACAATCGCCAGCTCGACAACTGCGGGCTGCACCCTTTTGGAATTCTGCCTCAGCCTGCAAGAGTCCGCGGAATTTGCTCGCAGCGGAACTGAGGGCATTGATTTGATTTGATCTGATTTGATCTCGACTTGTGGCCTGGAGGGGTCTTTTCTAAGCATCACATCGCACATAAACCACTACCGTCTTCTTCTCTTCGCAGACACGGCACGATGGATTCTCTCGTGGCCAAGTACAGCCGGCCGGCGTTTTCGCAGAACGAGCCTCTCGAGGATGACGAGCTCAGCAATGAGCTGATGAACCCAGCCGATCACTTGTCGCTCAACTTTGCCATGCCGCCCATTGCCCAGGTACGTTTGTTGGTTTCTACTAGCCATAGCTTCGGTGATATGGCTTCTGTGTGTGACAATGACGAGTAGGAGCTGACCCTTGATGCTTTCCAGCCCTCTGCATGGCTCCGCGCTGCCACCGACGACCGCTCCAACCCCGACTGCCCCATCAAGATTGCCCACGGAACGACGACGCTTGCCTTCCGCTTCCAGGGCGGCATCATCGTGGCCACTGATTCGCGAGCCACGGCCGGCAACTGGATCGCCTCACAGACGGTCAAGAAGGTGATTGAGATCAACAGCGTGCTGCTGGGAACCATGGCCGGCGGCGCCGCAGACTGCCAGTACTGGCTGGCCTGGCTGGGCATGCAGTGCCGCCTCCACGAGCTTCGCCACAAGCGCCGCATCAGCGTCGCCGCCGCCAGCAAGATCCTGGCCAACCTCATCTATAGCTACAAGGGCATGGGCCTCAGCATGGGCACCATGTGCGCCGGCGTCACCAAGGAGGAGGGCCCGGCCCTGTACTACGTCGACAGCGACGGCACGCGGCTGTCGGGCAACCTGTTCTGCGTGGGCAGTGGACAGACGTTTGCCTATGGCGTGTTGGATTCCGAGTACAAGTATGATTTGACCGACGAGGAGGCCTTGGAGCTTGGCAAGCGGAGTATCCTGGCCGCGACGCACCGTGATGCGTACTCTGGTGGATACATCAACCTGTACCACGTCAAGGAGCAGGGCTGGGTCAAGCACGGCTTCCTCGACACGAATCCCATCTTTTGGGAGACGAAGCTGGAAAAGGGCGAGTTTTCAAACGTCACGAGCGCGCTGGCGTAGAAGTAGTGAGAGATGGGGGGTTTTTAATTTTAAAGCATGAGAATAAGAATTGAATGGGACCCGATGAATCTTTGTATTGCAGTGATGAGAGAAGATGAAGAAAGTAGTAGATCAACAAGAAACAAATGATTTTCTGTCCTCAACTCAAAAAAGAAAGAAAGCTCAAAGTATGATGGGGATATGGCTAGAGCGTTAATTCTGTCTAATATATGCATAGCCACCATATAACTCGTATCGTACAGAATATAGAACAAAGGGAAACACGCATACAGGCTATATATATCCAACTTTCAACACCTCAGCGCAAGGGGTATCATCACCATCATCTCAAACAAGTAGCTCGTTTCTCATTTGACACAAAGAGCCAACTACTTTACTCCTCCTCACTCTCTCGTCCACCCGCCAGCGCCCAGAATCCCGCCCCCAACATCCGGATCCATGGGCCACTTTGCAATCGGCCGCACGGACAGCTCGGTCCTGTATCCCGCCTCGAACATCTCCATGCCGGCCCAGGCAATCATGGCGGCGTTGTCGGTGCACAGCGCCAGGGGCGGGGAGACGATATGCATGTGGGCGAAGCCCCTCGCGGCGAGAGTCATGCGCAGGACGTGCATGAGGAAGCGGTTGCTTGCGACGCCGCCGGCCACGACAATGGTTCTGATTGCTTCGTTTTCGGGGGAGGAGGATGAGGATGAGGAGGGCTGGAGAGAGGGCGAGTCTTGGAGGGCGAGGATGAGGCGGCTGGCGAGGTGCTGGAAGGCGGCGCGGAGGGTGTGGCGGGCGAGGGCGCGGCGTTCTTCGAGGGGCATGTTGTCAGAGGAGGAGTCGAGAGCATTTTCACAAACGTCGTTGGTGGTGTTGCGGTTGTTTGCGGCGGCGGCAATGTTGTGAACATGCGAATGGATGCTAGAAAACGAGTACGCAAGCTTCCTCGAATTACGAAACGGCAGCGGAACAGCCCACCCATACCCAGACGGAACCTCCTGAATCTCGTCCTGTCGAGAAGCGGCCGGCGTGAAGAAGGCGTCGTAGTCAGCCGGCGTGTCTGCCCCGGGGGGGAAAGCAAAGGCCTCGAGCAGGCGGCCGTACGAGACGTCCGGGCTGGACTCGAGGAGGGCGGGCGGGAGGATGACGCGGGCGGTTTGGTCGAGGAGGTTGCCGATGGCGATGTCGCCTGTTGTGGCGAGGATGCGGTGGTTTGTGAGGGTGGTGGAGAGGATGAGCTGGGTGTGGCCGCCGGAGACGAGGAGGGAGAGGAAGGGGAATGTTGGCGAGGGTGACGGTGATGTTGATGTTGATGTTGATAGCATCTCTTGTCCCCCTTGATCAATCTCCAAAGCGTCAACCAGGCGCGGCGTCAAGGCATGCGCCTGCATGTGATGAACGCCCACAAAGGGAACCTCCCACGCCAGCGCCAGCCCCTTTGCAACGTTCAATCCCACCGACAAGTTGGTCATGATGCCCGGCCCGCGCGTAGCGCAAACAAAGTCCGGCACCCTAATCTTCTTCTTCTTCTTCTTCCGCCTCTTGTCATCCGTCACAACGACGCTGCTGCTGCTCCCTTTGCTCGCCACTCTAGAAGAACCAGAGCCAACACCAGCATCATCAACGGCGTCCTCACTCTCCCTCAAACTCTCCAACGCTCTCTTCACCAGCGGCCCCAGGGCAGTATTGTGTCCCTCCACCGTCACCATCGGATGGATCCCCTTGAACGCCCGGTTATCCGACGAAACCCGCTCATTGAAGAGCAGCCTCGTCCTCCCTCCCGCCGACTTCTCGAGTACCGCCACCGCCGTGTCATCGCACGACGTTTCAATCGCCAGAGTGACCAGAGAGCGCTGTTTCGTCCTGGTCCTAGAGGCATAGACGGAGCGGCTGAGGATTGAGACGCCGTGTAAAGTGAGCCGGTGGGGGAAAGCCGTGGGATGGCATCTTGGTGGGAGCATCTCTCTCTCTCTCTCTCTCTCTCTCTCTCTCTCTCTCTCTCTCTCTCTCTCTCTCTTGTAGGCGCCCCCCGAGTATGTACCTTAAATATGTAATTTTTTAATAAACATCGATAAAGAGAAAACTTGGAGTTTAGGTTGAAAGTTGGTGCATCTAGCAGACGTTGGATTTCGGATCCGTCCCGGCAGAACATTCTTTTTTTCCACCACGGAGCCCGGGGCGGTGGGGCTCCGCTGTTCTCTGCTGGAAATCCCACTTCGACATTCATTTACACAATATCATCATGTTACTGTTCAGCACCAAATTTTCATGTGCAGTCACAATTTATTTTCTATACTATTGTATCCGATAACTAAAGGCTCTTCAAATGAGCAACGCCATTCTAATGCATTTTTTAAACTCAACGCGCAAATATTCCATATATCCAACCCATTTTCATCACATGGTCCCCCATTAGAATACATTAATGAAAAGAGGAAAGAAAATAGAGAGAAAGAAAGAAAGAAAGAAAGAAAGAAAGCCATTGGTTCATATACACATGTCCATAGTGTCGTCGTTATAGGCTGCTTCATTCCCAATTCACCCATTCGCACTTGCAACCTCCAGTGCCTCCATCGAATCCTCCAAACTTGGCATTTCCGGTGCCCCTGTGGTTGATCCATGTCCCTCCAGCATCCATCTTGTTGACCAATAGATCTGGAGCACTGGTATTCAGCTTTTGACGGTCGTCCATGGGCCACTCCCAGACGACTTTGTGGTTGGGATCGCCGCCATGGGTGTCCAGAGTCACAGTCACCGGATATGGCATTGTCCCAGGCTTAATGAGCTCGGTGGAGTTATCAATTCCCTTGGTACCATCCGCCGTCAGCAACGACGCTGTGCTGTTCAGTTTCCGCGTCCAAACTTGCACAAGCATACGTGTCTCGGCCCAAGTGACGAGGTGGTTGGCCTCGGTTTCGCTGCTGCCACCATCTTCATCCACCGGCACGTTCCCTTGGCTCGAGCCATTCAGAACCGTGACAGACTTGAGGAAGATAGTTCGTTGGAAGTATGTGTAAAACCCATAATGCTCGGTCGGCAAGCCGCGGTCAAACAATCGAACAGGCTGTTGAACCGGATTAGGGAGCATCACAGCAGGCGCAGGTGTGCCATCTTCCTGCAAGTCCGGCGGGAAAATGATGTCCGAAATGTTGGCGTCCGCAGCAGTAGTAGCTCGTCGACTCAGAGTTGGCGACTTGACCGTGTCATTCAACGACTCAAGGATGCTGATGAAAAAGGGCGTCGGCTCTCCTGCCTTTTGACTGGACTGGATATTATCGGTAGTCTCGCCCAAGAACCACATCTCTTGGAAAGTCGGCGGGCTAGGGTCTGGATTGAATCCATCAATTGAAGAGTTACCGTCGCTCGTGTCTCTTTGAGAAATAGCTGTTGGCGGGGTGCCGTTGGGAATGTTCCAGCCCCTCTTTGTACTGTTATCCCACTGAATTTGGAAGATAAGGGTTGGTTGATTTGGCTGAAAGGGCAAGACAGACGCCTGGGAATCTTTCGGCAAAGAACAGCTCCAGAGGGTCGATGGCTCAGTGCAGTCGCTCTTGGCGATAGTGTTGTTCGGGCCAACAAAGGTCAGCACCCCCGTTGGCATGGCGGGATAGTCCGTGAGATTAACCCATATCGACGAGGGTAGTATCGGAGCTGAGGGCGTCGGGGATGATGTCGAGGGCGGCGGGTCCTGTCCAGACGTTTCGGTTTTGTTACCCGATCCGTGATGCCTTCCAAGGACGACGCCCAATACAACAGCCAAAATAATGATGAGGAGTAAAAGAATGCAAATGATACACAGCCAAATTCTTCTCTTTTTACGTCCCTCAGGCCCAGGGCGGCCAAAACAGCCCTTCTTTGGCATGCAACCTCGGCCTCTCCAGAAGCCACCTGCTCGCCTTGCCGCCATTTCTTCCTTCTCGTGTCGTCGCCGTTTCCGCTCAATTTTGTACTCTTTGCCTGACAGTTGGTCGGCATGCGACTGGGATAGAGATGTTCCAACAGGGCGAGCAGGTAGAGGCTCTGCGTATCCGTGCTCCAAAACGGGAGATCCGACTCTTGCCCAATGCCCACTATCGGGGTGAGTTTCATTGATTGTCAGATATGCTCTCTCTGGACTTGCTGGCATAGGCCCGGGGCCTCTTTGCTCTTCTAGCATGATCTCGATCGGCTGTACAGAGCGAGCGTCACCGCCGCCGCGGCGTTGATCAACGGGAGAGCGCTGCCGAGACAGCACCGACGACACAAAGTTGCTTGCAGCACGGACATGTCGCGGCGCCGTTCGCGAGCCTCTCTCCATGGCAGGCGATTTCGATGAGGTTGGTGATACGGAGAACCTACTCTGTTGCTCTGAGTTGTGATTTGATTGGGCCACAGTAGATCCTTGTGTCTCTCGACTGTGTTCTGATCGCTGAATTCCTGCTGATCGGGATATATCGGTCGAGGCACCCTCAAAATTACGGGAGGAAAGGGAGACATCTCCCGTTCGCATCGAGGCCGTAGCCTTGCTGGTAGTGTTGTGGGCTTCCCTTGTAGATCTTTGAGCTTGTTCGATGCGGTGTGCATCTTGTGAGGACATGGTACTTGTGCGAGAGAGGGATGTGGCGACCACATCAGACTCTTGACTAGCTGCTCGTGAAGGTGCCGCTGGTTCTCTCGTTGCTGCGGCAGACAAGATTGGCTTTGCTGCTATGAGTGCTACAGCAGCGATGGGTGCCGCTGCCGCGATTGGCGCTGCAATTGGCAACGTCTTTGTTGACTTGGTTGACGCTGTGGTCGATGTCGTGGTCGACGCTACAGCCTTTCTTGTCGTTGTTGACATCGCCGACGTAGCTAGATTGGGCGCCTCCCTTGCTTCTCTCGGGGAGAACTGGGTATTCAAATGATGGTCCGGCGGGAAGACCGCTTGGTATTTGATACCATCCCCGGCCTGTTTCTCTGGGGAAGAAGAAGGGGGATTACGCGCTGCCAAGTTGGTTATCCCCAGGCCGTGGACCATCTCACGGGTATCTGAGCTATCGTGCTTCAAATCACCCCGTACCGATTCAGCTACAACCTCAGCCCTAGAGACATTTCCGCGGGGTGATGGCGTCCGCCGGGGAGTAGGAATCCTTATGGTAGGCGTCGAGTCCACCGCTACACGATCAACAACAAACTTCTGCTTCTGTTCCCCGGTATTAATCTCAATATGGACCACGATGGGTCGTTCAGCTTCTCGTACCACTACCTCCCTTGGCGGTGGAGTCTGGCGAGGTGTCGGCATCCTGATAATTGGGGTCTGGGTTTCCTTCCATTGAGGCCTGGGTGGAGGGGTGAGATCGCGTTTCGAGGCATGTTTCGGCTGATGGTCAGTTGATGAGGCGGCTGATGAGGTTTTGTGCTCCTTTAATTCGATAGAGGTAGAGGTGAAGTCATATCTGTGGACTTCTTTGGAAATTGACGTTTCCAGGGAAGTCACATCACGACTCTCGGAGGACATTTGCTGGTGAACACTGGACTTGGATGTAAGCGTTGAGCTCTCGCCCACCGTGTTAGGCTTATCCAACGGCTTCAATTCCTCATCTGCCTCAAATGTAATCAGGATATCAGAATTTCCAAATCCATCACTGTACAATTGGTTTTCCGGGCCCTTTCCTTTGACACTTGTCGGCATGGGGCCTCCAGGAGAAGACTCGGATGGACTCTGCTCCCTTTCCAACATTGACAGCCCCAAGATAGCACGGCCGCCTTCAAGGGGAGAAGCTGTGTCTTTTGCTTGTTGCCCTTGCCTTTCCACGGGCGAGAAGGTCTGTTTCGCTTCGATCCCGGACTTTGGGGTTTTCCAGGACTGTGGACTCGCAATGTATTTTGGAGTCAACATTGAACCCTGGTTGTCCGCAGATCTGGCCATCTGGTGGGCTCTTTCATCCAAAGGTGACTCCATCTGCGTTCTTCGACTCGCAAAAGACATTTTTTTGTCTAGAAATGGTGTGACCAAGTGGTGGTCCCACCAGCCACGCACGCTCTGAGGAGTGAGCGCAGAGAGTTTACTGGCAGGAGATTTCAAAGGAGTGATGCCATCCTCTTCAAACAGTGTGCATGGTGTTCCAGACTCATCTTCCTCTTCCGCGTTCCTACGGCGTTCTGGACCGATGAAACGTTGATGCGCCGCCGTCATTCTCTTATAATTGTCGGGGACAGCAGGAACAGGAGGTACTTCGTTATCTCTAGGACCATAGCCCATGACTGGTGCCATAGATGCTTGCGAGTACACACTTGAAGGGTATCTAACTGTGCTAAACGAGCTTGCAGTCTCAGGCGTATCGGGCGACCAGACCGACATGAGCTGATGAGATTCGGCGGGCGCATTCGCTCTGTCGTTGCTAGCCTGAAATGTAAAGGGATATGGATTTCTCATGCCGCCTGGGGTATCAATGTTGTTGACTGTTGCCGTGAGAGGGTCGATTCCTCGGCTTGTCACTTCATCGGAGGGTAGTGTAATCCCAATCACTATCGGCCTGTCTTCTGGAGAAAGCTGTTCGGCTGGAGAACGAGCGGCCTGCATCGGGGAATCGGCCACACGACCCGCATCATCTTTATTTAACCAGTTCCAATTTCCAACGGACTGCGGGTTTGGAGATCCCTCTAGAGCTCTTAGAGCAGCCGCGTCAACAAACTTTGGGGCTCGCCTTGCGGGTGACTTTGCTTGTCCAGCTATGTGATTTTGGCGCCTCAGCTTCGTCATGTCGGTGATCAACTTGATTCCCAGCTTTGCGTTCCGCTGTTTCGGAGGTTTCCTTGATATTGGACGGTTGATCTTGCCAGCTGAGCGTCTCATAGACAACTTTACGCTTGTGTGTTTGGGCGGGTTCGTGAGGAAATAAGCTGGAGTAGGTGGCGGAGCCAACAGGCCGGGTTGGACAGCGGCATCGATGGGCGTGATGTCCTCGTCAGAGCTGACAGATACGCTGTCGCTTTCCAATGGAGATGGGCTGCGGGTATTCGCAGCAGAATTGCTTGCGCTCATATCTAAAAAGGCGCTGTTGAAGAGAAGTTTCTTGTTGTCGGAGTTATCAGCGGACGGGGTTTCGCCGACATCTATTAGCGTAACAACATCATCGTCTTCCCAGTCTTCCCAATCGTCCGCTTGGTGGCTTTTTGAAGAAGTATAGGAGGTGTGACGAAGTATCGCAGCCCGTGATGACAACCTGCTGCCATTCACAGGCTCCGCAAGTTTGCCGTAGTTGGACATGTTAGATGATGTAAAGGGCAAGCATTCGGAGCGGACGCGTGATCGTGACGTCGTGGTGTACGTCGTAATTAGTCGTGATGCGCTGAAGAGCAATAAAAATTAAGAAAAAATCAAGGTATAGCTATCACAAGCACCAGGCAGGTGACGGCGAAATAAGTCTCGTCAACGTATCAGGGACAAAGAAACAGGATATACAGAGAACACAAGAGAGGTGACGTGAACGAGAGCAAGCAGAAAACAACGCCGATCCCAATAATGAACACCCAACAATCGATAGTCAACTATAGATGACAATCGGATCTGTTTGAGTACAAAATAGAACAGAAGGAAGAAAGTGAAGGCAGAATGATTGATAAAGAAGAACAATCAGCGGACAATAGCGGCACAACAGGAACCGGCCAGCAGCAGCTTCTCCACCCTGCCTCCCCGGCCCGGTTCCAAATCTGGCCATTCCATTGCATTCTTGATCCTGTCCATCTCTCGTTGACCTGGTAAAGGCTCCCGTGTGGCGCGTTTCCGCATGCTCGCTGTCGGAGCCTTGAGCTCAATGGCGATTCTGGCTGGCGGATTGGTTGGTGGAGTTGCAGCTTGCAAGTATGAAATAGACGCCGTGTGAGCGGGTATGCGCGAGGTGATTGGCTGTGGACGTCTGCGCTACAGGCCTGGGTCTGCTGATTGGCCGCTTGTCGCCTGTTGGGCGGCTAAAGCTTGGCCACTGCGCAACACCCGCTGTGGGACTTTCAGGGGTGTGGCGGGCTGCTAATCTGGATTGGCAAAAACACCAATAATTTGAAGGTCCATTACCCTGGAACTGCCTGGTTGCGTACAAGTAGGGAATATGCACGACAATGGTGTGATCGATGCGACACTGGAGCAAGGCCGATGCAAAATCAGGATATCCATGCATCATTTATCCACGTCTTGACCTAGGAAGCGCTTGAAACATGCGATTCTCTGGTGTTCAAGCTAAAAACAGAAGCTGTATCCTCGTAAGTCTACTCTGGATTCAACCTAGACAAATGTCGGTCAATATAACCAAACCACACTTTACGGCAACAAAGTAATTAGATCAACTAGGTACTACGATGCTATCTTGGTGTAAAGATATGCAAAACCAATGCCAATCATGGAAGCAACACACAGTAGTCAACTGGTGCCACAATATGAGCGTGACCCGACACAAGACATGGCAGAAATGGCAAGTCAAGACGAAGGGCACACGTAGGTACGCACGTTTGATACACGTCTCAGCCACCCCAGGACCTGCAGGTACTTGTGTTGTGCGTGAATCACTGCCCACGGAGATATCGGGAATGTAGCTGGTATCAAATATTGGATTGGCCAGGCATTTATAGTGCTCTCTGCGATACCAAGGTAGAGGAGGCAGCGTTAAACTCTGGTTGCTTCTCGTTCGCTTATACTATTTGCTACTCTAGGCACTCTGCGTAAGTACCTAAGTTGTCAGGCGAGGATAAACGTGTAAATGACGGAATCCATTAGTAGCGTCCACAAGAAACGAAAAAGTGACGTCTTCCCGACGGATCTCGGATCTGGTCACAATAAACATTTAGAAAAAGGCGGGGGAAAGCTTTCACGCCACACGCAGACGTGAAGAAGGCTGAACTCTGTCTTTGATGCATGATTTAGCGTACGCTATCAAGAAGTTTAAGCATCTCCATCAGCCTGGGGCTTCGTATAGCTCTAGCTCTGCTCTTCAGCATCAAAAGCGGCAGCTGAGCGCCGTGGCGCGAGTTAATATTGGCAACATGAGATCGACGGTGTTACCTGGAAGAGTACATGTAAGCTGACGGGTTGTCTGCCCCGTTGTTAGGGCCGGTGCTGGAGCGCTGCAGCTGAGAGCGTTGTAGACCTCATACTTGCACCTTACGGAGAACAGACCTTTCGCCTACCTGAGAAATACGAGAAAAGTCCATTTCCCAGTTTGATGCCTGCTATTGACCAAGAAAACGCATTACACGATCCCTAGCTGGCTGTTTTTACTTTCCACTGCCTGGAAACGAGGTGTTCGTCAAACCTTGCCCCGGCATGGAAGATTAGTAATACGAGGATATCCATGTCCTGTCAAAGCCAAGAAAAATGCTTGGCTTGACATCAAATTTAACGCCATACCGCTAACCCGCAAGAGGACATGCCAGCAACCACGACTCGGTCTCCTCCGAACTGGCTCACGCAGTCAATCAAGACCCACGATGAACGCCTTGATTCTGAGCTAAGCAGTGGGAGTGGGATGGACACATGCGCTACGAGATGGTGCGAATTACCTGCTGGAGGGATGCGGATTAGGGGATCCAATCCATTGTATCGAGTGCCTGCGCCGGCGCGGAACAAGACCGGCCGCATACGAGAGACTTCACTAAACTATTGGGTCTGTACGAACCTACCAAGTACGAAGTACTCCGCAGTAATATTGGACGAAGGAGAAAATCTCGCAATGGAATTCCTTGATTGGCTTCGCTGGCCGGTGCGCCCCTGAGAGACGCAGGGCAGAAGCTGAGGATGGATGGACGGCTGGCCAAAATGCTGCTTGTGTGCATCGGCCAGTGGCAATCGCAATCGCAATCGCAAGGAGCATGGTTCATCAATCTTAAAATTTCCTCATCCCCGGTAGCGGCTAATAATCCTCCTTATCGCGCGATGCCAGGCACCAAACGCACGGGTACGGGTACGGGTACAGGTACGAGACACGAGACACGAGCTTCGAGTCTTGTGTGCTCGTTGCACGGCGATTCAGCAGGCGGGCTAGACTCGAGATAACATCAATGCTGCTGTCCTTTTTTTTGGTTCCCGTAACCGTCGCACTCGAGACCGATTTTGTGGCCGCTTGCAGTTGTGTGTCCGAACACGCGAGAATGAAAAAACTGCTACCAGAAAAAAAAAACCAACAGACGGAATTGTTCAGCCCGTAACAAAAACCAAGCAAGCAGACAAACCAAGGGAGACAATGACAAAGAAAGACAGAAAAGAAAATAAGCAAAAGACGCAATCCATCTCATGCATGATATTGCCTTGTTTGGTTAATGAGACTGTTAATTCCAGGTGCTTCTCGCAACTGCCACCGTACCATCGCCAGCGCAGATACGAGAAGTTCCCAAGCAAGGCGTGCGGCCCCCTTTTGCAGCAAAAAAGCATCCATCTCGATTCGCCCGTCCGATGATTGGCACCGTGTCATATGCAATGGAACTAAGCCACCGCCCAAGTCAAGCACGAGGGCCGTGCGTGGGAAAAGAGAAGGGAAAAACGCTTTGCTGCAGCAACGTTTCAGAGTAAGCGAGCGAGATGGGGAGAGAGAGAGATTCGGCTTCAGCACTCGTAGAATCGTCGTTGTCGCTGTCGTCTTTCAGCATTCATCTTTCGTTCCTGTATGTGTCTAATGTCCAATGTCAGGTAATACTTGGCGCCACTACGGAGTACAGTACCTTGATTCCTGTCCCTGGCGTCGAAATTCTCCCTTCTCTTGGTTGCGCCGTTGCAACAAGTCTGCAGCAGTACTTGTACCTGCTGGATACTGTGACTCGCCACGCCCGTCGGGGCTCTCTACATCGTACCGCCATGTACCCGGTACGCACTTGGCCTTATCAAGTATCGTCAGCACCATCGCAGCGCAAGTAGCCCCGTCCTGCTGCTACCGCACAGGCCCGCTTTGCGTTGTACCCCGTCGTTTTCGGCCAGCCGCCAGGTCGCCCTCTTTTGCGGCACTTGAGCAGCCAGGGGCACGGCGAGGTACTTTGCGCTCAGCCGCCCCTGGGTACCCGTACAAAGCCAAGCCCGAACCGACCTTGGCCCTACGGACCCTGTATTCAGACGTGCCAATAAACCGCCTCTCTTTTTTTCCTCGACCCCCATTCGACTATCCCATTCGATCCCATATCTCATACCGACATCTGGCCAGAACGCGAATTTGCTCAGCCAGCCTAGCGCTTGTGTCGCCGCCTGCGACAGTTGGTACCCGGTGTGGGTTTCGATCTCTGCTTTGGGGGCTTCTCTCACGATCTCTCTCGGGTCCTGTCAGAAGTCAGAAACCGCGCCCCTCCCCCTTCTGGAGCCAGTTTGTGTGTCGTCTGCCTCTCATTCTGCTCTGCATTGAGCTGCTTGCATTTTCTTTCCCTCCTCTCTCTCTCTCTCTCTCTCTCTAGCTCTTAGTGCGGCTCCGTATCAGGAAGCCCGCTTCTGCTTGCTGCCACGCCCGACTCCGTATTTCGACACCTGTCGAACTCTCGAGCTTCTCCCGCCGTCCGCACCACAGCTATTCACCCTGGCTTCCCAAAGGCACCCGGCCGGCTCCTCGAGCTCCTTCAACGACCGGCCTGTGCCGTCACATCACCGGCGGCGCTCTTCGGCTGGCAGCCACTCTCTAAGCGAGGTGCGCGCTGGTAACCTGCTGTCCATCCATCCTCGCACAGCCAACCAGGCCCAGCTGTCCCCTATCGTCGGTACGTCTTCCCATCGCCCGGCTCGGCTCCCTTGCAGGCTTCCCGCGTCGCCTGCCCTGCGTCATCTTGTGTCGCGCAAACTTGAAGTCGCTCGCTGGCTAATCTCTGTGTCCCCGTCGCAGGCACGCCCGCCGACCCAATGTCTCTGTCCCGAAGCCCGTCGCCTGTCCCAGGTGGGGGGTGGTCGAGTCCCGGCTTGAATATCAACAGCGGCCGCTCAAGTCCTTCCAATGCCGCCGGCAGCTCTTGGGAATCCGCCAAGATGAGGAAGCAAGGAGGTGCCAACGGCTACCCTTCCTTCTCGACGCAGAACCAGGGCTTCTTCACCCGACACATGCGCCGCATATCCAGTAGTCTGCCACGATTCAATTCTGGCCCGGGCAACACCTATGCCGAGAGGGAAAAGTATGAACGAGGAGGACACATCCAGAACGGCGGAAGGATACGATCCTTGGCTGCCCGCATTGGCAGGAGGCTCAAGTGGAGGCTTCTTCTTCCCCTAATCATACTTTCCACCATTGTGGTTTATTATGGCACCCGTGAGCAGAACCGTTGCGTCCCTTGCAAGTTGATGAGCTTTATTTTGCTAACGAGGGACTAGATGAGGCCCCTGGCTTCGTTCACTGGTGGCGACGGATTACTCTGGGCGGCGGCGGCGAGAAATTCGTCATAATTCTGGCTGCCAACGTCGGCGGAGGTGTCATGGAATGGAAGGGCGCTCGGGAATGGGCCATTGAACGAGACAGCGTACGCAACAAGCGGAAATATGCCACACGATGGGGCTACGACCTGGAAATTGTCGACATGAAGACCAAGAAGCGGTATGCCCACGAATGGCGAGAAAGCTGGGAAAAGGTCGACTTTATACGGACTGCGATGCGGAAATACCCCAATGCCGAATGGTGAGCAAGAAAAGAAGAAATCCCAGCACACAGGGGATACCCTTGTCATCTGTCTCGCAGTTTGACTAACACAACCAGGTTCTGGTGGTTGGATCTCAACACCTACATCATGGAGCCTTCATACTCTCTTCAACATCATATGTTTAACCACCTCGACCGCCACGTGTACCGCGACATCAACGTCTTCAACCCTCTCAACATCACCCATCCCCTCACGGATGAATATTTGGATGCAGACGCGCGAAGCCCCGTAGGCGATGGCAACATCAATTCCGTGAACCTTATGCTCACCCAGGATTGTTCCGGATTCAACTTGGGTTCCTTCTTCATTCGACGCAGCGCTTGGACTGAACAACTTTTGGATATTTGGTGGGACCCAGTGCTGTATGAGCAAAAGCACATGGAATGGGAGCACAAGGAACAAGACGCTCTCGAGCAACTGTACCGGACTCAGCCCTGGATTCGACAACACACTGGCTTCTTACCGCAGCGATTGATCAACAGCTTCCCTACCGCTGCGTGTGGAGACGAATCCGGCCAGAACAACACCAGGATACACTACAATGAAAAAGATCGCGACTTCGTAGTTAATATGGCTGGCTGCGAATGGGGCCGCGATTGCTGGGGTGAGATGTATCACTACCGGGAGTTCAGCTACTGGCTCAACCGAAACCCTTGGGAGCTCTTCAAGGAGGAGATTGTGGCCCTCATCTGGTACAAACTCACTGGCCAGAGAGTCAAGCTATAATCTGCCATTCATCTTGCACTAGCAACGGGGTCGACAGTTTGGCTTGCCCTTTTCACATCTTGTGCTGGGCACAACCCCGACTTTTCAAATCACGAGCCCGACAAGGCGTTTTGTCGTCGGCTTCATTTCACTAGCACAGAAGCATTCTGAGAAATCATCTGTTCTTTTTTTTTAATCTTGATTTTTGCTTGTTGCATAGATGTTGGTCTTAATATTTCTTGATTGTATCAACGCATCAACATGCCCCCCTTTTTTTTCCCTGTACGGCTGGACGAATATAATTGACAATGACTGGGAGAGGGGCTACCATCTGACGAGGCGACGAATCACAATAAGCATCTCTGCTGAACGGCTCAACACCTCACGATTTCAGGAGGAATTGGCCGGGAACGCGAGATGCCAAAAAGGAGAAAAAGGGAGCAAGAAATTTGCTTCCCGAGTCAAACACATACAGGGTTTGGGGGGGTAAACACACGGGGTGGATATTCTAAAAGGAAAGAAGAAATTTAGGGAAAGGCAAGGCTCACGATGCATAGGGCGCCATTGCGTGGTTGTCTCCTGGCGTTGGGCACTCATGACATTTGGTGATTTTCTTCCTTCTTTTTTTTTCTTTCTGAAAATGGAAAAGAAGGGAGAAAGAAGGAAAAATCTTAAGGCGACATCCATCGGAGTCCCCCCCTATTTTATGATTGGGTATATATTCCAAAGAGATAATTTATAGAGATGTTTTTTTTTTGTATTTTTGAATAGTGATTTACATCTTCTTTACGTTTATTTAGGCCTGTGATGTGGTGATTAAAAGCTAGAAAAGGCCCTCCAAAAAATTGACGGGCTGTCGATCTTGCAGTCTCTGCTCGGATCTTGATCAAGTATATGCCATGCATGAGCGACTGCTGATCTCGGCAGGTGAATTTGCCAGGGATGAATCTTTTGTCCAGGCGATACCCCTTGTCTCCATCGCTTATCTGCTCCACGACTCGCCTCGAGAGCCCACAAACGGGGCCATCTCCTTTCACATGGGAGGGGGCTTCGCTTGGCGATGAAGGTATCCGGAGATGGCAAGTTGACATGATCTGCGGCGGAAACGAGCCGGAGAAAGATCTGGTAGGGCGAGCGATTTGATTGAATGGGATGGACATGATTTAGTGAGTTTCGGGGTGGGAGGTTTGTGTGTGTGTCTGTGTGTGTGTACGAGGGATGAAAAGGGCCGAAGAAGGGGGTTTTGGTGGTGGGCGGGGGAGATGGTTGGTCATGATGGCGGCTTCTTGCGAGAGTGAGGTTGTCATTTTATGTATCAACGTTGCATTGTAATTTTTAAAGGAGCGTGGGAATTATACAAGTACTACTACTAAGATAGTGGTGGAAATGGACTCTTTGTATAGGAAAGTTGACGGAATGGTGGCCTGTGACATGTGATGAGACTGGTCATTTGGTCGTCAGCAGGCATTCCGCTGTTCTTAGAGGTGTAATGCCTATTTCCCGTCTGATTGATCCTGTAAAGATGGTGGAAAGACGCTGAAGATAGAGAGAGAGGTTGGGTTTATATTGCCCGTTACAGCGGTAAAACTGCGAATACATCTACCAGGACTCGGCGAGTAAGCCGTTTCGAGTAACCGCGTGGTAGTAGTCCAGCGCGGCTAAACTTGAGCACATGATGAACATGCCGTTCAAAAACTAAAACGTATGTTTTGAATTTAGAATTTTAATAGCAAAGCTGCGTCTTTTATTTGAGGGGGGCTGGCAGCTGCAGCTGCACCTTGACAAAAGTGCATGTGGGCAATATCCGTTGATGTGCGTCCCCCGGATTCTGCTTGCGGGCATCGGTCAGATACATGTCCATATGAATATCCTCCTTCCAGTCTTGTTTCTGATGTGCAAACACCAATCTCATTCATCTTTGGAAGCATGACTCATTCACGAATCACCGACCATTTGACATGGATGCATGGGATATCAAGTCCATATTATCCTCTCCCGCCCCCTTCGCTAGCTGGCCGCACAAGTGCCCTATAAAAGCGCGCTGATCAGGGGGAAAAGCCGCGCCAACGCCAGGCACCGCGCGCTGCGAGAAATCCCCGACTGCAGCCCTTGATTGGCCACGAGGCGCTGATAGAGCAATGGACCATCGTCTCACAATTACACCAAGACTTCCCATCTGGCGCCTACCGACGCGGTTTTGAAATGACTGCACCTGGACCACGCACAAAGAAATTTGATACTTGAACCATGTCAGTAACAATTTTTTTTGGCCATCGAACCAGAGAAATGACTCGACTCTTGCGGCCCTGGCCAAATCTGCCGTCCGTGGGGGGACCTGCGCTGGGGCTGAGATTGGCGGGTCCAGAATGTCTCTCCCTCCCGCCATCACACAAAGACCCTGTCCGTGAACCGGGAAGAAGAGTATAAGAAACATGGAGCAACAAGGACATGGAAAAAACTTGAGAGACGGAACATTGCGGCCTGTATTTAGATGACCGCATGCCCCCAAATGGGCCTTGATTGTAGCCTTTGTTTGCTTCTCGTTGACACGCAGCATCGCCCCTTTTGGCCTTGAGGTTCACTTTCTTCTCACTCCTAGGCCGTTCAATCCTTTCGGCCGCTGGTTGTTCCTCACTGAATAACAAACCGTCTTTTGTTGGTTGGTTAGACGAGTCGTGTTCAATTACAATTCACTCCATCTATGAATAGATTCCATCTGGTTTTGACATATTAGTCACTCCTGGTCTCTCTCTCTCTCCCGCCCTTTTCGCCAAAGCACATAACCATTTCTTTCTTTTCCATAATTATATCAAGGCCGATTTTTCTCATCGTTGTTGTATCCTGTGGCTGGCTCACACGAACAATCGACAACACACGATTTATATTCTTCTACGACTTTGAAATACCCTGAATTTCTTATATTCCATCACCGCATCATCATGTATGCTTCCAGAGGCCTCGTCCTAACCACCGCCGCACTCTTTGCTGGCAAAGGTGCTTTCGCGCAATACTCTCAATATGCCTTGGACGTCACCTACGACGCAACCAACTTCTTTTCTCACTTCGACTTCTACGCGGACTCGGACCCAACGCACGGCTTCGTCGAATATGTTGACGCTCAAACCGCAAACTCCTTGGGTCTCGCCGGGACGTCTATTGGAGGCGTCTTTATGGGCGTCGACTACACTACCCAGAATCCACCCAAAGGCCGCAAGTCAGTTCGCGTGAGCTCGCAACAATCCTTCACGCACGGGCTTTTCATTGCCGATATTGCTCATATGCCGGAGAGCATCTGCGGAGTCTGGCCTGCTTACTGGCTGCTTGGCCCCAATTGGCCGTATTCGGGCGAAATCGACATTATCGAGGGTGTAAACACTCAGACGACCACTTCTATTACGCTTCATACAGGCCCCGGCTTCACAGTTAGCAACAGTGGATCTATTTCGTCTACTCAACTGGTCAGCAGCGACTGCGGCCCCGATGAGAGCAACTCGGGATGTGGCCAGACAACAGCGGACAACCAGAACTACGGCGATGGCTTCAATGCTATTCGGGGAGGGGTCTACGCCACTGAGTGGACATCTGAGCACATTGCCGTCTGGTTCTTCCCTCGAACGAACATCCCCCTCGACATCACCACTGGTACGCCCAATCCGGCCGGCTGGGGCCAACCCCTCGCCAAGTTTACCGGCGCCGACGGCTGCAGCATCGACAACTACTTCAAGAACAACCAGATCGTCTTTGACACTACGTTTTGCGGTGACTGGGCAGGCCAGGTCTGGGCATCCAACAGCGAGTGCTCCGCCTTGGCCGCCACGTGCGAGGACTACGTCTCTAGCAATCCTGCGGCCTTTGCCAAGGCCTTTTGGCTTATCAACTCGGTCAGCGTATATCAACAGGCTCCCAATGTTGCGACAGGAGCAAATGCTTTGCCAAAGACTCTTCCCAAGAGATTCGCGGCCTGAACGGGGCGAAGAAGGAGAATTATGGACGATAGAAAGGTGCAGAGGTAGAGAGCTAGATGGAGGAGGAGGAGATACCCTTGGATTTGGTTAGATACATACGCGGGTCGAATATTTCTTTTTTCTTTTTCTGATCTCTTCTCGCTCTGTTGAAGAGGACAGTTTGCTTGAAACTGTACATTATTTTTCTTTGCCATAGATATAGACTGAGCAATTCTTATACACAAGGCGTAATTGGTGCAGAGTGTGTTTCTTACCTAAACTAGAATCCAATCGAAAGAACCATGTCGAATCGATACTTTGACAACCATCGGCATAAACATCAATATGCAGCACTTACAACCTACCAGGTATCATGTAGTTACGTGTCTAACAAATCAAGTCGTAAGCTTGTTCAAATGTGCATGTGTGCAATTGCAATCACAAAGACAAACCTCCTACCTCGGTATTGCGAAAATGTCCGAAAACAAAAAGTAAATCGTCAAATAGGCTAGGTACCCGTTGATGCAACTTGGCCATTTCCCAAGAGGCACAACACAACCCTTTCGGCCTTCGGGTCGTCGGCCAAAGGAGTTTCTGGTCCTATCAGAACCCCCACGCGCGTCAGCCCCCAAAATCTGGCCTTTTGTTTGTGCGTCTCTTGGCAGTGAATCGCATGTTTTGACCAGGAAAATCGGGCTTTGGATGGTCGCCGGGGTTTTGTTTTCTAGGTTCCGTGCATTACGCGTTTAGACTGCATGGAGAGGGCGGTATCCTGGTAGCTTCGATTTCCGGTATGGGGTAATATCGTAGAGGACGTTGCATTTAAATCCATGTACAAGCCGCTCACTCGTACCCGCTCTGGACACCGAGTGAGAATTCTTCTTGAGAAAAAAAAAAACCGCCAAAGAGGAATAACGAGGCCGCCATCTCTTGTCTATACAGAAAGAACGTCAGTCGGTGTTGTGCTCTCCATAACCACTTCAAACCATCCATCCATCAGCCAGAATGAGTCTCCTCGCGGGCCTGGATCTCTCCAAAAACTACTCGTTCTTCACCGTACGAGGCATCAAACTGAGACTCCATCACTTGATGGATTGCAACTGACTCAATCCTATATTAGGTTCCAGCAGCATTTGTGCTATGCATGCTTCCCGGAATGTTTGCCAATGCCCTGGCTGGCAAGTCTTTTGACCCTGCCAATCCGCGACAGACGAGGACAACTGTCCTTGCCGATGACAAGCTTGACAAAATCGTGAGTTCTCGCCTGATTTCATTTCAGCTTGTCCCATTGCCAACACGATTTGAAAGAAATTGATGTTGACTCTTCGCCTTTTACACAGCAACAACAGCGCATCATGCGAGCCCAGAGCGCTCAGGAAAACGGCTTCGAGACGGTGGGCTTGTACGCCTCGGGCGTGCTGGCGGCCAACTACGCGGGCGTCAACGTGAGGATGCTCAATTCGTTGACTATTGGTTATCTCGTCTCCCGGGTTGCGTACATCTTTGCCTACGTCGTCCTGTGCCAGAACCGAAAGCTGGCTCCTTTGAGGTCGCTTTTTTGGATGGCGGGATCGGCCATCTTGGTGTCTTTGTGGGTTATGGCTGGGCAGAATGTGAATCTGAAGCTCTGAGTTGGATTTTCGGGTTTTATTTCTTGGAGTTGCTAAAATAACGTTAATAAAAATTGGATTTTGTACTTTGTTTTGGCAGTGTAGCTGGGTGACAATTACCCTGATAAGGCCGTTTTCATTGCGAGAAAGCCTGAGTTCGTCAATGTGAGCACCAAAGTCGGCTCCCGGAGAGAGGCATCTTCCATCGACACTCTTCTGAGCCAGCCTCCAGACTGATCGAAGAAACAGCCTGCTCCCGGGGTATATAGAGCGTGCAAAACTCTAGAGACGGTATGCTGGCATCCGCGAAGAAATTATATAGACGTCAAAGAGCATAATCTCGGCTTTGAACACAGTCTTTGCGTAATCTTGTTGTAGAATGTTTTTACAGAAGAAGGAGAGAGGAGAAAATAGAGCGAGAATGGCTAGAGCTGCCCAGGGAGGCAAAAAAGCTCACCGCCATCAAGTCTCTGAATCACAAGTCGAGCACAGCTGATGTTGATAGTATGGCTGCACGTGTTGATGAATCACTTACCGTCGGTGAGGCTGCCGTTTCGTTGCACTTTTATTTGAGATGAAAAGTGTTCAAAGTCAACATAAAAGAGGCATGACTTGTCTTCTCCTCTCCGGCATGACTCTGTAAGAAATACACTACCTATACCTCTAAGGTACTTAGTGCTCTCAAGGTACTAACTCGTATATGCCTTGATTCTCCGAGGGCAGGAACAATCGAGCCCTTGCCCCAACAGCAACCATAGGTACAGCAGGAGAAAAAAAAAACCCAGTTACCACCAAACCACCGACATTGAACTTATACACCAACAAAAGAAAAAAAAGGAAACTTATCAGCAACAAGAACAACACACAGAATAACTTCGTTAACAAAACAATCACCTACAATGTTCTCCCTAAAGCCCATCCTATACATCTCTCTCCTCCTCACCAGCTCCGCCACCGCCGCCTTCCTACCCGCTACGAGCACATCCACCTCCATTCTCAACAACACGAGCACAGCTACCGCCGCGCCCACCGTCTCGGCCGCCGCCATCCACTGCGACATCACCTACTGCGTCAACGGTACTTCGTTCTGCCACTTCTGGGCCGGCGCCAGCACGTGGGAAATGTCGGGCCCGTCGCCTGGAGAAGTCGTCACTACCATGGGCGTCTGCAAAGTTGGCAAGGCAAGGTTGACCGCGGCTTAAGGAGCGAGGTGGGATAGGATTTTGTTTGTTGTTCAAGGGAGCTTTCGAATGGGACCTGGGCCATGGGGCCTGAGAACGAGCCACCAAGGGGGCAGTCTGTAGAGAATGAACTCACCATGGGAGAAAGGAGGAACCAGGGTTTTACTAAAAAAAGGCCTTGGGGGTTTGATGCCAAAGGGCAGTTTTGACGTACGACTGAAAATGGTTCAAGGTGGATGCTAGAAGCCGGCTGCTTCTGCTCGACGGAGTTATTATTGACAAATGCGCTTATAATACACATATCCAAACTAATACAACTAATACTTTGCTTTACTGAGATCTACTGTCACGTATATACCAAACTAATTTGCTACGCCTACTCGCCTCATACCTTGTGCTGAACAGCATGCCATATATGCAATTGAAAATGAAGCCCGTTGCTCTCCAAACTCGGTCATCGCCTCATCTATCAGATCCAGACGCTACTTCTAAGCCTCCAAAACTGGGATTCCTCACCAGCCTCGGGGCGTCAGCTTCTCCCGTTGGCACCGCGGAGTAGCCAGGCTTGGTACTTCTACCCTCAGGGGACTCATCGTCATCGTCGTCATCTCGGTCCGCATCGCCATGTTCTTCGTCAGCCACAGTCTCTGGCGGAACAGACACGTCGTCCTTGATTCTGAGCACAAACAAGGCAGATACCAGCGCAAAAAGACCCCCAAGCGCTAAAACGATGGCGATGCTATGGTCGCCTGGTGTTCCCCTCGGCTTCTGCCATATCTTGAAAATCAAACTCGACCCTACATTGGCAATGATTTGAGGAGCGGAAACGGACATGTTGTGGATTCCCATGATCACGCCCGCTTGATCCACCTCCTCCTCCTCGGGTGCTTCTGCCAATTCCATTGGAGACGTGCGGCCAGTGGCGGGAGTCAAGGGCGGAAGAGCATCTCGATTGTCCCGTCGGGGGCGCCTAGCGCGGGCGAGAGCATCACGCCGACTGATTTCGGCGCTGATGATGGCGAACGGAGCCCAGAGAGTAATGGCCCAAGTGATTCCGGCGACCCCAATCAAGGCTGTGGCTGCGTTGACAGATCTCACAAAGACGGTGCAAACCATGACGATGGCGAAGAGGATGAGAGACCCGAACCAAGCCCGCCTAAGCGTGAAACCGGGTATCCTCAGGTGATCCAGGAACGACTTTTTGACGCCGGATCCCGAACTATCCAGTACAGGATGGCTATCATAGGTCGGAGCAACAAAAAACGGGAGAAACACATTGACCAGCAGGCTAACAATGGAGTTGATGAGGAGAGCAAAGGAACCCATTCGAGTTGCTTGCTCGTACAGCTTGTCAATCTCACCAGGTGTCATGTGGGGATTCTTTTCAAGGAAGGGCTGTACATAGATTTCGCCAATGTACGAAGATGTATAAAACAAGAAAGGGAAGAAGCCAACCCAGCCAAAGAACTGGACCTGACACACCCGCTTGATCTGAAGCGGCAATCGCTTGATGGACTTGAAGAGGGTAAAGAAGAACAAGAAGATGCTCTGCTTCTTGCGTGGAGGGCCGTCTAATCGAGGATCTCGTTCCTTGATCAGGGAGGCACTCAGAATGACCGTAGATCCTAGCGAGATACTTGCGATTGCGCAAAGAATCTTGAACTGGGTGTTACCCAGGAACCACAGGGGTGTCGTCAAATTAACGTATCCCGCAATGTAGCCAATAATATTTCCTATACCTGTCATACGGCTGGCCATGGAATTCGCCGCCTCTTGTTGATGGGCAGGCCCACAATCAACGATGAAGGCTCGGAGGGCAGCTTGGACCGTGTTGATGGCAAAGTCTAGCAGATAGACTCCAATCACCGCCGTCACAATAATGGTAGTCTTGACGCCGTGTGACTCGGTATCAGCCCCAAAGATGCTCAACACGCCGCTGACAATTTCTTTTGTCCAAGCCAAGAAGAGCAGCCCTACTATGGTTGCAGTGGCACCACCGAGCATAAACGGCTTCCGTTTACCCCATGAGAGGCGGCAGCTATCACTCAACATGCCGACATATGGCTGCACCAAGGTACCGGTCAGTGGCCCCGCGATCCAGACCAGAGCCATGAGAGACTTGCTCAGTCCCAGCGATAGTAGATATGGTGAGCCATTGGAGAGCTCGACGGACCACGCGATTTGCAGACCTCCAATACCGATGGTCAAGATGGTCAGGTACCACAAGCTCTTGGTGGTTTGGCTGTCATCATCGTGGCCATCACTTCGTCCACCCGATCTGGCACCAAATGCATCGTAGTCGGCCGGTGGTAACAGCGGCGAGTGTTCGTCATTTACAGGCTCCCGCTCCCGCTCTGGCCGCTCGTCGAGAGAGCGGTTGCGGGGGGTAACAGCGCCTGGAGTCGACGGCGTGCTGGCGCTCGGAGTAAACTGTTGCTGACGAGAAACATGAGGTTCGCCATGGTCAGGCTCGTGGGGGAATGATGCCGTCATGGCGGCGGCCAGTGGAGTATAGACGCGTGGGAGCGGATTTCGTATTCAGATGCGGCTGCGCCGTCGAGATCGATCAGCGGAGCAGCATGCGATGTTTCAAGAGAGAGTGCGTTGTGGAGACGACAAGGCGATGATGTGGTGATGATTTGGTGATGATGGCTACGGGCAGTAGCTTCACGAGAGGGCCATGGCCGAGTAAGGCGAGGTTTGGAACCAGTTTCGAAGGCCTTTCAGCTGGGTATTCAGACGGAGAAGCTCGAACAAATCAGGCGCCTTGCTCAAATCAGACAAATCATGCGGTGAAGAGGAGGATCCTGGGGAGAAGGACCACGCGACCGCACAGCTGGTACAGCAGTTACTGCTGAGAGACAACCGATCGGGGTGGTGTACCGGTCTCACAGATGCTAGTCCCACTGGTGAGACACACAGCCTGGAGAGAAGAAGAGGCCTTTGGTTACGCTGAGATGACGGCCAGGTCAAGTCGCATCAATCACGAGCTCAGGGAGCAGGTCGGTGGGCATCGTGATGCGTCATGTGGGCGTTGGCCAATCAGATGGATTCGTCAACGTCTGACGTAGGCGCTGATGTTCAGGCACGAAGAGCGCTGGAGGTCAGGCTGATAGGGCAGTGACATCACTGAGGTCTATATTTGAACCGACCAATCACAGCGATGGAGGATTGGCACTACCTATCAAGAGTATTGAGACTTGAAGTCGCTGGCATCGCTGTGACATATTCGCTCGACATCTTGTAGGGTTTGGTTAGAATAAATGGATCGTTCTAAATTACATAGGCCTAATACCTAGGTATATTCAATACGATCCGCGTTGCTAATCGATGTAGCTACACGACGGATCAAACATCAAGCTTCTCGGCTATAAGCAACACCTAATCACTTCTGGAGTCATCATTTCAATTACTTCAGAACCGCCGTTTCACTAACTGCATGAGCACTTGCTGGCTCAGTTTTTGTTTTCCCGGTAAAAATTCTGCATAATTTGCTGGAAACCGCTGTAGCCGAGACGTGTGTAGCAGATGTCAATCTGGCAAAGGCCGACTTGATGCTAAATATTGGTGGTGGCTCTGGGCTGAGTACCTCACGCATGGTGGTGATATATTAGCATTGTAAGAAGATCCCAAAGATTTTTTTCAATCCTCTATACGGACTTGAGTATTCGCTTCCTGATTTTAGATCAGATTGATCAACTAGATGCCAATGATTCTGGAGCCCGGAATTAATGATGAGAACTGTACTACATATCAGGTATCTTCCACTACAGAAGACGACCTGAGCTGGGATGATGTCTGTGAAATTTACAAGGTTGGCTGTATAGGTAAGGTACATCTCATCAACTCCCGACGACCATATATCCCCGATGGCTGGGCACCCTTTTCAACCAGCTACAGGGCAGGCCACAGTCCAACCGTATCTCCACCGGATACCGCCTCAACTTTGCAAATTTGCAAAGAATGTATCTGCGACAACTTCAGATTAGACTCATAAACATTGCGGCGGCTCAGCAGTTTGGAAGAAAAAATACAAATGACTTGCCTCTGCGTGAGTTGTCAGAACTAGGCCAATCCTAAGACCCAACCTTAAGAAAATACGGTATGACTATTCGCTTGCATTGTCTGCACAATTTCTCTAATGACTGGACTTGACTATTTAACACGCTTGACAGTTCAGGCAGTGAGAGATCACGAGTATATGGGTCGCTTCTACAGCAGCCCAGACGACCCATTCATTGCGTCTAGCGAGCGTGTCCACGACGACATCTATCCCAAATCCGCCGTTACGTTGCATGGCAAAGAGGCCGCTGACATAGCCCCCGTGGAAACGACAATCCCTACAGTGCCATGGGAAGACAGACGTAAACAGAGTGCAAAGTCCATCGCAAACACGAGAGGAGAGACTCAGAAGAAGGCATTCGCATCGCGGATTGGAGGGGCTGTGGTTGCCGGCGCTTTTCTTCTTTTCCCGATGTGGCTGATGGTGCTCAAACAAGAGATTTATCTAAGCCTTGGCGTGGCAACGGGCTGTGTAGCTGCCTTTGGGTTACTCATGGCGTTATCCATGGGATCACTGGATGCCGTTTTCGCAGCTACATTTGCTTACGCAGCGGTTCTCATGGTTTTTGTTGGTGTCATGATGCAGAATACCAGCTCAAGTACTCCGTAGGGAGTTGACGGGTGAATGTTTAGTATGGGCCAAGCGGAGGTCAGAAACAGCGAGACCGCAAAGTAAATAAGTGTATAAATTCAGCAAGATAAGCACCCAACCAGCTCATTAAGTGGTGTTTTTGTGAGAGAACGCCTATCCAGCACCGGAATTTGCATATATAACTATGGTGGCAGTTACTATAAACATATAAATATAGTAGCAGTTACTAGAGAACTATGGATATAGTAGCAACTAATAAAGAACTATAGATATAGTAGCAGATGCTTAAGCAACTGGTGTATATTTCATCTGTGGGTGTTCGAAATCTTCTCGGTCTTGGATTTTCCGTCCTCCGCTTGGGAGCGTATACACAAATATTTGGGTAATCAAGGTTGGTAATTTATCTAAAAAGTTGCGGCAAAAAATGCGTGGAAAATCATTGTAATCTATTTTAAGTTGCATGAATCTTAAGAGACAACTTTGTCCACAGGAATGTCAAAGCTGCATGAAGAGCCTATCTTCAGATCATCCGCCCTTATTGTCCATGGATACATACTGCCGATATTTGTGGAGCATCAATTGAGAGCGCAGATCAAGCTTCAGCCAGCAAAAATTGAATGGGCTGCACGCAACGTTCCAGACCAAACATTCCAGAGCGCTTCTAGCCCAAGCACGTTCCATAATCGTACAAGTCCGCGCATCTCGGATGATCCGAGTCCAACAAGATCAACGCCTTGGGCACATGGTAGCATAGCGAGGACAGGCTTTGACAGGGCTGTCTCAGCTCCACCCATTGTGCTTTTTCTCTCTCTTTTTTTCAATTGTTGTGTTGGGTCTCTGGCCCGCTAGGTAGATGAACAGACACATGCTGACCTGAATGGCTCCGGTAAGGCCTCGACGGAGAAAAACTTTCCGTTGTTTTCGCCCTCTCAACAACCAGGAGGCGAAGTTGTAGATGCTAGCGCTGCCACCTTAGGGAAAGGTACTGTGGCTGAACAAACTTGGAACAAAAAATTGAGGCGCCCGCATCGGAGACGACGAGCGATCTGCCTTGTATCGCCGGCTCTTTACGGGACGGCACAACCGAGAAGAGGGTGCGAGTAGATTGTGGCACCGCCGGAGCCCGCCACAGCCGCTGAAGACGCAGAGTCGAAGGCATTGGCGAAGAATTATCAAGCGCCCTTCAATACAGATCGCCAAGGGGTAGAGACACGGCTCGCGCGCGGGTCAGTGCAGAGTAAAAGACTTCAAATTATATGTCTACGAGCATGCCATGCGGGTTTATGCCGGCGCAATAGGAGAAGATGAAGTCATTTTGGGGGCGGAAGTGCCGAGGTCGCAACAGATTGGTTTTCAGTGCATAAATCTGTGCGGATTACCTAGGTAGATACTCGGGCATGGGTCCAGGTCCAAGTCATGGAAGACAGAATCTTCTTCCAAGGCCAGGACATCAACCATGCCCGCTGAGCCCAGATCTGTGACCGATCGACGGCGACTGACATCCATGGCGGCTCCGTTTGCGACTGTCACGGGCCTTTGCAGAGTCGCATGCTACCTACTTTGTACTGATACGCTAAGATGGTGTGCGACACCCAGCGAGTCAGCTTCTGGTGAGTGTGACCGAGAAGTGGACGGATTCCTTCGGCGACTCGGCATGTGTGCGTCGGTGCCAGAACTAAAGAGAAGCGCTGTCACATCAAACGCCACACCAAACGGAATGCGACATGGAGGTTTCACGCCAGATAAGGACGTCGGAAGAGGGCGAGACCAAAGGCATCTCGTTGAGACATGTTGTTGATACACGCCGCACACAGCCAAAAAGATCCATGGATGGTCTGGGCCTGCTTCCGGCCGCGTACGAGCACAATCACAAGCTCGTGAGAAAACGGAACACGAGAGACAAGACACATGCAGTGAGTGTCCACCCATCCGCGGGCTTGGGTCCGAATCCTTGGACAAGTCCGGCTTACTAAAGTGTCTCGCCGTCTCCGCCCTCTTCTGACATTACCTATCCTGGTACCCTCAGCGTCTGACAAGGAGAAGGGAAAGAGAAAAAAAGTTTGATTCAGTAAGATAAGAGAGGACAGGATAGGAGAGCCGAAGTGGTAATTAAACATGCATACGGTACGACGCTGCGGCAGTGGCCAACATTTCCCTTCCCTGGGTGGCGTTCCAAGGTTCTGGCGCCAGATCATGGCTGCAGAACCAAGGAAATTAAAATCTCGGAGAGGACAGTTAGCGGCGCCCCCGCGAATCTACGCGCTCTCGACGACCCCAAATATGGCCGTCGGGTTGGACGATGGACGATGGCGCGCGCATTTTCGGGGAATTGGGCTCTTGGTTGGCCCAGAGGCTGAGAAAAGTTCCGCCATGGGGGGGGGGAGGCTTGGGAGGGATTGAGGGAGAGAGAATCAGGAGGTCGCTAGGTAAAATAAAACCCGCTCCAGAACAGCGCCCCCCTTCTAAAACAGGCCGCTAAAATTGCGCAGGCGGGCAGCTGCAAACATGAACAAGGCCATGCTCCGGGCTGCAGCTCCATACTGACTTCATTTTCAGTGGGGACTGCGGGAACCCCGGGCTGGGGAATTTGCAGCTTGCACGAATTCCTGGAGATTCTGGAGTCGGCCGGGCCCAATTTCCCGCCGGCTGGGCCAATTGCAGCCGCAAGCAGTCTCGCGTTGGGGCCCTGGTCGTTTGGCTGCTGCCTTCGTGTGGTGGTTTCTTGCTCCGCTCGCTCGAGAAAGGCCGAGCGCTGGAGTCGCCACTGGGGGCGCTCCGTAAAGGGAACACGGACTGTGCTGAACAGTACTCGCACACGTACACAGTAATGCTGAGCCGGTACAATAGTGTTGGAACATTGCATGCTTGTACAAAGCCCTGACTAGCAGTAGTTCGCATACATTTGCCCTTTGATCCGTGAGCGGTTTTCCCTCGGTCCCCTTTAATAGTCGTCGATCTGCTCCCGCCGCGCCTGCGTTGGTTTTCCCGTCCATCGTGGCGCCAAAGCTTCTTCAGCCATTCTACAAACTCTAAGCCTTGGGCTTGAAATAAATTTGATACCACCTTGATGTACTCGGAATAAAAAGCAGCGAGCACCCCCCGTCTCCGGCTACTTATTGTGATACCCGAGTTGCTTTGCTTCGCGGCTACATTCACACCTGCATACAAACACATCAGCCTCTCATCGCTCTCGACTCGACTCGACTCGACTTGACCCGAATCTACTTTGTCCTCTACGGCACACTTGCAGCACCTCTTCACATCACAATGGCCATCCGGGACCGGTTTCGTCGCGCCCTGCGCAGATCTGACGACTCAGACACCATTTCTCAGACAGACTCAAACGCCACAACAGACTCGACCCGACAAAGCTCCAGCTCCGAATCGGCGCCTCAACTGTCGCTGAAAAAGACGAGCTCGGTGCTCTCACGGCTGTTCAAGGACACCAAGGAGAAGGAGGCCAAGGCCGAGGAAAAGAACCGCAAGAAGAACAAGGGCAGGACCTGGAAGCATCCCAGCGAAAAGCCCCTGACGGAGCAAAACCTCAAGCACCAGGAGATGCTCAGCCATTTCACCATGACGTTTGGCGCCAGCGACCCGAGCCAGGTCGTCGATCTCGACTTTGACGGCATAAGCCCGTGCTGCACTCGCAACGGCAGCCTCGACCTTGGATCGCCAGACACCATCTGATCTGAGCTTTTCTGCAATATGCACGATGCAGAGCCGGGAACCGATGCTTATGCGACTTGCGACCGGAAATTTTCCCCATTCGCCAAGTCCATCACCGGCTATATGGCTATATGCACGCAGCGCATCGATTCACACTCTCGGTACCTAACCAGCACACGATTACCGCGTGCTAATTTTACAATCCCTTTACTGGGAAAAAAATCAATATCGCCATCCCTCGACGACTATACATTATACATCCTTTTCGACTTTGTCTTATTTTACCTCTTATTTTTTCGACATCCCTTTTTCTCCTACCTTCTCTGTTTTTAATATACTACGATGCGGAGGAGAGACGCCACCTACACCCGCGCTAAACACCGGTGCCAAGCGTACCTGCATGAGGGGGGGACAGATCTAGATCTACTAGACCGTCGAGCCTCATGTGACCGCTGCTTTTTTTTATTTCCTTGATTCAGCAATATTCCTTCTTCGTGCAACCCGCATCTCGGCTTCGGCACGAGGTGTGCGCGTTCACCCTGTGTTATGTTTTATCACGACGCAAACGGCTATGACTATGGGGGGGCGGCTTTTACAGCTAGATACGTGGGATTCCGGCATCTCGCACCGGCTTTTCTTTTGTCTATTATGGAATTGGGCACATTCTGCAGGAGTATCAAACTTGCTGTAGACGGAACACGGCGTTGGACGGGAGCACTGGACACAGCTCGAGCAATTGGGTTACATATATACAGTACACAACATGTGCTCGTATTTGGGTAGTTTTAGAAAATATCTTAATGCAGTTCAGTATTTACTTACATGTCGGCGATGTTCGTTCTGTGAAAGTGAGCGGTATCTGCCTTGTATCTATCCGATTTTTATAAGAGTTCGGGCAGTAGGTACTCTCCACACTCTGGGACTCTTGAAAGCTACTTCGCGTTGACGGCCTCAGAAACTTACCCCAACGTTTTCCTTCTACATGTCCGTGAGTCCCGTGAATGCGAACCCCGTCTGCACGTTACTATGGAGTACTAATCACTACCTAGGTAGGCACTCTCCCAATATTGGGTCTTGGAAGCCACGGCGTTTGGTTTCATGATTCTCTACAGGCTATGAATTCATAACACGAGGCCTCTAACTACCATGAATTCTTACTTTATCTCCCCAGTCTAATCCCACCACCTCCCCCGTATCCGCGATATCTTATAAGTGTTTTTTTTTTTTTTTTTACTTTCTCTCGAAAAGTTGAGTCTCCTCTTCCACATTTTTTTTCTTTCACTACCTGTTCGTGATGCAACTGTTTCTCTGCAAACTTCGGTTCTCCACCGGCCACCAGGCAGCTGGCGGACGTCTCATAAAGCTGGCAGGTGCCTCCTTCTGCCCTCCTTCTGCCCTCCTTCCCTCTGGTTGGGAAAATCTCGTCACTGCTCAGAGTTTGAGACTTCGTCACCTAAAAAACATTCTTAACGGCAGCAGCCGGATCTGCGAGACTCTCATCTTGCATCGACAAAGACACGCTCCCATCAGCTTCCCGTCTTCAAGTTCATCGTGAGCAGCCTGTCACCAACCATGCAGATGAAGTCGTTCTACGCCCTCAAGACGATGGCCGTGCCGGCCAGGTACGGTCTGTCGAAGAACATACAGGACCTGCTCATAGCCCTCGATGACCACCACAGCGGCTCTATCGACGCCGAAGAGATTGGCAGACTCGTGCGGCTGAGTCCAAAACGCAGAGCGGCCATCGCCAATACTATTACAAAATGCGCCAACATCATCAAGAATCAACCTAGCGAGATTCCTACGTGTTGCGATGTCATTGAGATGTGTACAGAGCTGCTGGAAATTGCAGGTCAGTCACGATTCGGTTTTTGCGAGTTCCCTTGGCCCTGACCCGCCATCATATATTAACGACGCGTCTACAGACAGGAAATCTCCTGCTGCTGGGTTCCCCTTTTTTCGGTTGCCAGTGGAGATACGAGAGCGAATCTTCGCTCTGATGATAAATAATGTGTTTCACACCAAATCCATTTTGCCGGCAAGCAACAAGCCAGGCACCTGCAAGTGTCCTCGTTTCGACCGAGACAACACCTTCCAGACGGCGCAAATGAAGGACCTTAGACACATCTTTGGTCCCAACCTAATAACTCTAGAATTTTATCGAGTACTTTTTCGCACAAAGACGTTTCGATTCCGCTGCCCCTGCGAGCTGCGATCGCATTTAATGAACAACGACATATTCTTTGACAACGTGAGGAAGATTGTGGTTCAGTGGAGCGGCCCCGAGGCGGCAAAGACGTTTCAGCTCTTGAAAAAGGTTCCCAAGCTTAAGAGCCTGGGCATCGTAATCTCCAGACTGACATACATCCACCTCAACGAGCGATCGACCTTGATGAAGTCTTACTTTCCTTTGGCATACAAGAATACACGACTAGCAGACGTCCTCGGCTTGGACGAGCTCTTGGAAATACGTGGGCTTAATCGTGTTGAAGTCATGATTGCGCATTCCTCGAGAGGTGGTACCCAATCAAATGAGATGGACAGGGCAAACCTCTTTGATCTTTTGTCTGGCAGGCTGACGCAGCCAAAGGAGGTAAGTCCACAACTCCTGACCCTCTATGATGAGCGGCCATCTAACAGCAGATAGTTCAACTATGATGCGGAGTTGTAATGAGAGAAGAAATGAGCCAAGGACAAAAATGGGGCTGTTGAAATGTTTTAATCGGGTAATGGTACTAATAGCATGGCGATTGAGCAACGGGATCTGTTTCTTCTTCGGTTGGTGGGTTTGGTAGTCTTGGTTGTGGTTGTCTTTAAGCTTCGGGTGCAATGGGTTGATGGACAAACGGATACAGCAAACCGAGCCAACAAGCGTGGTCGTAATGGATAGAGGTCAAGCTTATGGACCACAATGACCCGCAGGTTCAGTCTTGTAGAACGGTAAATCATAGCATGTAACAACAGATAAATTACGAACAGCCTTCACGAAAGAAGAAAGACCTCGTACTCAAAAAACGTTGTGGTTGTTCTTGTCTTATACTCATACAAAAGTATGGGCATCCGGCTCAAGATCAGCAGGCGAGGACACGCTGGTCGAGCAATGGAAAAAGACGATAAGGCGCATTTACATGTTGAAGAATCTACAGGACACTTACCGTTCAAGCAAGGCACTTCTGAAGACTGAAATGAGGATCAAGACCATTGTCGTTACATTTGAGCTCCACGCCATATCGTAACGACGGGTTCCAGCCTTGCGGGCAATGGCTGTGGAAGAGAGCAGGGCAAAGAGAATCTTTGCTTTACTGCTCTGGAGAAAAATAAAGGTGTAAATGAAAACACGCACGGTACATAAGTACTGTACGAATTTGTCCTCGGTTTGGTCAGTCACGTGCAGGCTTCACGTGATTGCTTACGTTGGCAGGTCGCCGTGTGTGCCCTACTTTGTGCCCCCACAAGGGCCGAAAATTCCACCATGTTTAGCGAGTCCTGGGAAATCCTCCGCCCTCTTCTCTTCAACCCGAACAATCGAATCTAACGAGCAGCACGGCAACGTCCCATACAGTTGCCCAGCATGTCGCTCGTCACGGGAGAGAAGACGAACTTTCAGTTCGTAAGTGGTTTCCAATTCATCCCGGACAAAGACGTTTCCAGCTGCTACGGAATTTTACGCGGCGTGTCGATGTCATCATCGCAACGAACAAAAAATTTCGGGAGCATTGGGGATGCTTTTTGAGGCGGGCTGGGAGAGGGTGGAAGAGGAAACAGGAGAGCGGCGTTTGTGGGCTAACAGTCATTGTCTTCGTCTAGATTCTCCGTCTTCTGAACACCAACGTCGATGGAAAGCAAAAGGTTATGTACGCCTTGACCAAGATCAAGGGTGTCGGTCGCCGATACTCCAACTTGGTCTGCAAGAAGGCCGATGTCGACCTGAACAAGCGGTACGATAATTCACCAATTCATGCGTTTTTTTTTCTTGGTTGGCGGAGGCCGCGAGTCGAAAACCTCAAAAATTTGAAAAGGAGTTTTGGAAAACTAACATGTGGTTTGAATTGTAGCGCCGGTGAGCTTACCTCCGAAGAGCTCGAGCGTATCGTCACCATCATCCAAAACCCTACCCAGTACAAGATCCCCGCCTGGTTCTTGAACAGACAACGCGATATCGTTGACGGCAAGGACTCTCACATCCTGGCCAACGGTGTCGACTCCAAGCTCCGTGAGGATCTGGAGCGCCTCAAGAAGATCCGTGCCCACCGTGGTCTCCGACACTACTGGGGTCTCCGTGTCCGTGGTCAGCACACCAAGACTACCGGTCGTCGCGGCCGGACTGTCGGTGTCTCCAAGAAGAAGGGTGGCTAATGGTTTTACTGTTTTCGGTCTGGGGTGGACAGGCGTGACGGCTGGGTTTTTCATCACTGTGATGAGCATTTCCATGGGATTGCTTTCTGGCATACGCAGCTGGTGCTGTACTCTAGATCAGAGTCAAATGAATTAAAAGCATTTTCAAAGCGTTACCATGACGGTGTTGATATTTGTGATTGAATTATGAAAAATGAAAAAATCATGCCGTAGCCGTAGCCGTAGCCGTAGCTGCCGAGATGGGCAGCTTTTTACGATACGGAGAAAAAATAAATTACAGACTATGAATTGTTTCTTCTAATCCTTCCGAAAGCCAAGTTGCAGTCCAGTTGCCAGAGGGTATCATTTTGTTCCTTTTTTTTGTTCCTATCTGATTGATTTCTGTGCTTTAATCCTCATGCGTAACCGCCATATCCAAAACCTCGACTCTGCCTTGGCCCTTGGTCTCGTTGCCAATAAAATCAGACAAAGCCTTGAAAGCACCCGGCTCAACAAAGCCCACAACTTCCCATTCCGAGCTCATGACGTCCTGGCTCTCAACCTGCTCGACGTAGCTTAAAATCCGATCTTTGACTGTGCCGGCTGCCTTTGCTTCGCCATCCTCCTCCTTTGCGGCACCTTTGGGCGCCTTGACTGCCTGTTTGAGAACATTGGTCGAGCATGAAACTCGGAGCTTCATCCTAGCTCGCGCGACGGGGATGGGTTGATATGCGATGAGCGCCTTCATGGCGTCCAGGGCCTGGCTCTTTGCGCTCTTGGTGGTGACAACTCCCGTCCAAGTGTGTTCTCTGGCCTTGGGCTTGGCCTCGCCAGCCTCTGCCGTCGTGGGCGTTGCGGTTCCCGAATCCGTCGTCTTTTCTCCGCTGTGCGCCTGCGAGCTCAGCATGTCGAGGGCCTTTTCGATCATGCCGGGGGTGTACACCCTCTTCGTCCGCGGGTCGACCAGCTTGCTGACCACAATGCTGATGACCTCATTATGCACCCTTTCCAGCTGCGCCGCGCGCTCTTTGTCCCCAACTTGTAGTTCTCCCTTTTTCAAGATTTCGAGGACGATTTCGTCGGTGGACTTGCCCTTGCCAAAGGCCTTTTCGAGATCCTCCTTGGGCGCAGTCTGGCCCTTGGAGACGTTGAGGAAGACGTTTGGGATCTGGAGGACGTTGTCGAGGTCCGTCTCGATGCCGGAGCGCCACTCGAGGACTTTGTTCTTGTAGCAGGCGATTTCGAAGCGCTTCTTGCCCTTTTTCAGGCGCACGAGCGAGACGTTTGTGAGCTTGATCTGGTTGGAGGGAAGGTTGATTCGTGACATTTTTGCGAAGAATTATCGGGTTACAGTCGTGAAATGCTGAGAAGAAGGGGGGGGGAATATCAAGTAGAAAGGAGAAATATCAACGCTTTATGAAAGAGAAATGGGTCTTGGTTTTGTTGCTGCTGTTTGGAAGGACGTGCAAGAAAAAAAAAGAAGAAGACGTCAAAGTTGGATATAAAGGTCAAGGCTAGCTGACTGGCAGAGCCTTGGCGGGGGATCATCCATGGACTCGTACCTGAGGATTACAAATCCGGACCTGGCTTAGACTGAATCTGGGCGATGATGTCTTTGCCACTTCTGTTCCTTGCTTTTGCCTTACAAACGCTCTGGTGGGAAGAGTCATGAGTGAATGCTTTTGATAAAACTTATCTATCACAATTTTATTCCTTTATAATTTTCCGCCATCATGGTATGAATTCAGACTAGAACGTTAAACACCTGCCAGATGAGCGGTTGTATTGTCGTAGTAGAAGTGTCCCAATCTAGCTTAGCTGCCGGTGTGTTTTTCTGCCGCCCGGTCATATTTGGAAGCTGATGCACACACTTTGAACTTTTTTTTCCTCTTGCGCTACCCCACCAAGAATGCGAAGCAGCCTTGCAAAACACCCTGGCCTTTGAATTCTTGCTCTGCTGATATTCGCCTGGTACTGCCCCGCCTTTGAGTGTGTTGAGTCACAAGGAGTCACAAGAGGGTCTTGAGAGTCATAGAGTCCGCATAAGCCTTGCCGTGTTGGATCTGTTGTGTCCAAGATTTTTATTCACGACACTTGTTGTTTTTGTTCGACGACATCCAGAACTATAGCTAAGAATGGCTGACGCTACGATTGCCCCGGCCGTTGAGGACACGACGGTTGATGCCCCTGCCGCAACCGGCAAGCAGGACATCAACCCGTGGTCCGTCTCTGGAGAAGTCGGCGAGGATGGCAAGGTCAAGGCCATCGACTACCGGAAGCTCATTGACGAGTTCGGCACCAGCTTGATTGACGATGCGCTGCTGGAGCGCTGGGAGAAGGTGACGGGAAGCAAGCCGCATCGATTTATGCGCCGTGGCATTGTCTTTAGCCACAGAGACCTTACGACAATTCTTGATCGCTATGAGAAGGTAAGAGGAAGTGGATTTTAACATGAGAGCCTCCCCTTGGTATGAGACTATGTATCTGACGCGATTTTTACAGAATGAGCCTTTCTTCCTCTACACTGGACGAGGTCCTAGCAGTGACAGCATGCACATTGGACATACCCAAGTGTTTGACTTTGTCAAGTATGAATTTCATGGAGACCTTGACTTGGGGCGAGCGTTCTAATGTGTTGTCGCAGGTGGCTCCAGGATGTTCTTGACGCTCCCCTGATTATCATGTTGACGGATGGTGAGTTGTCTCCATCATATATTTTCATTGAAATGTTGCAGAAAACTAAGTCTTTTTTTAATACAGATGAGAAGTTCCTCTTCTCTGAAAAGCGAACAATTGAGGAGGTCATGAGCTACACTCAAACCAACGCCAAGGACATCATCTCTGCTGGCTTCGACATGAAGAAGACTTTCATCTTTTCGGATTACGAGTTCATGGGCGGTGCTTTTTACAGGAACATTTCTAGATTCTCCAAGAGGGTCACTTTCAACGTGGCCAAGGCCGTCTTTGGCTTCGACGGAAGGTGAGTTGTCGCTCGAGTGCTTCTTTTGCCTCGTATGTCATAAGGAACAACACGTCACTAACTTGCATTTCTTACCTCATTAGCTCAAACATCGGCAAGATTCACTTCCCTAGCATTCAGGGTGCCACATCCTTCGCCACATCGTTCCCCCACATCTTTGGTGACGATGAGAAGAAGACGGCCAAGATCCCCTGCTTGATTCCTTGCGCCATTGATCAGGACCCCTACTTCCGTTTGACGCGAGACTGCGCCGTGAGCCTTCGCTATGCCAAGCCCTCTCTGGTGCACATGAGATTCCTGGATGCCCTGCAGGGCCCTGGCTCCAAGATGTCGGCCAGTGACGACACCTCTGCCATTTTCATGAAGGATTCGGCCAAGGAGATTAAGAACAAGGTCAACAAATACGCCTTCTCGGGAGGTCGTGAGACTGTTGAGGAGCACCGCGAGAAGGGAGGCAACCCGGATGTCGATGTTTCATACCAATACTTGCAGTTCTTCCTGGAAGATGACGAGGTATGTGGCCCGTGAGATGTTGCTACGAACAAGTTTTGCTGATACTATGACTATAGGAATTGGCCAAGATTAGGGCAGACTACCTAAGCGGCAAGCTTCTGACTGGCGAGGTGGGTGCTTCATGTAGAACCCTTATGAGTAGCTGCCGATGCACTGACACGTAAATAGCTCAAGGCGATATGCATTGCGAAACTCCAGGAGTATGTCGGCGCATTTCAAGAGAGAAGAGCCAAGGTTACGGACGAGGTTGTAAAGCAATTCATGGCCGTCCGACCGCTAGAATGGCAGGGAAACCCCAACGTGCCCCGCGCGGATCTCGTTGTACCGGTGGTTAAGGCAGATGAAGCCGCTGCTTCGACAGAAGGTGGCCCCGAAAAATTGACCAAGAACCAGCTGAAGAAACTGCTCAAGGAGCAGCAGATTGCGGCGAAGAAGGCTGAGAAGGCGAAACAGAAGGAGGAGGGAGTGGCCAAGGCCGTGGAAGAGGCCAACTAGACTGCGTCTCTGTATAGGGTATGTATTGTTATAAGATGAACTGAAGAAGAAAAAAATGTTAAACACTGCTTGCAAATATCACTCACTCCATAGGCTTGGGGGACGCTCAAGCTGTGGATGTAATGGTGTCTGGTAAGATATAGATACTCCCTAAAAGTAATTGCTTCCTTGAGAATGCTGTATTACCTGATGTGTCTTGTTCATTCACGTCAATCCTTCGGCCCAATCTAGTAAAAGAGTTCCACAGCATGAAGGATATCCATTCTAGACGAAATACAGCATTGGGTTCCCTTATCCTGACAGAATAGGGGCTACACAGTATCTCGGCACATCACCAAGTATAGATACCTAAGTTGCCCAACTGCGAGGCCTGAAGCCATAGCGATACTCGTACTCGTACCTCCTCACCGCGTTCGCTTTGAGTGCTGATTGGGGCCACGTGAACGGTACGTGCCGGGGCTTGAGAGCCTCCACACCTGATACGGCAATATGTGGGGGCTATCAGTATCCCAGGGGGACCTTTGTCTTGCATGGATAGCACGGAGTACTTTGTCTATGGGCGTTACAGATACAAGCACGGAGCATGAAGTCCTGGGAGAGACCCAAGGAGATGTGAGACTCGGCGGGTGTGTGAGGCCTGCAAGTACCAAGAATGGCTTCATCCTACCTGTACTTGCAGCTTACCCGGGTACCTGCCTCTGTAATGTCTCGCTGCTTCAGCGATCGCCATCGGAGACTCGAGAGGCGATCGCTTGCGGGCCATCAAGGGACTCGGACAGTGCCAGGCAGGAGATCCGCGACCGGCGTAGGGGCGACGCACTAACAATCGGTCACGTTTCCGCAGCGACTATCTGTTACCCGACTCCTTGTAGCCAGGAGCGAGGGTCTACAGTGCGCCTCAGCAACACTAACGACAGGTACATTAACAGTAAGAATGCGTTAGGCAAGGTTCCTTGAGCGGCTTTGGGTTGAGTTTCCCCGGGCTTGAACCAAGAGGTTGGGCTGCCTGGAGACTCCCGCATACGTAATGACCGCTTCTCTCGGCCAGCCACGCCCTTTATTAGCCGGCTCTTCGTCCTTCTTCCATCTCTCATTCATCAATTCCTCACCCATCTCCATCTTCATCTCCATCTCAATCCGCATCGACAACTCTGGTATCTGACATCACTACCATTAGCCACAATGCGGTTGTCTACTTCCGCCCTCGTTCTGGGCGCTGCCTCGTCGGCCATGGCCTACCAGGACCAAAAGGTCCTCGGTGACTCCAAGCCGGCCGTCAAGTTCGGCGGTGACTTTGAGGCGCTTGCCTCGTCCCTCAAGGAGACGTTTGGCGAGCTGACTGCCGATGCCAAGGCCGTTTGGGAAGAGGTCTCTCTGCTCGCCCCGGATGCCATGGAGGCCTTCATGGCCCAGGCCAAGGGCATCAAGGCCAAGAAGCACGACCGCAAGGCCGATGGCGACTGGGACCATGTCGTCAAGGGTGCCGACGTCCAGAAGCTGTGGGTTGAGGACGAGTCTGGAGAGTCCCGCCGTCTGGTGGGCGGCAAGCTGTCCAACTACAGCCTGCGAGCCAAGAAGGTTGATCCCGCAAAGCTCGGTGTCGACAAGGTGAAGCAATTCAGCGGATACCTCGACGACGACGAGAAGGACAAGCACTTGTTCTACTGTGAGTTTCTTTTTTTTTAATACAATTCTCCTACACGCAAGGCCCCGTGGCTAATCAATGTTGTGCTTCACAGGGTTCTTCGAGTCCCGCAACGACCCCAAGAACGACCCCGTCATCCTGTGGCTCAATGGCGGCCCAGGCTGCTCCTCCCTTACCGGTCTCTTCTTTGAGTTGGGACCGGCCTCTATCAACCAGAAGATTCAGGTTGTCAACAACCCTCACGCGTGGAACAACAACGCTTCCGTCATCTTCCTTGACCAGCCGGTCAATGTCGGCTACTCATACGGTAGCGGCTCAGTCAGCGACACTGTCGCCGCTGGCAAGGACGTCTACGCCCTCCTCACCCTCTTCTTCCACCAGTTCCCCGAGTATTCTACTCAGGACTTCCACATTGCTGGAGAGTCATATGGCGGACACTACGTCCCCACCTTTGCCTCCGAGATCCTCTCCCACAAGGACCGCAACATCAACCTCAAGAGCATTGCAGTTGGCAATGGCTTGACGGATGAGTTCACCCAGTACGCCTACTACCGGCCCATGGCCTGCGGTGACGGTGGCTACCCCGCTGTCCTGAGCGAGAGCCAGTGCAACGCCATGGACAGCTCCCTGCCTCGCTGCCAGAGCCTCATCAAGAACTGCTACGACTCTGAGAGCGCCTGGCTCTGCGTGCCCGCTTCCATCTACTGCAACAACGCCTTCATTGGACCGTACCAGCAGACTGGCTACAACCCCTACGATATCCGTTCCAAGTGCGAGGATTCCGGCAACCTGTGCTACAAGGGTCTGGGCTACATCGCCGAATACCTGAACAAGCCTGATGTCATGGAGGCTCTCGGTGCTGAGGTGTCAACCTACGATTCCTGCAACTTTGACATCAACCGTAACTTCTTGATGCACGGTGACTGGATGAAGCCCATCTACCGCCTTGTCCCCGATCTGCTGAAGGAGATCCCCGTCCTCATCTACGCCGGTGACGCCGACTTCATCTGCAACTGGCTCGGCAACAAGGCCTGGGTCAACGCCCTCGAGTGGGAGCACGGCGACGAGTTCCGCAGCGCCAAGACCAAGGACCTCATTGTTGGAGACAAGACCTACGGCAACGTTCAGTCATCGCACAACCTCACCTGGATCCAGGTCTACGGTGCCGGCCACATGACACCAACGGATGAGCCCGAGGGCAGCATCAACTTTGTCAACCGCTGGATCGCCGGCGAGTGGGTTGCTAAGAAATGATGAATGATTAAGATACCCGATGGGTTTTTGGAATAACCGGGCAGGAAATGACATATGGGCGCGGATTGCATGTTTTATCATGAATTATTAGTATTGGTAGGAATCAAGAATAAACGACTTACTTTTATTATTATTATAATCTTCGGTTGATCGAGTTTGCTACTTGGGCGTGCCATCTTGCGTTTTGTTTGCTTGTTTCGCAATCCTGGTGTTTTGACGTTTACGTGTCTCGGAGATGGCATAGCAATGAAGCAATTAGTCCGAGCGGTGTTTGTCGGTGATGTTGCGATGGGATGGTTGATCTCCGCAGGTGCTCCAACAACCCCCCGCCCCAATCATTGCCTTGCAAGGCAAAAGTTCCGGTGCGGAGATGATGGCATCGGACGGAGGTTAGGAGCACATGTTTCCTCGTTCGCGAAGACAATTTGGTGCATTTGCTTGGGGTACAGGGTAAACAAGCATGTCCAAACACGGCGAGGAAGTACTGGGTAGTATCTGTTAGAAACCTAGGTAGGTAGGCTAGCAATTGACTCCGTTCTATTCTTCTCCCCTCTCCATCTCTTAGTTGCTACTCGATCACCAGGCTAAAAAAAAAAAAAGAAGGAGGTAGAAGATATCTTGATGACGCAGGTCGTGTGGCGATGAGCTTGGCTTTCTTGGAAGTTTTGCCCTCGCCCAAATGCCGATACACAATGCATGGGGTGGGTGGGATCATTCAAAGGTGGACTGATTCTTGCTGCGCCCTCCGTCTTGTCGCTTTCGCATTCTCTTTGATGGTTGACTGGATGCATGTAACTCGGCCGGCACATTGAACGTGACAGAAACGACTGATACGTATATCCAATCATCTGGAGGTTTGCCTTGATGGGTTGATTGGCGGTTAATGCTGAGCCCGTTGCGGCCGCTAAGTGTTTAGTGAATGGCCCTGCTAAAGTTTACTGGTATAGACGGGCTGTGGAGAAGAGTGTCCTCGGGGTCCCCCATTCTCGCCCTTCAAGGAATACAGCAACAAAGTACGCGGGGGGAGCCGAGGATATTCCTCCCTACGACGTGCTCGCATGTGCCCTCCTCGTGAAGCTCCTCGGCATGAATATCCATTAATCTACCGTGCGGGGGGGAGACCCTATTAAACACGGGGTCATGATCAATATTATAGAGAGCAGACAAAAATAACCACTGCCTGTTACTACTAAGGTATATGCCAAGGTGGTCGTAAGGGCAGGGTAGCACCCCAGCGATGCGGCGCTAATCCGTCTCCCCCAACAAAAAAGTAAATAGAGAAAAAACTTTTCTCTTACTGGCTGCATTGTGAGAGCTGAACTTGGGTCCGTTTGCCGCATCCGGCTCCGCATATCGCGGCCACAGCACGGAGAAACGGGGTAGAGTAGATGCAACCACTCCGTCTTTTCTGGTGGCGGCTGGCCGGGAAAGGGTCAGAGGAAAGTTGGTGTGGCGATTACGGGAGGCTAGCATTGATTGAGAATGTGTTTTTCTTGGTCCCCTTTTGAGGGTTGGGTGTGTCCCGTGGTTCGACTACCTGGAAGCTGGGAAGCTGTGCGAAGTTCGGTAACGTTGCGAGATTCGGCAACGCTGCGAGCAGTTACTGTAGTTGGTATTGCACGGAGCATCATTGCCGGGTTTGCACGGCAAATGGGGGAATGCGAGTGCGAATCTGCTTGTGTGCTTCCGCCGATTGAGCCGAACCAAAGGGAACAGCCCATGCATGCGTGCACAGGTGCTACGGATATACTCGTACCTACAGTACAATCGCACTCGCATCGCTGGAATGGAAGAAAACGGGCGGCATTTGCTGCATTCTCGTCCTTTTGGGCCTAGAGCCGATGTTGGGTTCTGGGGCGGAGATGCAAGGGGGACCAGAGAAGCTGGGCATGGGAGAGCGCCGGCCAATGACGATGCCTGGCGACTGTCGAAAGGAGATCAAGCATGGCGCAGGGCCTTCATTGCCTGGGCGAGCAGCGGCTGGGCCAAGAGTTGAGTTGCGCCATGGTCGCGAGCATAATGGTAGCACTGCCGTGATAACGTCCAATGGATTGTATTGTTTTGGCCTGGTCGAGTGACCGCTGGACCCGGGTTCGGCTGGCACGGCCCCTGATGCGGGAGTTGTTGGATGGATCGGTAGGCGACGAGTCGCAATCGTGGAGAGAAGCGAGAGAAAGCCGATGTTGGTTGCGAGAATGAAGTGGCAGGGGAGAGAAGATGGGACGAGGAAAAAGAAGAAGATGAAGAAGTAGTAGTAGTAGAAGAGGGGAGAGAATCCATCCAGATGACATCCATTGCAATCGATAACAAGACAATGGCTGTGTGAGAGAGCTTAGTATGTAATCCTCGGCACTTGTTGATGCTCTAGGTATCCCCAAACTCTCGCCCAGGAGAACCTACGGCGCAATTGAGTTTCTCGCTATTCCCTCCTTTCGGCTCAGCTGCTCATCGAGGCTGGCTTCAACAACGAAAATCGATCGAGCTCCTGCTCCGCGGGCTCCGAGACGAACAGGGGGGAGGACATCCGCTGGGTTATCGCGCGATATGTAGCAGCTGTATTTGACTTTGGACCCCCCTGGCTTGCCGAGCGGCCGCTGGAGCTGAACAAGGGAGCCATAATCAACGACCGACAGATTTCGAATTCTGTGAAATTAATGCCGTTCGTGGTTTAGAGACAAGTACCGGGCGACGTCCATATCGCGTTGATGCCGAAATGAAGCTCCCGAGGACTAGCAGTATAAACACCAAGCTCGCCTCCCTCGAGATGGCCTCTTGTCTGACACGCCCCAAATATCTTCATTGATCACATCTGGCTTATCTCTCTCCCTTTTGGCCCCAACTCGCCAGCCCTGCTGTTTGTTTAATATTTGCTACTCCATCCGTATCTTTTGTTCAAGCACGCACACCAAGTAATACTGTACGATACTAGACGTCACATATCAACGGCGGTACTTTGCCCGTCCCATACACATACAATCAACTGAGAGCAGCAGCAACGACAAAGTTACTTGGCAGCCTCTGATCTGCTGGGCCACCAATAAAAAAGAGCAATCATCTACCACCATCTACATTCGGGTGGTTCATCATTTTCCCATTCCCAATTTTTTCTCTCTCGGTTGCATCATTGAGAGTTGGTTGAACTGCTCCGTTGACCCGCCTGTTGCCCCAACAAATTCGCCAGGCGTGTATTTTTTTCTCTGGCCCTCTCTTTCTCACCCCTCCCTTGGATCCAGCCTCGGCGGAAGCGGGTATCCAGAGCGCCCTCTTTTTTCTTTTTATTAATTTTCCTCTGCACTCTTGAGTGTTTTTTTATTTTATTTTACTATCTTTGTCATCGACAGATTCCTTCAATCTCTCTTCTTTTCCCACTTTGTTTTATATCATAGCCTGTTTGGCGTGCGCTTTGCATTGGCCAATATAGCCTGGAACTTTATTTTGGGGCAAAACCAAGCTTGTTGTGTTTGTTAGCGAGAAAAAAAAAGGTACCTGCGAACTACACTGAGGGTCCCCCAGTGGCTGAACGAAACGACTTACACCCGTTGGCAGCAGAGCTTTTTGTCTTTTCACCACCGCAGCAATTTTGACATTCGTCTATACAAGTCTTGCACGGTTTCTTTGCACCTGGCAGGTGGCATCTCCAACATTCACCATGTCCAAACTCCAGGTCTGGGCCTCGTTGCCCGAAGCCCACCTCTTCAACTTCCCTCCTGCCAACCCTCCGGCCCCAATCCCGCCGGCGCATGTCCCTGCCACTATCCTGAGGCCCTTCAACATCCCCGACGATCTCTATGTGTCTGCTCTGGATGCTCGAGTGCCGTTGACGATTGCCGCTCTTTACGCCATCTCGGCCAAGCTGCTCAACAAGTACAACAAGGCGCGCAACAAGAAGCCCTGGGGCATCAGCAAGACACGCCCCTTCTTCGTCTTCGTCGTCCTGCACAACATCTTCCTCGCCGTCTACTCTGCCTGGACCTTCTGGGGCATGGTCGGCGTCATGCAGAGGAGTTTCGTGAACCCCTTTGGCCCCAGTGGCGTCGCAGGTACTGCGGATGGCTTCTGCCGCCCCCACGGACCTCGAGGCCTGGGCAACTCCATCTACTTCAACGAGACCACTTTGAGCTGGGACAGCGCCTCGCCGAGCTCCGTTGCGCATCTGCTTGCTTCCAATGGCATGCCTAGCACCACCGAGCCCGGCCGGATGTGGAACGAGGGCCTCAACTTTTACGGCTGGCTCTTCTACCTGAGCAAGTTCTACGAGGTCCTCGACACCTTCATCATCCTGGCCAAGGGCAAGTACAGCTCTACTCTGCAGACTTACCACCACGCCGGTGCCATGATGTGCATGTGGGCTGGCATGCGGTACATGGCCATCCCCATCTGGATCTTCTGCCTCTTCAACTCCTTCATCCACTCCTTGATGGTGAGTTTCTTCTCCTGCTGTCGACCTACAGCCTTGCCCGCATCTTCCTTTTTGCTAACCCTGCTCTCTAGTACACTTACTACACTCTATCGGCCTTCTCCATCAGAATCCCCACGGCCCTGAAGCGTTCCCTGACCTCTATGCAAATCACCCAATTCATCATTGGAGCCACATTCGCCATGGTCCCGTCCTTCATCACATACGTTTCCCCCATCACCTCTACCCACGTCGTCACCGAGCAGTCTCCCGTCACCAGGAGCGCCCCGATCGACTACATCATCCCGACCGCCGTCAGTGCCCTGGATTCGCTCAAGCAGCTCATCTTTGGATCTGCCGAGGTCGCTGGCGCCGCCGAAGCCGCGGCCGCGCCCACCATCAGCAAGTCCACCACCGTCACCCGGACGTTCGACCTCGTCCAGCCCTGCACTCTCACCACTGGTGAGACGTTTGCCATCTGGATCAACGTCGTCTACCTCGCCCCTCTCACCTACCTCTTCATCAGCTTCTTCATCGCGAGCTACGTCAAGCGCAGCAGCGCCGCCCAGAAGCTCGGCGGTAAGGCTGCCCGCGGCATGGGCGACGAGGTCACCCTCGCCGAAAAGGCTGGCTGGGAGGCTGCCCGTAACGTCGAGCGGGAGGTCTACGGCGGTGAGCAGATGGCAGAGGGAAGCAGCAGCCCCAATGGCAAGACCAAGCGCAGGGCTTAGAATGGCCTCGTCGTGAAAAAGGTCAAGACAAGAAGGCTAGTTGGCAAAAAGGGGGGTTTGAAAGTTGTAGGATACTCACGCTGAATCACAAAAACCATGAGTTTGATTTGGTAATTCGTGAGATTTGGGTTTTTTGCTACATCAATTTTTTTTTAAAACTTACGGGCATGGTGGAAGAAAGAAACAAAAACTTTCAGTTGCCCCGGGCATGGCGTTGTTTTATTTTCAAAATCCTTAACTGGATGGGCTTTTGGGGAGGGGTGGAAAATTATTCATATTGGTTTCAACTCACACACATTAGTATTTGCATGGACAAGGGGGATAGTGTTGCATTTTCACTTGTCGGAATGATCAAAGTTGAAAAAAAAAGAGATACACGACTCGAAATAGAATCTGAGAACTGACCGGATCATTGGATCAGAAGACGTTTCCTCGTTTGGCTTTTGGATTTCCTATGTGATGTGTCTGATGACCTTATTCCTGTGCTTTTGTACTGTAGAGTGAATGCCCCTTTTCCCTGCGTCAAACAGGTGAGGTGTCCCCTTTTCCTTGCGTCAAAACATGTGTAGTTGGCCAGACGATAGAAGAACTACAAGCAGAACCCAGGAGAAACGTTTTTGAAAATGTGTGTAAAGAGAGTCAATTATCTGTCTATAGAGTTCGCCCTCCGGCTCACAAAACAACAAAGCGGCTAATCCGCCATCGGGGTATTACCTCCTTTCCAAACAATCCCGCACAGAAAAGAAGAAAAAAAAAAAATAGGATATAAAAAAAAATGTCAAAAGATTCCCTTCTCTCTCTCTCGCAGCCAAGATCTGCTGTTGGTGCCCAAAAAGAAGAAAAATAAATAGAATAAATAGATGAATAAAACTGAGCTGCCAAGGAGGGTATCCCGCTAAAGAAAACGCCTGCTTTCCCAAGTCTAGTAGTGTGTCTGTGTCTCTGAATCTGAATTTCCGTCCTGCTCGGCGAGTTTTTGTCCGAGATGAATAATGTTTCCATGCAGTACTTCAAGAAAAAGAAGAGAAGATGGGGAAAAAGGGAGGTTGAGATGTCTGAAGAGATTCTCTGTAGATCGAGTTTGTCCCATTATCAAGGAGTCGGTTGAGGTTGTGTAAATAAGAACAAGAAAAAGAGAAAAAGAGAAAAAAAAAATCATCAATCTGGTCTAATGGTCTATCGTCATTTGAGTTGCTCGTAACTTCATGTGTTCGCTCTGGGTATTGAAGAAGATGCCGCTGCAGTGGTGACACGAGTGTAATAGGTAATAGGAAATCTGACCTGCTTTTCTGATGAACCTTCTCCATCAAAAAGGGGTCATATCGGCCGTGTAAGTTGATATTGCGGCTCAGCCGCCAGGTCTCTCTCTTAAAAGGTGCTCCAGTTCCAGTCTCGCGGGACGCTGGCCGGAATCTCGGGGCCCTGGGGCAGGCCAAACGGCGTCGCTGGCTGCAGAGCGATGGGTGTGGAAGGGACTGTGCGATGGGCATCCGAGGATGCTGGGCTGGACACTAGGCTGCTCTCGCGGCTGTGCCATGTCTTGAACTGCTCGAAGCAGTGGTTGCACGTGCGTGACGGGATGGCGCGTGGGTTGAAGTTTGCGTTCTGGTCGAGCGGAAGCGCATAGCTCGAGTGCCAGTCGCAAAAGATGTTGCCACATTTGCGGCAGTGGTGCCGCCGGACAAAGTAGCTGAAATTGCGTTTGCACGTCGGGTCGTCGCAGATGGTGGATTCGGTGTCGGGCTAAGCAGGGCAATGTTAGCGATGATCTGTCCTGTATGTGGATGAATCTTGGGGTCCAAACAAACCTTCCAGTGCTTGCGCGTTGGTGGCTCCGTGACGTCGGGGAAGAGATCGAGATTCCACTCGCCATCGATGCTGCTCTTGCCGCTCTCGCTGGCGCGACGGCCCATGCGCTGGCCGACGATGCCGCTGAGGCTCATGAAGCCAGTGTTGGAGCGGCGCAGCGTCACGTCGGAGCCAGAGTCGGAGCTCGAGTCGCCAGATCTTGACTTGGTCAAGGGTCGTTGTGGGAACTCGTCGTTTGGTCGCAAGGCAGCCGGCATGTAGACGGGCCGTACATGGGTGGCGTGATGAGCCTTGGGCGACGGCGGTGTCGAAAGGGGGTGCTCATGGAAGCCGTTTGAGCTGTTTGGCGACAGCTGAGGTCCTGGGGGCAGCTGGAAGGACTGCGAGCGGTTGTGGCCACGAGGGCGCCCGCTGTTTGGCAGAAAGTGCCGGGACTGTTGCTGAGCACCCGGTACAGAAGGCATGATGAGCTGGGCCGCCATTGTGTCTACTTGTTCTTTACTTGTCCTTCTCTTCTCTTGTTGGGATTTCCGATAATCCACAGGTTGATGTAAGAGGATAGTGAATGGCGGAGTTGTGCCACGTCGATGCCGCCGCGCGGTGAGTGGCTTGGATATGTGTAGAGTTTGTTCGGTGATGAGTGAGATCAATGTCAGAGCGGATGCCCCAAGTGTGTGTCGCACGCTATGCAGGAAAAGAGAAGAATGCTAAAGATTAGGAGGCGATGATGGACAGAAAGGTCGATTCGACAACTGCTCTGCTCGGGGAGATGAAGTCGAGGGATGTTACTCGGTATCGAGATCGAGGGCGAGACGAGGATATAAAGCAACCGAGGGCTGCAAGTGCCAGGTACGTGTACCGGCGGGTACTTGGCCGGTCTGGAGCTTACTTTGCTGGAACGAGTAGTTACTCGTACCGACCGAGTCCGTCGAGTCGAGATTGATCCTCTGAGAATCGCACTGGGTCCTCCTATTCTGAGTTATGTCGGGTGTGTCGGCGAGTGGCCGGATTGGTGCGATTTGAACAGGGGGCGGACTATCGCAGGGCGGCAATTGGACGGACGCTGACCGGTGGCGATGCGAGTCGCGGATTTTGGTATGTGGACGGCGTGGTAAGTAATATGGAGCGTGGAGTACCTAAGGTAGATCCGGTTATTGTACAAGTATGTAAGGTATCTGGAAGAACAAGGTTGGTGCTGGTAATACAAGCGCAGCAGTTGGCCGGAGCATGAATATGAATGTCTTGTTGATTGCGAGGTAAAAAAGAAGAAGAAAAGTTGCGAGCAGTACTGTATCCTCCCCCCCCAACTGCCTTAGTACTGCTACCTTATGCAGCTCTGTCCGCTTTCCCTGTCTCATGCACGTCGTCCAGGCCACAGAGGAGCTAATGTACGTTCTGTCGTGGTAGTATTGAAGGCAACTACCTGGCCTGGCCTTACGGAGTAATTAGTACTACCTGTACTCGTAGGTATGTACGACGGGTCTGGGTCTGGGTCTGGATGAGGGAATCGTACGGAGCACAGAGAAGAGCACCGTCCTGTAAACGCCTGGACTGTACTCTATACTCCATACTCCGTACTCAATATTGATCCATGTGTACTCGTACGAACTCGTCCTACGCTGCGAGAGCCACTCAGACAAGCAAATCCAGGCCTTGTTCGGGGTCTGTGTCCCTCTCGGCGTTTGGCTCCAGTTGTGTGGCACGGAACTTTGGGCCTCTGGGGAGGATTGATTGAATTGGTGGGCAGCCCATTGGCCCGCTCGGCCACTCCCACATGGGCTAAGGCAGCATGCTAACAATAAGGCGAGATTTATTTTTACCCAAGCCTGGGCCGTCGAAAGTTTCGATTGTTTGTTGATCCATTGATGTTTTTTTCTCTCGCACTCTGTAGTTGCAACTGCCGATACCAACAAGTAAGCATAACCCGGCAAAGGTAAATCAGCACTCAGCTGAGCTTACATGTCAAGTACTGATGGCACCAGAACGGCCGGACTGCACAGCACTTTTCTGCACTACAGTACAAACGGCCCATCCGTGCTAAATCTCATGCCCAAAGCCGTGACATGTCAAAATTGATGAAGATTTTTTGGGGTCCCCGGCCTCAAATGCACCTCGTTCGTCATAGTAAGCTTAACGAGCCAGGGTGGCAGGTGCCTTGTTTCCCTTTTGCGCTCTCAGCCTGTCCTCGATTGCCTCGCGATGAACCCGGTGCTTGCTGCCGGTCTGCGTACAGGATACCGTCTGCAGCGCCGGTGAATGTAAGGCTGGCAAAGGTACCCCGTACCCGTTCGTGTAGGTACAAGTCAGTACGAGTATCACCCAGAAACGGCATCGACCAACGAAAAGCGCTAATTACCTGCTTGGTCCTTCCCCCAGCGCCTGGCTGCAGCGCAAAACGCGCGCCCCGTTTGTCGTCCATCGCCCATCGTTTAAGCCGTTCCAGCGCCTACGGCCAGCGCGAGCATCTCCCAGCACGAGCGCCAATCTCGTGAAGCGGAGCGCCACAGGCACCAGCGGCAACACCAACGGCAGCACCAACGGCAGAAGCAACGTGCAAAGAATGCAGACGCCATTGAGTTCTGTCAACTCGCCCGCTAGCACTCGAGAGTCGCCCCATTGGTATCCGCCCGATTGGCATGTAAGCGGCCTGGCTGTCCAAGATGGGATTTAGGGGTCCTGGAGCTGCAATGGAAGTTGCCGTACCGTACGAGTTCCTTATGTACCGAGTACATACTTGATATGCTCTGTAGACGGACAGACAACATCACATCAGTCCTGCCAACGCCGAGCAACATCGGCAAAGATTGGCATCAGGGAGCGGCAGCATCTCGATCGGCTTGTGGCAATGGCAATGCAACGTACCCTATGGATGTGTCTTGTCACCGCCGGGCCACGGCTAAAGCGTCTGTGATCACGGACATTAGGGCTCTCGCTTCTCGCAAGCATCGGCAGTGCTAGGTGCTGAGACGCCTGTACTAAGGTACCTGCCTGGTACTGCTAGCTTCCACATTCACATGCTCTCTCTTTTTTTTCCTTTCCCGAGCCAAACTTGCAGCAAACTCAGCTACCTATGCTTTACCTTTTCACCCTTTTCACTTCGACACCATTCATCATCATAACTTCACCCACTGCCCTCCTCATCCCTCTACTAAGACAGACGTCTTCTCTCCTTCGCGTGAACCCTCTCGGCGATGCCACTCTCTGGCCCCAAAAGTGCTCCTCCCCCCACCCCCAAGAAAAAAGACCCCAAAACGGCCTTCGCACTACCTAGTCCCCACCACAAAGTTCTCGGCGTGTTGATCTTCTCGCTCGTAGCCTCTTGGCTCCTGTTCCTGGACAAGAACCTTGAGTCTTTTTTTGCTCGTCTCGTTTTATTGACATGGTTGTTATGCGGGAAACTGCATAGAGACCCTGCAAGTCCGGAGCACGGAGCACAGCCACGGATGACAGCCGACACACACTGAGCCATCGATTCACTGCTTTTTGCTCCTGTATTTGCCGCAAGACAGCCGACGTCGCGACATTGTACGAGTATTTCGCTTCGGATATGCTCCGGAGTGTTCCAGGTTCTGTAGGGTGCCCAAGTCGCTGCGCTACGGGTGCTCGTACATGGTTGATGCCCCAGGGAAATAAACCCCGGAACATCAAACCATGGCATACTTGTAGCTCCGACGACCTCGGTGAAACAATTTCGGCTTGGCATCTTGGTCGGCTTCATCCTCTGTCCTTTGCACCGGCTTGGGTCTCCGGTTCCAGCGTCGTTGCAGCTCAGGGCCCCCATCTCATGCCTTCTCACCGTCTCTGCTAGTCCATTACACTGAATACGAGTACACCGCCAGGTAATGCAGAAAGACGGTGTTGATTTGGGGCGTCAAATGGAAGCACTACAATATTCCAGCGCGGCTCTGCGAAGATCTTGCATAACCAAATCAGCTGGCTAGTTTGCCACTGGCCGCCGCAAGCCCGCCAGGAACAAGTGTTTACCTTTACCGTATTTGCCGCCAGCATAATACCGTGCCTGTCTATTCTCCTACCGGTCTTTTATTGAGAGACGGAACCAATCCTGGTCATCGTTTTAACGACCATGTCGACGACCCTCGGCACGGACAACCCGGTCTAGTGGCAGGACCCGGGAAAAAAAGCCAAACCCACACGGGCCATACGGCGGCAGTATTCACGGTTTTTTTTCTCCCCCGCCAAGTGGACGCAGAAAGTAATGGCAAGCAGAAGCCAGCTTGACTCGCGGTTTGTTCTTCGAAGCTCACTAGAGCCTTTCGCCACAACGGGCGCCCCGTCAGTGGGAATCTAGTTCGATCAACAAACATATGGCGGCCTCTCTTCTGAATTAGGCACCGCATCAACGGAAAAGGTGGCATTTGGGCACTCGTACTTGGTACGCCGTCATCCATATGGGCCAACCAACAAACTCAGTGTTGTTGTATCGTGGCGGCCGTGGACGTTCTCTCTTCTGTCCTTGAGCGGACGCACTGGGACGAGTACAGAGTACATACTACGGTCATAAGTCTCCGCCTGCATATGCATGTACATGCAGTCATACAGGTACATATTCTGTTGAGGGAAGATATCATGGTTTATTTTGGCCCCGTGCCTCACCGCAGGGACGACTCGTGCTCGAGACCATCTCCCACCCAGTCAGAGAGGCAAAGCGAAGCTGTGGAGATGGGCTCTGCGCTCTGCAAGCTGCAAGCTGCCACGAATCGCTGAGCCACGGGAGAAGCGGGCTAACCCCGCCTTCGTTCCGGTGGACATGTGTGGAAGCTTCGTGCATCGTTCTGCTTGTTCCAGCGTCTCATTGAGCGTCTCATTGAGCATTCCATGGGCCGTCTCCCAACGAACCGCGTCCAGGACGTTGCAGTGCGGCAGATGAATCTTCCGGCTCGATATATGCCTTGCCCTGCCCCCTTGGCGGCGAGAGGAACGACGGGGTGGTGTCGTGCTGCGTACGGAGCAGAGCTGTGCCAAATCCAGGGCCACGGGCACGGGAGAGCTTAGGCTGCCATGTGGTTGCAAGTTTGCAAGGCATCAGTTTCGGTATTGCTTGCTGGTACTGTACAGGTACTCGTACATGCTCGTACGGGGATTCGGAATGGCTGTCAATCATGGCCAGCCCGGCCAAACGCCACACACTTTCTTTCGCCTCAAGTAACTCTCTGCCGTTGGTTTGATCTTTGCCGAATGGGGCAATCGCCTGCACGACTTGATGCCCGCCTTATCGCCACGCTGCTATTGGTGCATCTATGCTTTACCAAGGCTTCATACCTGTCATCTCAATGTCTGTGATATAATACGAGTGACGAGCACTGTGATTGGCAGATCCCTTTCTGCGCCTTCTGGCCACACACGCTGCAGCCTCAAGCTGGAGAATGCCAAATCACTGCCCGTTCTTGCTGAGAACCAAAATGCCAAAGGGGGGGCCAACTTTCTCCGCCCGTTATCCCGCATCGTCGTCGCACTGCAGCTTGCGGAGGAGGGGCAGCTGGAAGAGGGAACTTGGGAAATACTCGTACATACATGCATTCTGTAGGGCCTCAAAGCGGTTGGGTCTCAACGTGCCATCCACACTGGCCTCAAGGTGTGGCCGCTGGCGAGCATGTTTTTCTTAGGATTTTACCTTGTTTTGTTTAGTCCTCCTCACCGCTCGACATGCATATTTGACAACGCAGACCGGGCGCCTCGTTTTTCATTTATAGGCGTCCTGTGGGAGGTCATTCGGGCATGTCGCTGCTGCGTTGTTGGGAGCCCGTTGGCTCGTCTTGGTCTTGATGGTTGGTGAGATGGGGGGGGCCTCATTGCAGAACAAGTCTATGATTCATGCTTGTAGATGGATGTATGTCAATCACATGGGGTCAATGATCGTCAAAAAAGGGGGCCCTGGCCTGTCTTTTTTGAGGGGCGACCTTATCGAGAGAGATCGACTTTTACTTTTGTCGAGGTACCGCCAGGAGAACTGTGCTCACCGATACGGTAAAGATGCCCAATGGTGTCCCATGTTGCTCCAGTCTGGCTGGATGTCTCGCGTAGGACTAACGGCGGAGGCATTGTTCCGTTCACGAGCAATTACTTCGACAATGGGAGGGGAGGGTTTTGTACTCGTACATTGTTTTCCGCATCCATTGGTGATTTTATTCTACTGCAAGGTGAGAACCAAGACTGGCTTGTTATTATGTGGGTGATAGACAACACCGGTGGTCTGGCGCTATAGACTTATATGTGATCAGCGGCGGTGTTCTTTGTCACCCACTTGCTTGTAAACTCAACTCGCCATTCTTTTGCTATGCTGATCTCTTGTTCTTCCCCGGAAAAGAGAAAAGAGTACGGATTACTATGGCGTCAACAATGGATAGCTGCTAGCATTCCTTGCATCCCGTATCCATGTAAATGTGCACATCACGCATCATACATCAAGGCATCTCCCATCTGCCGCTCTTCCCCCCGTCCTTGAGAACGACCCGGAGCCCCTCGATCTTCATCCCCTTATCCACAGCCTTGCACATGTCGTAGACCGTCAGGGCCGCTGATGACGCCGCGGTGAGCGCCTCCATCTCAACCCCCGTCTTCCCATCACACGAGACCGTCGCCCGGATCTCGATCTGGCGACTCCCCACGACCTCCAGATCGACGCTCACGCGGGAAATGGCAATGGGGTGGCACAGGGGGATGAGATCCGGGGTGCGCTTCGCCGCCATGATGCCGGCAACGCGAGCGACGCCGAGCACGTCGCCCTTCTTCATCTGGTTCTCCCGTATCAGTTTGATGGCCGTGTCGTCTGAGAAGTGCACTGCGCACGCGGCCGTGGCTACGCGCGACGTCACTTGCTTTTCTGAAATGTTGACCATGTGTGCTGATCCTGAGTCGGAGACATGCGTGAGGCGTGCTGAGTTTTGATTCTTGTCATCTTTGTCTTTTCTCAGGCTCTGCGAGCTAGACAGTCGCCGTAGTTGTTGCTGTTGTCCAAGATAGCCGGGAGTAGCTGCTGCTGGTGCCCCAGACCATGGCATAGCACGACTGATTAGATGCCGTGCTCTAGGCGGCATAGTGGTGAGTGTCGGTGGAACGGGATCTATCATGGATTAACTTAGCATACATCGCCATGTTATACCAAAGGTCGATGATGGATGGTAGGTGATATCATACATTCTCATTCCGATTCGCTTCGACATCATAGGAGTTACGAAACGGCGCAGACGAGTACCCTCCTGGTCGTGCTTTTGATTTCAGGGGATATGCTATGCAGCTTCATTACCCACCTATTAATATCATCGGCCGGTTCTTCATGTGCTCTAGTTCCCCAAGGCCGGCATGCTTTGCTTTCTTCCCCTTGACAGCTATTCTGATGACGTCGAGCAGCTCAGCTTCGTTTGGTGCCACGCCCAATGGAAGTTCGTTGCCGGCGAGACCTTGCCGGCGGTTCATCTCAATCTGCTTCATGGCCTCAAACGCCTCTTCATCTATGGGATCTCCGCTGTTGGATTTCCTCAGGATATCCCGCAAGGATACCTCGGCATTTCCGAAAAGGCAGACCTTGAGATTGCCATCGCTCGTAATCCGGAGCCGATTGCAGGTGCCACAAAAGTTGTGCGTCATGCTTGTGATGAAGCCAAGGCGGCCTGCAAACCCAGGTATTTTCCAAGTCTTGCTTGTGTCGTTCTTTTCATCACGAACCTTGTGCAAGTCGGGATATCTGCCCCGGATTACGTCCAGCATCTCATCGTACGAGAACATTTTACCCTTGTTCCACTTGTTGCCGTCGAAAGGCATGTACTCGATGAAGCGTACCTCGAGATCTTTCTCTCTAGTCAGTTCGACAAAGGGGAGGATTTCCCGGTCGTTGAGGCCACGCATTACAACGCAGTTGATCTTTAACTTGACGCCGGCACCTAACGAGTTCATCTCGAGGACGCGGTCGATGCTTTTCTGGACAGCATCAAATCCCTTTCTCCTTGTCATGATTTGGAATTGCCATGGATCCAAGGTATCAAGACTCAAATTTACTCCAGTAAGCCCAGACTCAATCATGCTGTCCAGCTTCCGGTGTAATGAAATGCCATTGGTGGTTATGCATAATTCCCGGAGCCCGTATGGGCGTAGCGCACCAAGTTGGTGCATGAGAGGCAAGATGTCTCGCCTTACCGTGGGCTCCCCTCCTGTGAGCCGGATTTTGGACACACCTTGTGATACAAAGACGGAAGACAGCATGATAATCTCGGGGCTCGTCAGGAGATTCCTGTCAGGAGACAGTGGAACACCTTCTTCTGGCATGCAGTACAGACATCTCAGGTTACACCTTTCAGTGACGGAGATGCGCAGATAGTCATGCTGCCGGTGAAAGGTGTCCGTAAGAAAGTCTGAGAAGGGCTTAGCATCGCGGATGCGATCCCGGCGCGAAAGGACGCCTGGAGACGGAGGAGGTGGTGGTATCATATGGTTTGGCTGAGGCTCTGGCTGTTCGGCAGCCGCCGAGGTTGACGCAATATGCCGTGTCAAGACTAGGGCGCCAACAGATGACCGTGGAAGCGAGACGCTCGAAGGCAGCCGAGCCGCAAGGTAGCGTATGGACTTCATCTGGCCCAGAGCTGATGGCAAAGCGCGCCGAGACATGTGGAAGTGCAAGTATTGGCTGCCGGCTGCACTCTGTACTTGGTGGCCAACTGGTCAGAGGCGGTAGATGTTGTCTATAGAAAGGCTCAATATGCGGTAGCCTGTTTGTAGAGTTATTCCCTTGCCATGCTTCTGCAGACCTTGGTTGGAAATCAATGCGAAAATATTTGTACAGAAGAAGAAGAAGAAGCCGGGCTGGAGAGCGAGCTGCTGTGCACTTCCGGGACCCGGGCCTGAGAGTAGCAAGATTCCGCCGCACAACCGGTCGAACCAAATCAATGGACGACTGTGGTATGACCCAAAGCTGCACGAGTACTCGTATATCCAAAAGGTTGCAGAAAAAGCAGAGGATTTGTTTCGACCTGGTGGGTTGAGACAGGAAAAAGAAAAAGGAACAGAGTTTCGCCTCCGCGGTCATGAGTGCGATAATGCAACCATGACGATAAAGCCTAGATGCTTACCTGAAGGTGCTAGCAGATGAGGGGAACGGGCTAGCCCAGGCGAGTTGGAGCTGGAGCTGCGGGCGCTAGCTGGAAGCGTTCAGAAGGTTTACAGCGCTTGCAGGTGCAAAGTACCTGTGCGTTAGGGCACTTTCGGGCGTTGGGGCGGGTACCGGAGACTCCCATCCAGTCTGCACCACACCCTCTGGCTTCAATGGTTCCGCCCGGCATCGCTAGTTGAACCTCTTCCCGTTTTCATTCGCTCGCTCGCCAACGGAGCAATATCAAGAAAACAATCCCACAGCCGCGCCAATTTACTTGTACGAGTACCTTTGCGCGTGAGCGTCTTTTGGTATCCGGTTGATATTGTTCGGCTAAACGACTGTCTGCTGGAGTCCCTTTGCCGCTTTGCTGGTCCCTCTCACTCGGGAGGGAAAAACCACCTACCTAGGCGTGAGCCCTCAGTTCAGCATTCAGCCTCCATTACCTAGTTGGCATTACCTCCAGGAGAGAGTGCAGGCGAAACTTGGACTGAATCGACGGAATTAGAGAGGAACATTGATTTCAATCATTGAACAACGACACCCATATCGAACATTGAGCGAGGGAGAGACGCCCTGCCAGTCTCCCTCTCTCTGTGCTTCTGAACCGATATACGACAACCTGTCGTATAAGAACTACACGAAGTGGCCACAGTGCAATCTGAACGCCCATAATGCAGTCCCTGGTAGCTTTAGATTGTATGTAAGCATGTTCTATCACTCCCAATGCTTTCCACCGCTTGAATGACGACCTAATCGTTGGACATCGCAGCTTCGCCTCACTGCAGGCCGAGTCCGGATGGCCGATTTGTTGCAACCCTCTTATCCTCATCCTCGGAGGTGCTTGTCCGCTCAACTGAGACCTTGCAGGTCACCAATGTCGTAAAATTGTCCGCTGGATCTGGATCTTCACCCGCCCCTTCGGCAACAGGCGGTTCAGCGAGTGTACCTACTCTGCTGTGGGCTCCGTCGTCCTCCAAGTTTCTCATTTCCACAGCCGATCAGCTGGATGTATTTGGGGCGCTTCATCCTTCTACGTTTCACGCAACAGTTCGCAATTACAGCTCTCTGTGTGGTGGGAAGCCGTCCCTAGTTCAGTTTGGAGCTCGAGATACGGAGATCCTAACCTGGTCCGCGTCTGGACTAAAACTTGTAGTCATGGATGTGTGCGGCTCTGGTGCGGTTGAGATTGAGAGTCCCAAATTCCACCAATCTGTGTCTGCATCACGAGGCCTGTCCCTCCGCCCAGAATCCGGGCATTTGGCGTTACTTGGTCGGTCTGGTGGCAGGGATATTGTGAGCCTCCATCATCCCGTCAGTCGGCAAGTGCTCAGGTCTTGGTGTCCAGAGACGCTTGATGCGCAGGGAGTTACCTGGTCCCCGGATGGCCAGTGGCTTCTTCTTTGGGAGTCACCTGCTCAGGGCCACCGCCTCCTCATTTACACGGCTGATGGCGAGCATTTCCGTACCATTACAGCGTCAAACCTTTTGAAAGGGCCAGACGCCGATCTGGAACTCGGAATCAAAATCTGTCAGTTGAGCCCTAATACAGAGCTGTGTGCCATTGGAGATTACAGTAGGGATGTTACTATTCTCCGTACACCGTCTTGGAGGGCACACCTTAAGTTGCCTCATCCGGCCACCATAGTACCAAAGGATACTCTCCAGGTAAGCTACAGCATGTTCACAGCATCTTCCAGAGTTTCTTTGTGATACTAAGCCCATCTCAGGTATGGCAAGAGAAGATTGAAGCCGAATCTCCACAGGCGCGAGCCACCCGCACTTTTGTCAGGGCTACTCAGGTACTGTCACCCCCGGGGCCTGCCACCGATGCTCAGTCTGTGACCGCTGAAGCCAAATCCGGCTGCTCATTGGCTGCATTTGATGCATCCTCAAACCTCTTAGCAACAAGACTGGAGGACTCGCCATGCACTCTATGGATCTGGGATGTCATTGCGGCCGAGCTTCGAGCCGTCCTCATCTTCCACACCACTGTTTCCTTCCGGTGGCATGCAAGCTCCCGTGAGCTCCTTTTAATTACTTCGCAAGACCCTGCGCAGCATGGAGCCTCGTTCATCTGGGATCCCCTGTCTAATGGGCCGACGCCTCTTGTACCAGAGGACATCTTGCCAGAGGGAAAAGCGGTGGGCAAAGCACAGGTTGCATGGATCAACCGCGAGACTGAATTTCCCATCGTGTTTGTCTCTGACGCGCAGCACTACCTTTTGCTGTCTCCGTCTAATGCTGGCCAGGATCAGAATCCCTGGCAGCAAGCTGCCGTGGACCACAGTGGAAACGCCCAGTATGATAGCCCGACATCTTCTGACTATGCCATGGTCGATGCAGATGAAACAGCGGTTGCAGATGATACCTTTTCCTTCAGAAAATTTGAGAGGGCGTAATATGTTGGAGCAATATATGATGATCCTTGGTGTATAATTCCGCCTGATCACTATTGGGACTCAGTTAAAAGGAAATGAATGACCAACATATCCGCCACTGGCAACCAAGCTGCAATACACGGGCACGAGACGATGCGTATGCGCTACGGCACCAAGCTCCGTCCAACTGAGTTGTGGCGTTTTGGCAGCCATGGGTGCCAAATGATAGTAAGACCTTGCAAGGACAAGTTGGCGCAAGGGGGTGCTCTGAATATGCATGGCGGAAGAAGAATAAAAGAGAATGTTTATACTAAACTATTTATTTATTTTTTTCGTGGGGGCCGCATGGATGGCCATACAGCAAGCTCGAAACAAGCCACGACAGACCATGGCCAAAAAGGAGACCGGGATTTCCGCTTCAAAGGCTGGAATGTGCGTTCACACCAAATTATGAAAGAATAAAAGCGCCGCGTCTCAGCCCTCTAGGCGGCCCGGTCTCCAATATCAGCTCTTTGACCAATGAAGCCAATGGATGCCATACAGTGCTCTTGTTTGCTCCGGGTTATCACTGTTCGCCCTCTTGTTCATGCATAGGCTGAGAGGGCCTGCTCTGTCTCCTGCAGGCGATGAGCCGATGTTATGCAAGTACGCCATAGTGTGAGCGTATGCCATCCCAGCCTCCTGGATTTGGGTCTGGTGATCCTCGATCACGTACTTAAACGCTACGCAGCCCAGTGTCGTCACTTGAGACATGTCCAAGCCGGGGGGCATATCATTCATGACGGGACTACTGAGTCGGAGATTGTCGACGGACTGCTGCCGCTTTGCCGGCGTCGTATCAGCAGTCGGATGGAGCCTACGACTTTACGAACTTTAACTGGTGCCTAGACAAAGAGGGAGAGACGAACTTGTGAGTTGAGGTCTGCTTGACTGCCAATGGCCGGTAGCTAGCTTGGAGTTGGAACAAACATACGGCAAGCTACTTTCTCTAGCCTAAGACATGACGAATGACACTTACTATGCTGCTAGCCAAAGGTCGCTGTCTGTATGCGGACTTCTCTATAAATATCACTCCTTCTCCCCAATAGTTGGGCTATCAAACTTCAACTCTATCTTCTCTCTCACATCTATACAAAGCCTCAATACCTCCTTATCTCTCATTATGCCAAACAGCGGGAACTCTACAACGTCCCTTAAGAATGTTGAACCAGGCAACATGACTGGGGACTATTATATTCTCTTTTCCAATGTACGTCACAAAGCAGACCCCATCTTGCTTGCCTTATTCCATATCTTCAGTGTTGGTATTCTTCTAACATGGTGGCGAACAGTTGCCGTTTAATTCGACCTGGCAACAAGTCAAAGATTGGGTTTCAGCATCTTGTGATGTCGACTTTGTTGAGGTATTTCCAGTCAGTAGCTCGGGATGGATCCGCCTCAAGGGGAAGAGTAACTTTAGAAGCGCATTCAGTGAGTTGCTCAATGGGTCTAATAACAGGACCTTGAGCTGATGGCGTGATAAACTAACCTTGGACGATTCAGCATACATGGATAACCAGCCATTCAAAGATCGATGTATAATCATTGATGGCCGAAACGAAACCGAATGTGTAAACATCAGGATCAGACATATGAGCCCGGCGGCGGCGCGTTTCCGTCGGAGATTGAGCCTCGCCGGGGGGAGCCGGGGCCGGCGAACGGCACTGAGGCAGACTCAGTCGCCGGCTCAGGGCCCCATGCCACAACACAGTCGCACTCACAGCGTTCCCCAGACTGAGGTTGATGCTGTTGATTTTGCAGACACTACACCGGCGCGGGCAAATGGAGATGTTTTGGCTCTTGCCAACTTCATTCTTAGCATGAGTCTGCGAAGCACTCTGCAAATGCAGCAGCAGTACGGTCTTCCACTTGGCTTTCCTTTTTATGGTGGGGGGTATTATACCATGGGCAACCCCAATACTAGCTCTTACTATGATGGCGTTTATGATCAAGATGAAGCTGTTTTTGCGGATGATGCTTCTCAGAGCTCCCATTGATGAGGAGAGCAATGAAGGCGGCACAAAGTGGCGTGCACCATTCAAGCCCGGCGGCTTTTGAAAGGAGAGGGCTGGAGACAAATTTGCGGAGGATTTCGTATTCGAATCTGGGTCATTTTTCTTTTCCTTGCTGCGCTTTGCTTTTTCTGCTGCGCTGGCGTTTGTGTTTTTTGCTTTTGTCACCAAGATTTACATGAAACCCATCCTGGCTCTCTAGTAGATGGGGGCCACAATTCTTTTCAGCTTTCAGCTGATTCCTCTCCCTTGGTGGCCCCTCATCAATCCTCATATTGTCACTCATTTATTGTACTATGTCTTTCTGCATTTTTTGATAATTTCGATACAAGTACACGTAGTATCCATGCTACAAATCGTCCCCTTATCAACGTGAGGCACATTTGAGCAGAAAAGGCCAGCAGTTCGCCCCCCCAACTGCCTCCCCTATGGTCGATACTGAAATTTATAGGTATAGACTGATGTGATTGAGAGGCCTTTGCGTGGACGCCATACACTGGTCGCCCATGTACCTAGTAATATGACGGCACCTGCTGGTACGCAGTGTCAAGCACACGACAGCAAACAAAGGTTCTCGACCGTGTTGGAATCGTACTTATGTGCGGAGATGTGAGACGTCAAGAGACATGCATAAGCATAATTGCTGCGGATACCGGGTATTCGGAAAGACGGGAGAGAGCGAAGCCTACGGAGGTCAAACATGATGGAGGGGGGCGTGTATGAAGCTGAGAGGACTGTGGTTTTTCACATGGATATTCTTGTATTCTCCCTTGCTTAACTCAGTGCGGCGGGGATACGCCTCGGAGCAAAAGTGATGGCTTATTTTCATGATTTTTCAAATCTAGGCACGGTATATTTGTTGACGGTATGGGATGATCCCTTACACATCTTGCTTACCGTAATCTAATACGCCTTGCTGTTCTTTTTTCATTTCGTTTCCTCCCCGGCTCCTGCGAAGAGAGTGAGACATTCTACGTACATTGTGTCATATGTCATATACAGGCGGGATCTGGTGGCGGTAGTTGAGATCGTCATCTGTGAGGTTGCCTCAGTTGTGGCTTTGGGACATGCATTATCACACAGCTAGGGTGATGTGATTGGCAAGTCACGCTCTGCTTTATTGTCTCTGAGGCATAAATTTCCGTGTACCAGCATATATCATAAGATCTCAATATTGCTTTAGTGGGCTGTCATATTTTGCCAACGTGCATTTGAGCATCTGGTGAAGTGTGAGACGACGGTGACACACATAGAACAGAGGGTGATGTCAGTGGGCAGCCTCTTAGAACATTGAACCCTTGCTGCAGCGAACAAGACGATGGTCACGATAGCACGGATCCCTCCCCCCCTTTTTTTGAATATAATTTATGCCATACTCCCCTTTTTATTCTCTATTCATCAATTTATCTAGTCGCAGCTCGGATCAATAGCGCACCTTAAGAAATGAACGGACATGCGATCAGATGGCCTATCCTTGTCTGTTCAAAGAGAATGTCTTTCCATGAGCAAGTTAGCTGCAAAATGTAATTCGCTATCATAGGAAGAGACTTCCTTTTTTTTGAGACAATTGCAAAATCTCACCCCTGGTTCCGTAAATCATGCAAGATGAGACATCGCGGTGCGGGAACTTTTAACACTTACAAGTTGCCGCTGTTCTGTTGACGTAGTCGGAAGAATACATGTATCTATAAATCTTATCGACGGAGCCGTTTGGAAATGGCTGCAAATGTTACATGCCTCATTGTAGAGAAATATTAGAGCAGAGAACGATACACATACAGCATCACTAACCTCTCGGCTCTTTGTTTAGTCTAATCGGATTATCCCAGCTTGATTCTAGTCGTTCAACCCAAAAAGCTGAGCATATGAAAGCCTTTTGCTGAACAACATCTGACGGATTATTGAACCGTCCTGCCGTCCAAAAAACGCCCTCCATACCCCTCAATACAGTGGCGAGCTGGCAATCTGATGCCAAAGTGAATCGACAGATGATTTGCCAGCTGCCCACTTCTCACTTTGCTCAATATTTTGAACACCTTCCAGATCTTGGAAATTAAATTGAAATCTTCGCTTCTCCATCATCCCGATCTTGAGTCAACCTTGTTCATACTTCCTCCACATATCCAATATCAAATCGTTCATCTCCATCATCATGCCCAAGCACGCTCTCACCCTTCATCACGACGAGGACCCTAGCGGCAAGAAAAGAAAAATGGAAAGCAGCTTGAGAGAGAATCACCTACCAACAGACGGAGAGATGGAAACGATGTCAGTGAGAGAAAAACTCCTTGCGGGTGTGTCTTTTAGCCTCGGCAGGAGGCAGCAGGATCAACAACAGAAGAAGCCAGCGCACAACCGGCCATGCTATGCTCCTGTAGCTAGCTTACAAAGAGCTGTAGATGACGCCTTTCGCGTGAAACCGAGCATGCGCCAGAGTTTAGATGGTGGTCCTGAGCCTGAGATGATGCTTCCAGGGGAGGTGGAAGAGAGATTCTGGGCGGAGAGTCTGAAACAACGAAGAGAAATTCTCAGAGACCACTATCACCAAAGAACGAGCCAGAGGTAAGCTTACAGTTTGAAGCTTGTTTGAAAGGAAAGCTGAAGCTAACGCGCTGATGATATAGACGAGATACGAGCCGACGACTGCAGGCAGTCTTAAGGCAGGCAAATGACAATCCGTTTGCGCCTCCGGTGGAAACTTCAAGCGAACAAGAACCAGAAGACACGTTACGGCTATTTCTTCAATCTGCTTGCCGTAGTTATGGCTACAGAAAGCTGCAGATGGACTTTTGCGGCTTCATAAGAATCAAGGTTCACAACGACTTCAAAGGAGAGCCCCTTGGTTCTGTGCCTGGGGAGCCCACCGTGGAGCCAGCAGACAGTGTGTGTCTCGATGCCAGCGAGGGAAATATCACCTTATATGAATGCGACGTGTAAGTACAGCTATGAATGGTGATTTTGAGCTCGACTAACATGAGCTCTGTGAAGGCCTGACCGGTTTGGCCGTGTCACCACATGGGTGTGGCTCAAAATCTGCAGACCACTCAGAGCATACGAACTAGGACATCATCCAGCACCAGATATGTGCAAGGAAGAAGAAGAAGAAGAAGAAGAAGAAGAAGAAGAAGAAGAAGAAGAAGAAGAAGAAGAAGAAGAAGAAGAAGAAGAAGAAGAAGAAGAAGAAGAAGACGAAGAAGAAGAAGAAGAAGAAGACGAAGCCTGGGTCATCATCGCAATCCCAAAGTCTCAGATAGAGACGCTAGAATATGCCTGGAGCTACTGTCCTGTCCGTGAGAGCGAGACGCACGGAGACTACATCATGGACATTACAGTTCCACATAGCGTGCGGGAGGATTCACAGAATTACGACAAGAGAAAGGGGCTGGCATTTCGGTACAGCCGGGATGGGGTGCCCAGTATAGCGTCGTCGAAGAAGAGCAGCGACGGTGATTCAATGTGGTTCGGATTCCGGACTGACGTTGACGAGATGCAGTGGGAGAGGATAGAGGAAGACATGGAAAAGAACTCGTGTCTCGTCCACGCAATTCCGAAGATTGATGCCGAGTGGGAGCACGTAGCCCCAAAGCAAGACAGAAAGGTTGGACAGCCTGATAAGGTGCCTCACAAGGCGAAGAGATCAAGCGATGTGCGGAGGTGTTCGAACCTCAGGAACGAAGTCCATTCAGAGGACTGTTAGCTTTTTCTGTCCGCGTCGAAAGTTTGGTTTTGTTGGATGGATTAATTGAGTAGCTTAGGGTTCTGTTTTGTCTTGTGGGTTGGTCTTGAGTTTGGGGGGTCGAAATATACCATTTTGCTTTTTATACGATTAAACGTCGCTTGAGCAAGTGATGAGCGTCCGTAGAAGACGATGCCAGACCGAATGGTTATTGAATGCTAAGTTTGTAGATTGCCAAGAGTAATTGTCGGAGGAACTATCATCCTCAGATGAATCCTCGCTGGATGAGCTCTCGCTAGAAGAGCTCTCTCTAGACTCATCTTTGGAAGAGCAACATTTGCAGTCGGGCATAAGCTAGGCGTCGTCGCCAGGGAATGAAAGACTACATATTGATTATCTGGGCATCTCGGTGAAGACGTTGGAGCCTTGTAGCTCGTTGTTCGAGTGGAGTATTTTCCCAATCTCTGCAGTACCTAGTAATTAGTCGTTTGTGTCATAAATTCAGAGTTTCTCAATGTGATGTGATGTACTCAGCCGCGTTCACCGGTGTGTGACTTCGTTTTCTAATGCCATCGAGGAGCATCAAGTGACTGGACGATGGTTCTAGAAGTGCATGTCGAGAGTCATTACACACATTCACTTGCCGTCACATAGCAAGATACAGGTTCTTGAAACGAATTGAATGCTCATATATATATATAGATTGCATCAGAGACAATCACTCTACCTGATTCTACGAACGCCAGGTGTCTTAGTACCGGCTGGACATCGTGGGCTTCTTTAACTTCAACACAAAGTCAGTGTACTTTAACAGTGTCACCAAAGGAGTAAGAAATAAGGAGGAAACACCAAGAAACGAAATCTTCGGCCCGATGGTGCCCAAAAGATGAAATATTTCTGTTTACTCTGGGTTGACGTATGTCCAGCTGATCAAGTCTGGGAACATGGCGAGCGGACTAGGAACTTTGTATGCCACCTGAGACACGCTGCTGTGGTACCACGAGACGCCTGTGATCGTATTGGAATTCTGCTTGCAGCCTCTACATGCATAGCCTATGGAGATTTGATGTAGTCTTCGATAAATGCATCGTTTGTATATATTTGCCAACTACCTTGGGAGAGGGATGAGCTTCACTCTCTGCGAATGCCTGGTTGGGCAAATGGAGGAGCTGAGGTCGCTTCTAATTGGCCGGTGGCTCCTCAGGATATCGATGACAAATGCCAGATTGGGGCATCCAAGGAGAGGTTCCAAGTACCGGTACCTGCGCAGAGCATGAGGAGGTACAGGCGATGTTACTGGGTAGTGCCTCTTCCATCGTCCCCGATCAGATGCCTCCGATCTATTTATTACGTGGTTGGATGCATAGATACACCGAATTAAGAAAGGGAATACAAACAGCTTCCGTCGTCACCGCTTTAAATTCTCGCTCCGATCCTTGTGGCTCAACAGGCATCAGTATAATCGCAAAGTTCACCAAAATTGAAACGTCCTGCGTGGGGCAACTGATGCAGTGGACGGTGTACTTGTACCTTTACCCTTTTGCGGGCCGGGTTAACATTGCACCAGGCCAAGTGCTGGCAGCTACCGCCTAGGTGAACCTTCTAGCTGGCCAACTGCAAGCCTCCCCACCAAAGCCCGCCAGGCATCGTGGGAACTTTTCTAGTGTGCGCCCCTCCAAACCACCACTTTCCACCACCTCAAAAGCTGCTCCTGGCCTGACTCCCAACTGTTGCTCTTGGAGGCGCGTCCAGTCTGATCCAAAGCTCCTTTCAGGTGCTGTCTTTGTATTTCACCCATTCACAGCCTCTTTTCACCCCGTTGCGAGCCGCCGAGCGCGAAGCAAATAGCCCACCATGCAGGCCCCTGTGTTGGTTATGAGTGCGTCTACCCAATGCCCGCCCTGCCATTCTATCACGGGAGAGGCGGTGACTTCTGCTCGACACGCGGGTCGAGACGGATTTTGATGTTGGTCCCTGTGATTGTAAGCTGACGCATTGCTCGCAGACACCAATGCTGGTGAGAGACAGACCGGACGGAGAGCTCAGATGTCAAACATTGCTGCCGCCAAAACGTGTGTTGATGCAACCCGCCATGTCGATCAAAGCCGAATAAACCCAGCTGACTTGTTTTTGTTTTCTATTCCAGCGTTGCCGACATCATTCGATCATGTCTCGGTCCCAAGGCCATGCTGAAGATGCTGCTCGACCCCATGGGCGGCATCGTCCTGACCAACGACGGCCACGCCATTCTCCGAGAAATCGAAGTTTCCCACCCTGCTGCCAAGAGCATGATCGAGCTCAGCCGGACACAGGACGAAGAGGTTGGCGATGGCACCACCACAGTCATTATACTGGGTATGTCTGGTTCTCGTTTCTCCCACTTGCTGAAAAGAATGGCCCAACGAATAGAGGGGGGAGGGGCAAAAAAAGGGGGGAGACTCATGAGATGAGAAAGAAGTTTGGTTCTGACTTTGACTTAGCTGGAGAAATCCTGGCACAGGCGCTCCCTCAACTCGAGCGTAATATCCATCCCGTCGTCATCATCTCTGCCTTCAAGCGTGCCCTGAAGGATGCCATCGAGATTATCGACGAGATCTCCCTGCCGATCGATGTCAATGACGACAAGGCCATGGCCCAGCTCATCTCCTCTTCGATCGGCACCAAATTCGTCTCTCGATGGATGGATCAGATGTGCTCTCTTGCTCTCAAGGCTGTGCGGACCGTTACCTGGGAAGCTGGCAATGGCAAGACCGAGGTGGACATCAAGCGATATGCCCGTATCGAAAAGGTCCCTGGTGGCGAGATCGAGGATAGCAGAGTTCTGGACGGCCTCATGTTGAACAAGGATATCACGCACCCCAAGATGCGACGACGCATCGAGAACCCCCGAATCGTCCTGCTGGACTGCCCCTTGGAGTACAAGAAGGGTGAATCCCAGACCAACATTGAAATCACAAAGGAGGAAGACTGGAACCGAATTCTGCAGATCGAGGAGGAGCAGATCAAGATACTGTGTGATACCATCCTATCTGTCAAGCCCGATCTGGTCATTACCGAAAAGGGTGTTTCTGGTGAGTTCGATCCAATGACCCCTACACGCCGGGGAACTCAAAACTAATGTTGCCATCAGATCTCGCCCAGCACTACCTAATGAAGGCCAACGTCACGGCCCTCCGCCGAGTTCGCAAGACGGACAACAACAGAATAGCACGTGCTACAGGCGCCACCATCATCAACAGAGTGGAGGATCTCCAAGAGTCAGACGTCGGCACTCGCTGCGGTCTGTTCGAGATTGAGAAGATTGGCGACGAGTACTTTACATTCCTCACAAAGTGCGAGGACCCCAAGGCCTGCACAATCCTGCTTCGAGGTCCCTCCAAAGATGTCCTCAACGAAATTGAGCGAAACCTTCAGGATGCCATGGGTGTTGCTCGAAACGTCATGTTCCACCCCCGACTATCACCTGGTGGTGGCGCAACCGAGATGGCCGTCTCCGTCCGGCTGGCCCAAAAGGCCAAGGGCGTCGAGGGTGTCCAGCAGTGGCCATACAAAGCCGTTGCCGATGCTTTGGAGGTGATCCCCAGGACGCTGGTGCAGAACGCCGGCAAGAGCCCGGTTCGCGTGCTGACAGAGCTTCGCGCCAAGCAAGCCGAAGGCAAGAGCTCATGGGGTGTCAACGGCGATACTGGTGCCATTGCGGATATGACTGAGTATAACGTGTGGGAGCCCGAAGCTATTAAGCTGCAGAGTCTGAAGACCGCTATTGAGGTATGTTGCCGCGATGCTCATCAACCCCCTCTTGTCCCGAACAGAGCAACCCAAGCTAACTTTGTGATTCCTAGGCTGCCTGTTTGTTGCTAAGAGTAGACGACATCTGCAGTGCCAAGAAGATACAGGGAGGTGGTGCTCCTGGAGTTGGAGGTGGTGAGGACTAAACTAGCGGGTGCAAGATTGAGGATTGAAGACGTGAACGGCGCCCTCAAGAAGCCATGGTCAGGGAGGATAGCATGTCAGGTTTGCTTGGAAGCGCCAAAGCCCGTTCCCACACTTGTTGGGACTGGGTGGGAGCAATTTCAGACGAATCTAGGGGGAAACCGAAAATTTTCAAAATAGACATTGGTATTAAACTAAGGGCCGCTGGAAGAGGCGACACATAGATCTATGAAATGGCATTCTATACGGGTATCACTGCTTCTATCTATCATATTATTACAACATTACCAACTCTGTTCGAGAAGGCGACGAGAGAAATCTCTTCGGGTCATATATCCAGCCTTGTTTTGCTTTCTCCGCCTTTCCCCGGGCCCGTTCTCCTTATCAGTCGTCATCGTGAATGACGAGGCCCACGGGTTCCGTGGAAGCGCTGGTAGCCTTGTCACTGCCGTTTCTATCGGTTCCACTCTCTTTCGTGTTTGGTTTCCTGTTTTCTTGGGAGGCTTCATCCGTTCCAGGCGCCGCCGATATCTTGTCACCATTGCCATTGGGTCCCTTTGCGTTGTTGCCGTTGCCTCCTCCTTTGCCCTTGTTCGCCTTTCGAGCCTTGGCCTTGTCCCTCTTTTCGCGATTCTTCCTCGTCTTCTCCTCGTCCTTGCGCAGCTTCTCCACCTTGTCCTTTTCGAAATCGTCCTGCTCGCGCTCCCGCCTGACCTCGTCGTCCATCTCCCTCAGGCGCTCGTACTCGCGCCGGCGGGCGGCCTTGTAGACGTGGAACTCGCCGGAGCCGGCGCCGGCGCTGGAGCCCTGGACGTTTGTGACGATTTCGGGGGGCGGCGGGCGCTTGCTGCCGGGGGCGAGGGCGAGGGTCGACGGGACGCGGATCTCCTGGTCGGGCTTTGCGAAGAGGGCGTCGACGGAGGCGGCTTGGGCGGACACGGGGGTGAGGGCGCGTCGCTTGGTTGGGCGCTTGGAGCGAGGGTCGGCGGAGGTTGGGATTGACTCGGGGCCTTCGGCGGACATGGTATGTTGTTGTTGTTGTTGTTTTTTTGTGAGAAAGAAGCGGTGGTTTGGTAGTTAGGTTTGTGATGCTTGCGACGCGATGCGACCGAGTGGGCAGAAGCTATGCAAAGCGAGGCGAGGGTTTGTTTTCAGGGCTCAATGAGATGGCGAGTGTCTAAATAGAGCTGTGGACGAAATTTCGATGCGATGAGGAGCGAATTGGCGATGGAGGATGGAATGTTGTTTGTCTGGTGAGAGCTGGTAGTAGAAGAAAAAATCCATCACAAAATACAGGCAGCCATGACGGCTCTCTGTCAATGCCGATGTGCCTGCTGAAGGCACTAGGCCGAGTAGAGTTTACAGGGACTTTGGGGGCCTTATTATCAAGAAGTGGAGGGGTAGCGCCGGAAGCCGAGATCTGGGCCGCTACAAGATTCAATGCGCGCCCAAGTGCGGTAGAATCTCTGAGGCCATGAATGCAGTGATTTATCATCCATGGTGTTGAATCTTGTGAGAAGAGACTATTGCGTCAAATATCCGATACTAGCGACAGTGACTCCATGTTATCGATACATCTGCTACAAGCCTCCTTGCCTCCGTAGGTACCAAGGCCAGGATTGTATAATGTGCTACAGCCTCGAAACTTCCATCGCTCAGCTGCGCCACATCCGAAGCGCCTCCTGCTTCTCCCGTCCGGCAGCTTTCTAAGCAATTCCTCATCTCCAAGACAGCTTCAAGGACCACTAACCGAGTCACTTGAGGCAAAAATCTCGTCGGCCACGTGGAGGAGACGCTGATTACAGTTTGCACGGGGTACATGCTAATGTCAATCCCATTGTCCATGTTTGATTCCATCAACACACTTGCTGTATCGTGTACGCCCAAACGCTGCCGGCTCCCAGCGAGTTTATAGGGACCGGTACTTTGCGTATGGTTAGGTGATTGATCGGTACCTCAGCCTTACTAACAGCCCGATGCCGCCCGCCACCTTCAATGCCCATCTACTATAACCAACCACCTGCATCTACTACAGCCCAGCCTCTGTCGCTTTCAACAACTCACCGTTCTTCTCAACTCTGGCCGTCTTTTTGTTTCATCTCCCTCTGCTTCATCTTCTCCTGCCTCCTTCGCCCAGTCCTGGTTTTCCTCTGGACGCCGATTTCGGGACAAGGGGTGTTTGACGCCAGCACTTCGAAACACAGACAACGTCCAAACTATCATCCCACCAACGCTTACAAAACACACCATTCACCCCACCACCATCTATTAATATCTGCCAGTCCCGCGGATCGATCGATCGATTTCGGCCTCCCATCTTGAGCCTCAGCATCTCACTCGATTCCCGCACGTGCGCATAGCGATCATGGCAAAGCCGCGGCTGATTATCCTCATCCGCCACGCCCAATCCGAGGGCAACAGTAGGCCTTTCTCCCCCCCCCCCCCCGTCTCTTCGATGCCCTTGGCCCAAACATGAACTGACCGCCGCTGCGAGCGTCCAGAGAACCGCGAGATACACCAGACGATCCCCGATCACCGCGTCAAGCTCACGCAAGATGGCTGGGCCCAGGCCCACGAGGCCGGTCGCCGCCTGCGCAAGCTGCTCCGCCCAGACGACACCCTCCACTTCTTCACCTCGCCGTATCGTCGCACACGAGAGACCACAGAGGGCATCTTGGCCACCCTGACGTCGGACGACCCCGAACCCTCGCCCTACCGTCGGTCCAGCATCAAGGTCTACGAGGAGCCTCGTCTGCGGGAGCAGGACTTTGGCAACTTCCAGCCATGCAGCACCGAGATGGAGCGCATGTGGCAGGAGAGGGCCGACTACGGCCACTTCTTCTACCGCATCCCCGACGGAGAGAGTGCTGCGGATGCCTACGATCGGGTTAGCGGCTTCAACGAGAGCCTGTGGCGCCAGTTTGGCGAGGACGACTTTGCCAGCGTGTGTGTCCTAGGTGAGCTTCATCCCGTGGCATTTCTCGCTATGAATGATTGCATCTAACGAACGGTGTACAGTCACTCACGGCCTCATGTCCCGTGTCTTCCTCATGAAGTGGTATCACTTTTCTGTCGAGTATTTTGAGGACCTTCGAAACATTAACCACTGCGAGTTTCTCATCATGCGCAAGCAAGACAATGGAAAGTACAACTTAGAGAACAAGCTACGCACTTGGTCCGAGCTGCGAAGGGAGCGAACACAGGCCCTCCAAGACAAGGAAAAGGACGACGAAGACAAGAATGGCGACGGTTCCAAGAATGGCGAGGGCTCCAAGGATGCCAAGGACGCCAAAGATGATTTCAAGCTGCAACATACTCAGAGCTTCGTTGCTGTTCGCCGGTGGGGAGGCTGCCCGAATGGCTGCAACCACGCCGCTCATTACAGCAGCCATCAGAGGGCAGCGCATGTGCCGCGGCACGAGGAGAAAGGCTCTGCCACGAATCTCGCCTTGAGGAGACAGCAGCGCCATGTATCGAACAGCTCCGATGAGGGCGACGGCGAAGAATCCCCGAAGGAATCCAAGAAGAAGGTGAACATTGAAGCGGCTCGGGCATTTGACGAGATCGTTTCTTCTCCCGACGGTACGCCTTCCTTCATCACCGCGGAGGATCGGATACGCCACATCAAGGCTACTCATTTGCGCGTTGGGCGTTTGCACGTTGGACGGGATGCCGGCGGCACGTACTCAGGCCACCCCTCGATTGCGGGTAGTGACACCGAGGCATCGGACGACGAGAGCATGCGTCGCGCCCGTATGGCGTCCCTGGATTCTCGAATCAAGTCTGGCAGCGCACTGGCTAACCGCCTTGGAGATGAGCCCGGGCCGGACGCCAGCGCTGCGGACCATGAGCCCGAGTTAGAGGATCTAGACGAGGTCGAAAGGGAGGAGAAGAGTGTCAGAGGAAGCGTATACTAAGAAGAAGCGAAAAAAAAAACTGTCCTTGTATTGGGCTAGGCTAAACGCGTTCAGACGAAGCGACTTTGGTACTGTTTTGTTTTGGGTGATTTGATACCTATATAGACTGGATTGTCTGGCATTTCTGAGTGGGAAACCAAAAAGCGCTGTGCTTTATCTTTATTGTTAGATTGATTATGAACCCCCATTGACTTTTGACATTACACCGTTTCGAATAAGACTTGGTTGAGAGATGCTTGGGGCAGTTCTTGCACAAATATCAACGTTGATGCTAAGCCTTTGCTAAACCATATCCTTGTGCCCATGGCCATTTTTTACTACCAACCCTTTTGCGTGTTCTCGGCCGTCTGTTGCCATCGCGTCGCCAATACCTATACCATCCCATCCCCCCCAAAGCGCAGCCAAAAAAGAGCCCAAAATCTCCCAAAGCCAATGTAATCCAGCAAATGTCAAGAAAAAGTCATTTTTCTTCACCCTTTTTTCCCCACTGCCCCCTATCCATCTATAGTAAGAAACCGAATGTCCTCTCCTCCCTTCAAATCATAGTATTGGAAAGGCCATGAGGACCGCCCCCTTTTCCGCCCGCCCTATTTCTTGAAAAAACAGCAATGTCAATGATCAAAAATTAATACAAAAGACCAAACTCAAAGCAAGCATGCAGCACGCAAATCGACGAGGTCAAGAAGTGAAAAGAGAAAGAAGAGAAGAGAAGGAGAACACAAGAAGGGTACGGATGAAGGATGAGAGGCTAGAATATAATCCCGTAATATGAACAGCGTAGAAAACAACAACAAACACACAGCCCCATCGTGCATACAAAGCGGTCACTCTGACCAACATGCCCGCTCCCCCCTTGAAAAAACGAGATAAAAGAAAGCCTAAAGAAAACAAAACGAGCTCCGTCCATTCCTGTCCTTTATTTAATTAACCCTTTGCCCAGTCTTTACCAGCCGTGGCCCTGAATAATTGCCTCCCTAGTCTTTTCCCCTGTCTTGCCAATCTGATGCCAGTGCTAAGAACAGAGAGGAGAAGAAATTCCGTAGAAAAAGATTATGAAAAGGAAAAAAAGAAAGGCTATAAAGAAGGGAACCGAAAATGAATACAACCTTTCCATCTTTCCATCTGACCCTAAAAGCACCCATAGAGTGGGCCAAGTGGGCAAGAAGCCCGTTAAGAAGATCCTCCAAAACATGATTTTGCCTGCTGTAGAACGCGACGCCACATGACTGCTCAGCTGTCTCAGGTTAATCATGAAGAGCGAGAGAGAAAGATGAAGAGATGAAGAAAGAAGAAGGTGATGATAATTGCGATGATGATGAAGAAGAAGAAGAAGAGGAAGAAAGAAGAAGGTGTTAATGAGAGGGATTTTTTGCATATACACCCTCTACAGGCCGTCAACCTTCGTCCATGAGATTTGCCCAGCACAAGCTGTGGGCTATGAAATAGAAGGAAAGCCAGTTTTATGTAAAGAAGAGAGAACCGGGGGTCAGAAAAATCTGGACATCGCTCTGCTGAGATCGATAAAGTCCACAGGTTTCGTCACATAGTCGCTGAATCCCGCTGCAGCACATTTTTCCTGAACGTCCGACATTACGTTTGCGGAGAGCGCAATGATGGGCATCTGAGGAAAGCCACACGCACGTTCCCATTCCCGAATCTCTCGGCAGGCTTGGTAGCCATCTTTGCGTGGCATGTGGAGGTCGCACTGCGACACATGTTAGTCGAACAAAAATCCATCTTGGGGTTAGATGTGCCAATAAGCAACTCACCAATATGAGAGAGTAGTAGCTGTGGGATTTCGAAAAGACACTCTCGACACACTCCTCTCCGTCAACTGCAATGTCTACATCGACGGCAACCTTCATCAGAAACTTGGTCATTACTTTTTGGTTGACCGGATTATCTTCCACCAGAAGAACCCTGAAACCCTTGTTGCCCATGCGCTTTTGAAGCTCGAGGGAGCTTGCCTTCTGGCTCTCCAGCATTTGTTGTGCCGTCGATCTGTTCCAGTCGGTACTCAGATCCCGTCTTCTATCCGGGTCGAAGATGACTGCAAAGCGCGATGGCTTAACGGGCTTGTAAATGAAGTTGACCAAGTTATCCGAGAAAAGCTGCTCGTATTTGGTGCCGGATGAGTATTTCATTACTTCCTGACGCTGAACCGAGTCCGAGAGAATCAGGATCATTGTGCTATCCATCTTCTGAGACTTGGTAATCTGGTCCATGACGCTTATGACCGCCTCCGCCTCGCCCAAGTTGATGACAATGTGAGTGAACCGAATCGGGTCATCGCCGCCGATATAATTTTCGGCCTCTTCAACACTAGCGACAGCCGTGATTTGATGGGGTACGTCTTTTGGTAGCGTCATCTCGATGTGCTGTGTAGTAGCTTCGCGGCTGTGTGTTTGTGGGCAGATGATCAGTATCAGATACATTGGCGGGCGGAAGATTTCAGACAGCAACTTCTTGTCCGGCGTTGCGCTGCGTGCTGCTGAACTCCGATCCGATGGCATTTCAAGCTTCATTTGTGACAGGTCTTGACCGCTAGCTTTAGCAGCCTCGCTAAAACGAGCCAGTCCCGTATTCATCGATGTGATGGACGACCGATCTGTAACAAGCGACTGGCCAGAGTGGGGAGATTGGTTGGAGCTTCCCGTTGAATCGCCCACAGGAGAAATCAACTCGCCACCCACAAAACTTGGAACATCCCCGGTGTGCCCACGGTGGGCTGGAGTGGGAGGGAGCATCGCATCATGGGCACGCTGCTCGACCTCGGCAGATGTGGGAGGCACGAGTGTCGCGGTTGACCCTGGACTACTTGGCATTATAGGCCGGTCTTCGAGCGTAGGTAGCGAGCAGCGAGCCGTGAACGTGAATGTTGAGCCCTGGCCCATGACTGCTGTCCCCTCCATCTTGCCGCCATGGAGCTCGACAAGCTGCCTTGAAATAACCAGACCAAGTCCACTGCCACCGTGCTGCCTAGTGCTACTCTCGTCGATTTGGCTGAAAGGCTTGAAAATGAGAGCCTTTTCTTCTTCAGAGAAGCCACGACCGGTATCAGTGATGATAAATTCAAGCATGATTTCGTTTTCTCCCGCGGTTGAGTCGTCCCCAGTGTATACTCTGCACTGGCTAAAAACTTCTCCTTCCGACGTGAACTTGATGGCGTTTCCGATAACGTTCAGTAGAACCTGGCGTATCCGAACTTTGTCTCCCTTCACCCACGCTGGGACATCCGCATCGACCAGGTAGTTGAGCTCAAGCCGCTTGGAAATGGCCATGGTCGAGACGAGTTCGTTGACGTCTTCGATGAGCGAACGAGTGTGGAACCATTCATATCTCAACTTCATCATTCCCGCATCTACTTTGGACAAATCCAGGATGTCGTTGATAATCATGATGAGACTATTGGCGCTAGTCTGAATGGTATTGGTGTAATCGCGTTGCTCTTCGTTGAGCGTGGTATCTTGCAAGAAGCTCACCATGCCTGAGATCCCTATGAGGGGTGTACGAATCTCATGAGACATGTTGCTCAAGAAACGGCCCTTTGATTCCATGGCCTCCTTGAGCTTCGCCTCAAGAAGCTTGTGGTCGTTTATATCCGTGGCAGAACCAAAGTAGGAACTCGCGCCGCTACCAAAGTCAATCGTGTCAATCTCAACACAGCGAATGAGATGCCACCGATATTCTCCAGTCTTTGAACGCAGTCGCACTTCCGTCGTGTAGGATAGTCTGCCGTTGGAGTCTGTCCCAACTTTGATGACACCCTTTTTGGCGAGCTCTGCTATCTCGGGATTGGCAAGCTGATAGCCAGTTTCTTTGCTGGAGTCAACCTGCTTGCTCGGTTTTCGTCCATGACCCTGAGACTGCGCCAGACGCTCCTTTGTTGCGCCAGTGGGAGTGTTTGTGGTATCGCTAGAAACGGAGCTCCCATTATCTTTTCGATTTGATGATGAAGGTGGAGATGTCGGCTGGGAAGCAGGAATGCGACACCTGGCCAAGTCTTCTGGGTGAACAAAATCCATGAAGCCCAGGCGCAGTGCATCGTCAAAGCTTTGGCCAGTGTAAGACAGCCATTGCTCGTTTGCAAATGTAACGCCGTCCTCCTCGGTCGCAGTAAAGATGATTTGCGGGATCAGGTTGGCCAGTAGGCGGTGCTTCGCTTCCGAGGCCTCGACCTCCTGCTGGCGGGCCGCCTTGATTTCTGCTATGCGCTGCTCATGAATATCCAGATACGAACCTAGAAACTGCACAACAGCCCCACGCTTGTCTTTGGAAGCCACTGCACGAGCGTAAAACCACCTATAAGCGCCATCAAACCTTTTGATTCTCACGGTACTAGAAAATTGCTCCCCAGTTCGCAGTGAGTGGCTCCAGGCGCTAAGGTACTCATCGCGCTCGTCTGGGTGGATGCTGCCCCATGGATCTGCGGACAAATCTGCCACTGTCTGTCCTCGGTAGGACAGATAACGGCTATTGACCCAAACAATTTCGCCCGTCTGCGGTAATGCAACGAATACCTGAGCGGGTAGCGAGTCTAGAATGAGGCCCTTCAATTTATCAGAAGGTGGTGGCATGTCAGCAGCTGAGGCGATGAATGAGCTGCTCCTATGCAGAACGCCTACATTAGACGCCAACGGGGGCCGGCCGGGCAAACTGGTGCCAGGGGGCAGGGACTGGAACGTCGAAGCAAAGTCTGCCCCGTAGCTGTGCAGAAGAGTGTGGCTTCGTTTGAACGGGCCCTGCTCGATCTTCAAAGACTCAGGGTATCTATCACCCGCCAAGGGGTCCAGGTCAACGCTCCCATCCAAGCTATTGCGGGAGTGGACGTCTCTTGGATTAGGTTCATCGGAGCTCCCTGTGTGTCTATCTACCAACTCGTCGGTGTCCATTATGGCAGCCTGAGGGGTTTGGGGGGTTTGGGGGGTTTGGGGAACTTTGTTGCCAGACAAGCGAGACGGCCGCACGTCTCCCGAAGGATCGTCCTTGGACCCAGCACGAGACCGCTGTGAGTTCTGCCTCGCAAGCTTGCTGCTGAAATAACTTCCCGAAGACTGGGAGATGCCCGCTGGGCTCGCTGCAGGCTGCCGTCTTTCTGCAAGATAGATCAGAGCTCCCGAATCCCATCCGGGAGTGCCAGCCGGGGAATCAGCTGTACTTTTAGAAATGCCAGAATAGTCGCTTGGACTGGTGATGCTCCCGGCCAAGGACTGCTGTAAACCGGCCGTCTCATCAGCAGCGAGATACGCAGCGCTCTCAATGGGCCGCCCATATGCCGAGACGGCACCAAATCCAGCCGTAGATGGCCTTCTTCGTTTAAGCCCGGCAAGCTCTGTCTCGAGATTGGTATAGTGCCGACACAGCGAAAAGGACGTGGCGAGATGGGGTGCAAGATGCTCTAGCGAGTGCCGTAGATTGGCCGGGTATGGAATGACGGGGCTCAGAATGGACAAGATAGCAATTGGGGCAGGCTTGTCTCTCTTTTGAGTCTCGGGTTCCATAAATTGCTGACGATGAGTACTCTCTGGCGATTGGCTGCTTCTCGAATGCGATTTCTGGTGCATCGTCGTGGCATCAAGCTTGAAGGGATGGGGCTGCAGCTTAGAGGCCAAGACATTCGAAAGGGGAATGTGCAGAACCGTCCATGAGTGATCAACGCCAATGGCCTCGGGAGGGCGCAGTGTGGTGTAGTCTGTCGGCGTGGGATCGGGGTTGAAAGACTCCTCGTCAACGGTGGCATCGGTGAAGAAGGGGTTTTCTTTTGGATCGGGTCTAACTGCGGGTGACGGGGCCGGAGACTGCGACCACGGCGACGGAGGGGTTTGCTCATACTCTTCATATTTGGGAGTGGGTGGCCGTGGGCTGTCGTCATCTAGTATGGTGTCACCAAAATGAACCTTAGCTCTGATGGAGGCACGGGCGGCGCCAGTGGCGCCGGAAAAGAAGGACGACAGCTTGGTTGCAGAGTCGGATCTCTTATTCTTTGCTCTCTTCGGTAGCTCTTGGCCGGGCGTTCTTGGGCCAGACCTGAGGACTCCTGTATGACCCATCATCGGTGGTGCAGACGGAGCCGCTGGCGCCAAGTAAGGATAGTTCCTCGTCAAAGCTACAGGCCGTCCGCGCTCCAACACTCTCATGACGCCGGTATTGTCAATCAGGGGGTCGGCTTCATAATCGAGAGCTTGGAGAACAGGGAGGACTCTGCCATGGCCGTTGTATTTGGCCGCAAAAGGCGCCTCCCAGCTAGGAATGTCCCGTTGCTGCTGTTGCTGTTGTTGCTCTTCTTCAATGCAGTCATGCTGCTCCAGGGTGCTCTTGTTAAGCTTGGTATGGTCATTTTCGGGTGCTGCCGCTGTGTGGATGGACGCAGAGTGGGTTTGTCTCCTCGTCAAGTAAGCAGGCCGACGAGGTGCCGCCATTACCAGTCCGTCCTGCGACCTCTCCTTATTTTCTTCGAAGCTAGTGAAAGAGTGACGGCTCGCGAAAGCAGGTCGCTTTGGCCCGTCCACGGGTGTGCCGGCGGTAGGGCTGGTAGCGGCATCGTCGACGGCGTCGTTCTCCGTACTTTGCACGGCACTGGTGCCCCTCGCCAAGTATTCCATACTGAGGTCATCCTGCTCATGCTCATTATATGTAGCCTTTTGTCCCCACGGCACATTCTCAATGTCAGTGGTATCGGCCGGGATTGCCAACGTCACACGCTCGGCCTTGTACACTTCTCGCATGACCTGGACGACAGTGCTCCACCAGGCATCAAGGCCTGGCTCTGCGGAAAGCATTAACGAGAGATCATACAGATTAGGGGTGGGGAAGTCAAAGTTATCGGGTTGCGGGGTGGCTCCCGGTTGAAAATTCAAAACCGAGGCCGGCGTGGACGTCTCTGATAGGACTCTATCGAACACGCCGCGATGTTCGAGGGCTATCGCTTGGGGAGAACGGGAGTAACCTGATGCAGCCGAGGGCTGAGTGGCTGGCTGAGAAAAACCTGACGGGCCAAGGCTTCCAGGCGGCATAGCCATCCGAGGGAAAGGGTACGACGGAGTGCTAGCGATGGGTGCCGGGGTCATGCCTCCTCGAATTGTGTTTCCAGACTCGGTCGACGTGGTGGTAAAAGCAGAGGAGGTTGGATAGGGGGAGTTCAAGACTGCATCCTCGAGAATGGGTGCCACGCGGGCCTTATCGGGTTGGCCCAAGGGAAGGTCTTGAGCGGAGATGTCCCGCAGCTCCAGATCGCGGATCAACTTGCCCCGGTATTCATCAAGCTTCTGCTGCGATTGGTTTGGTCCCTCAGCCGTTGGCGTCTCACCTTCTGCGGAACCGTTGACTACAGAGGAGCGTAGAGTAGTGGGCGAGGAATTATGGCTATCGTCCTCATCATCGACATTTGCGTTGAGAGGATTGGCACTGGCGTAGGCATTGGTATCGACATGGAGATTGGCATCGACATCGTCCCGGTTCTGGTTTTGGTTTTGATTTTGGTTTTGGTTCCGACTTTGTTCCTGGTCATGATCCTGATCCTGGTGGTCATCATCATTGGCACCCCGGCCATTCACATCAGTTATACGCCGCGAAACCGAGGGCCTGGAGGGACTCGAGTCTGCAGCGGGGTTCGAGGAAGAGAACGGGTAGCTAGAGCGGCGTGCTGCCATTGCGCTTTTGGCATGCGCATATCGATCCTGAGAGGTGTTGGCCGTCACTCGTCCATTTCTCGCAGCGGTCGGGTCGGTACTATCATCGACGGTCCAATGAGTAAAGGGTCCGGTGGGCAGCTCCAGCCGACGCGTCCAGGGGCCCGTCGAGGTTGGAGACGGAGTCTCAGTCGAGGTTGTGGTTGAGGAAGAAGACGCCGGGATGGGGAGAGAGGGCGAGAACAGGGCTCTCTTTTCGGCCGAGTAGCTCTGGCGTGGCATGCCTCATGCCTCTTCTCACAGAAGAGGGATGGCGGTGGATCTCTCAGGTCAGGTCGGCAAGTGGGATGCCGCATACGCAGGACAGGGCGGCAGCATCCAAGGCGCAGGAAAGGCTCAGAGACGACGGCAGCGGTAACTGGCGAGAGGGCAGCAAAGGCGGAGAGGAGGGGCCAGCCAGTGCGGCGATGGCTTCTCGGGTCTGTTTCTGGCCTCTGCGTGGTCTCTGTGCAGCTGCGTGGTCTCTTTGACTGGCTGACTGGCCGTCTGTCCGTCTACCTGTCTTGATTTCCTGCTTTTTTGTCTGGTCTTGCCCGGCTCTTGTCACTTACTTTCTTCTGGCTCTCTGTCGCCTGCCTTTCCGTTGCTGTCTGTGAGTGACTCGTGACTCTGCTTCCTTCTTTGTGCCTTTGCTTTTCTTTAGCTTTCTCTCTCACTCTCCGTCTTGTTTCCTGCTTCTTGTCTCCGTTTTCCCTTTGGCCTCGGCTTCTATTTCGCTCTCGTGTTCTCGCTACACCGGGCAAAACGGGTTGGTTGTGTGGAGAGGTTTGGAGGTCAAGTGTCTGGTGCGGGAAAAGCGCAGTGCTGGTGGTGGTTGTGCTTCCCTGTAGGGCCTCCTCACACGTCACAGCGGTGCGGCAGGTATACAGTAGCGAGCACAAGCGGTGCAGTGCGGTGCGGTGCGGTGCAGTTTCTGGTATCGTAGCGGTAGCGGTAGTCGAGCCACGGGCCAGGGCCAGGGGTGGGGAGACGGCAAGGGAGCCAAGTCGTGCTGCTGCTGCTGTGCTGTTGCTGTTGCTGGTGCCGTTGCCGTTGCCGTCCAGTCTGGTCTGGTTGCTGCAGGACAGGACTTGAGGGCTGTCACTACTGCTGCTGCCGCTGCTGCTTTAGGCTCCAGATCCAAGGGCCTGCTGCAGAGCTGGACACCTCGATTTTCTTGGGGCAAAAACAAAACTTGGAGACACTGCAGAGGCTCGCGACGGGGGGCGCAGAAACTGGATGGATGGATTGGCGTGGTCTGGTTTTGGCGGGCAAAGTTTGGCTCTGCATGCCAAAAAAGCGCTTCCACAAAACCCCCCATGTCATCGCCCCCCCAGAAACGCCCCCCCGGCAAGGGCCAGTGCCAGGCCGCTTAGGGGAGCGAAAAAAAAAGTTATGACGTAGGTGACGACAGGAACTGGAGGCTGGCGTTCATCATCAGCCCAGGCCTTATTCACTAAGAGCCCGCTAAGCACCAGCCAACCCCCAAGGCCCTTCCGGTGAACCAATCCAGCGATCCCAGGAAGCCCCACGTCAAGGGGTGTGAAGAGGTTTTTTCTCTCTTTTTCATTACCAAGGTCTACTGGGTATCGGGGGGTTTTTGCCTTTTTACCTGTGCTGTACTGTGCTATGCTTGCTGTGCAGATGCATTGGATGGCTGCTTCTTACTTTTGCGCTGGACTGGGAAACGCAGGACTCGACCGACGGACGCCCTGCGTTGTAAACGCCAAACACACCTGAAGCACGTCGTGGATACATACATGCACTCGACACTCAAGGAGCACTGGAGATCAATGTGCTCATCCAAGCACTGGAGCCACTTGAACATGGACGCTAGCAGTGCCCGTAGCCGCACCTAAATTCGTGCTGATTAACTTCAAGTTAGCAAGGACTCCGACTCCGAGCGTTTGTGCCAGACCGTTTCGTACAAAGCGTGCTAACGGGCATCATGAAGCTCGCGTGCCTTTGCCCCCCCAACTCTAAATTGCGGCCACGCGGAATGTCTACAAAATCATGGAGTACAGAGCATCTCAGCTCTCCGGCTTGGCTTCCAGGCTAACGGGACTTACCTCAGTGGCAGGCTGCTTTAGACGCTTCCGTGTCTGGAAACGGGGCATATGCGTCGACGTGTCTGTTCCATACTCACATCTGCATCCGCTCACAGACCTGTCGTCGATGCCATAGGTACAACGTGTATCCAAGCGACGGCAGCTCACGCAACGCCTACATGTAACCTCAGCGCGGTGCTGACCGCTGACCGCTGACAACATGAAGACACCAGATCCATCCCATATCAATGGACAGATGACTACAGGTACCTACATGTCCAGAGCCGGCTGGCTGGCTGCGTGGCGCCTGTTGAACCACTCAGCCGCTCAAGGACCTTGAACGTGCCGTGGACAGCTAGACCTACGTGCTCGTACCTTGTGAGATAAAGGTGTCCAGGTACCAGTAGGTGAAACACCAGACACTTGACGCCAACATTGAATGCAAAATGTCTCTGGTAATACAGCCATCTGTCAGCCAGCAGCTGCGAGGCTTCAGCGCCAGCACTGTAGGACATGATGTGTACATGGAGTCAAGACAAATCTCTGCTCGGTCCGGCCTAAAATGCTGACCGCCGTATCGATGCAATGGTGCGGCCCGATGCTGATGCTGATGCTGATGCCGATGCTTCACATGCGGTTGAGGGAGGATGGGGGGATACATGTCGATACCTTGCCCTCGAAGCTCATAGAAGGGCACCATAGCCAGGAGGCTCCGAGCCAGGTTATGGTGCTTGTACATACATGCTTGGGACCGGGCGGCTACAAGGTGGTGGCGTGTCCGAACAAGGAACATGAGCACTTGTGCCCTTCCCTTCGATCCCTCGGAAATCACGACGAACGACACGATGGCCTCCTTGACGCTTCGCTCGACTCGGGTCCACCAGCCAGGGGCGCGTGGGTTACGCAGATTGCACGCTAGCAGCTTACAGACCACAGCGGCGCCGAACAAAAAAGCTTCGATGCCATCAAGGATCTCTTAGCACATGTAGCCAAGTTGCGGCCTTGCCCGCACTCGTATCGTACCTATCGTACAGCACCGTACAAGTACCAGCAATCTCGAGCCCTGCAAATTGATCTCGACTAGCTTCCATCCACATCCACATCCACATCCACGCAACCTTTCCCCGGACGCCAGCCAGGAACTAGCCCTATCCAACGAAGCTCCGAACTGGCCGTTTGAGCAATGCCTCACTCATGCTGTGTTGTGTTGCAAGCCGGAATCCCATGCTTGCCACAGCTCAAGCCGACTGGTCCCCCGTCCGGCGGCTCTCCTATCCGGCGGCTCCCCTGCTTGTGTGTATGTACATACATGACATGTGCCTGTACCCTTCCACCATCCATGGAAGGGAGAGAAGAGGGTATTCATGCAATGGATCCTGGCCCAAAGGCTGCGAGGCCGACGCCGTGCTACCGCCTGCAGGGGATGGCCAACACCGGGTACGAGGGACGAATCACGGCCGCTCAAAGTTTGTCAGGCCATGTTGTGACGTACATGTAATCATGCAGACCTCAAATGATACTGTACATACTTTTTGTCCTCCGTGCAACGCGAACAACATGCGATGCCCTCCGGGGAATAGACCGACCGACCGGTCGACCGCTGATCTGTTGGCGGGCGACGCTCAACTTCTGCTCTGTACGTCTGATGACGGCGCATCACCGCACAATCATGTCTCACAAACGGGAACAAAGACACAGGCAGGCTCGGCTTCGTAAGAGCAAGAAAGAAAGAAAAAAGTCCCCCCAGTCAGTATGTGACATCTCCCCCACGGGGCCTGCTGCGGCAACGTCATTTGTGAAGCAGGGCAAAAGGCTGTCTCCCGGTGCAGCCGCAAATTCTTCGTATTATCCCTTCTTTTAACGAGAGGGAAGAAACTTTGTGATCCTTGGCGAACTCATTATCATCTCATTAGGTACTGCTTGTTCCATTTCCGTCACCTCCCCCGAGGTCACCTGAACGCTTGTGCGCAGCTTCAACCGAAACACCCCCCCCCCCCGCTCCCACAACCGCATACCTTGACTGTCCTTACCTTACTTGACCCTGTCCTAATGTGCGTGCCGTAGGTAGACTGTAGGTAGACTTCTTTTTTCGGATGCAAGCTCTTCGCCAAATGAGGTTATTTTTAGTCCGTTATAATTGGTAAAATCTCCGGCATATTATTTCCAAACCTACATGGTAAGCGAGAATTTCGATTCAACTTCCATGCCCTTCTTTGAGACCGCCGCCTACATGTACAAGTACATGTACTCTTCGGCCAATACTACAGGCATCCAGCAAACAGAAGCAGAAAGAAAAACTACCTACCTACCTGACAGCTAAGCAGACACCTCCCATGACCACCAAAACCCGGACCGTTCACCTGCGTCCGCGGCCTCTATACCCACCCACCTGATAGGAACCCAAACTATCTGTCTTTAGGATACATCTTGAAAGATCCCCCCCCCCCCCCCTGTACTGTATGTAGTCGTAGGCCGTAGCGGTGGGGAGTGGATGACGGGCTATCCGCTAGAAAGAATCGGCCACCGATATAAGTGGCCAGGAAGGTGATGCAAAACTTGCCAAAACCAAACCCACCTTGGCACTGGATGCAATGCAATACAGCCTGGCGGAAGGGTGATCGGTCCGAGCCATCGACAGTTGAGAGAGTTGGCCCAGGGAGAGGGCGAAACGAAAGGGCGAAACTCTGACGATGGCTGACCCCTAAAGCACGAGCATCTTTGGGTATCTCTACGGTACATATTTCCACTCCGGTGTGACTACTAGGTAGGTATCCAGACCATGGAGGGCTGTGCAACTAATCCAAATAGTATTCGCTGACTCGCACGTACATGTCATATGAGATTGTGGCAACCCCGAAACTCGTATGTACTCGGAAGGCCCTTTCATGGACGGCCCCCGTCAAAGTACATGCTGATAGCTCTCCGTCTTTCGACGACAATCCCAAAGAGGCGGGAGCATCTTGTCCGGGACATTGGATTGTATCCACAGCAGCTCATTTCAATGTTGGCAAAACGACCCGCAAGCCGTGCCAGCGGAATCGCTTGCTCGCGGCTTGGATATGCTCTTTGCCGGGCCCTTGGGGGCTTTTCCCGTCTGTTCTTCACCGCATCACGCCGCCACCACCAACATACCTACCGCAAGAAATGAAAGAGAGCCGGCCCCAAGCTACAACTGAGACACGCGGACGACCGATATCGCGAAAGCCACAATGCCGCTACCCGGGCTCTTTGTCACGATGCGGCATTCTGAGGTAGAACGAGCACAGCGTCCAGGAGTGCAATGACGTAGTAACCCGCTACTAAAGCAACTCGTCGCGGTAGCAAAGGGGGAGGTTTCAGCCGCACTCGCTGGCGGGTTTTTCCCATCTTCACCCTTAGCATGTTGGGTTTCGGACGGTGTGACATGTTGCTGCAGGAGATGATGGGGAGACGAGCAGGGCCGTTAAAAAAAAAAGAAAGAAAGAAACATTTAGCATTTGGTATTCGGGAACTGGAGAGAGCCTTGGAAACTTGACGCCACAATCGACAGCTTTCTATTTCCAGCAACATTCAAACGGTCGTGGTCCAAAGGCGTCCCGTCTTTGTCATCAGCAGCGACCGATCGAAACTCCCCCTACAGGTACCTTCCCTACTGTACCCGTACGGGCGACAAACCGGGAAGGCGCCTTGGTCCCAACGGGTGGGTGACGTCGAGACTGAATTTGCGGCCCGCTATTGCGTCGGTGGCGTACCATTGGAGATCCTGGCCGAATCCGTATTGGGGAAGTGGACACGACGGAGACACGTGTCGCTCTGAGCCTGCTAATGGCTAATGCAAAATGCACGGCGCTGCGAATGGACGATTTCTCGAGGCAAACTGACATTATGCCTGTAGTCATAGCTATTGGCGGCAGCTTTTGATATCAACTTGTGGGAGATGCTTACAAAAGAGAGGGCCAAAGGTACCAACAAAGTGCCTTGATAGAGGTATTGAATCTGTAACATGTGAACAAGGCACGCACTGAAGACAACGGGCACTTGTACGTTTGGTTCTAATCTAAAGACCAACGGACCTAAGCCCTGCCTAGGCGCATGCTAGTTGTTGCTACTCAGAATCGCCTATGTTGACTGTCGCTACACCTACTTGACATGTGCAAATCCGCACTCTTCAAAAGCTGTCAACCACTGACTGACTACGCCGTCTCCGCATATCCGAGATCAACAATGAATCGTACCCGAATTCCACAGAAATGGCGATCTGCTAAGATCACCACGGGTCAGGAACAGGTCTAGTTTTCCACGACAACGCACTCTGCGATCCACTTCGGGACCCCTTCCCAGCCTTCAAGCCGAAAAGCTTCGAGCATTTTCTTATTTATTTCCCTTCTTTTTTTTCCCCGAAGGCAATAGATGCATACCCGGGGGGAGGGGGGTGGAAAAAGTCCTACCTGGGCCTAAACGAGGACTATCCACCCGTCGTCACCTTCGGGAGTCTGGTGATATTAACACTGCAGTTCGGCTCAGTTGAGGCTTCCTTGTCGATTCCCTGCCAGAGACTCCACCGTTGAAATTGCTCTTCTTCGTACTAGAGCCCAAGGGTCGGCGGATCCTCGTGCTTCGAGATTGTAAAGCTTAGCATGGCCAAAAATAAGCTGCTGCGGTTCTCGACGAGAAATGCGCTCCCATTGCAAGGCTGAGCCGTGCTATCTTCCTCATCGAAAACTGTGGTGCCTCGTATTCTGTGCACACGGTTTATATACATGTACCTGGAGGTGGATCAGTACTTTAATCAAGAAACGAACCTTGGCCAATTTACATCAAATGTATTGTGTAGGTACAACTAAATGAGAGATGAGAAGCTCAATTACATTGCAATGAGCAGGTGATGACAAGCAAAGCACTTTTCAAACAGGCTGGCTAGACTACAGATGAGACTTTCTCAACCAACTCAAAGCGACACACTTGGCCGGCTGAAGCCCAGCTTCTGCTTTTGAATTCGGGGGAAAATCCCAATAACAACAAGAGCCGACAAACTTAGGGTAGCCCAGAGCTTCACCTTCAACACGTTCTTGTTATAGTCGGTTTGAGTAGCACTGTTGATGGTAGCCAATAGAAGCAGCAAAACAAAGTATCCGCTGTATCGGTGGTACTTCCAGATAGCCTTCGCGTTGTCCTCACCTCCGTACAACCCCGGCGTAGCCCACATGGTGAAGCCGACAAGGTATTGCAGCAGGAGCACTATGGAAGTAATGACGCCGAGGTAGCCGTGCGCCGAGTGAAAATGCGCGTTGTGACTCTTCTCCTTGTTGTACTCAATGATGGTGACGCCAGCGACGAGGGAGAGGAATGCCACCAGGTTCAGCAAGCCGTGGACACGCTGCCCGAGGCGCTTCTGGTCGCTTGTATGGGTGGGCTGGAGGAACAGAACTGACTGTACCAACACCAGCACGGCGAAGGATTGGGCAAGAGGGTGTCCCGAGAAGAGGATGAGAGGCTTGGTGAAGACGCTAGCCCAGAGGAGCACGACGAGGAGCCAGATGCCTATCTGCGCGATGATTCCAGTGCCTTGTTTGCTTCGTGTTAGGGAAGCCTACGTCCGATCGATGGGTGGTGGTGCAATCTCGAAGAGGTACACATACCTAGGGCCAGGTTATTGAGGGTTGGTTTGCCCTCTTCTTGCGCAACATCTCCAGGGCGGCCAAGAAGCGGCTCCGTCTCGCGGCCTGCCAGCCCCTCCTCGGAGCCGTTGGGGAATCGTTCTGGTAATCCCGTAGCGCTCGCCATGGCGTTGATCTGACAATGTAAAACAAATAATTGATGTTGAAGGATGGGACGTTTTGATAGGCTAGCGTGCAGAGCTCCGACGCAGTTCTGCTGCAAAGCTTCGGAAAGCAAAGTCCCGTAATGATCCAGCAACTGAGCTGTCTGAAGTTCTGATTGGTATTCTTTTGCCCTTGACTTCTTTGAGCTATGCCGGCTGATCACAGGGCATCGATGGATGAAGAGGAGAAAAACCAAGAGAAGATGAAGACGGTTCGGATCAGTGACGAGTGATTGATGTAGATTCCGATTGCAGCACGTCATGGAGGCGCGACCAGGCTTGAGCACCGATTCGGCTTAGGATGCCGCGGTGGGGAACACGATGGATAGCAGCAATCGGGAAGTTGGACCAATCAGCACCGCGGATTAGCAAACCACAAGCACGACGGTGGCCAAATATGGGGGCCGTAGCGCGGGGAAGCCCTGAAGCAGGCGCTGGGATAGCGAATAAACATACCTAATTGTACCTTGGCAGCACGTCAATTGGGTGGCACTGAGGCCTGGATACGAGGTGGTGGAAGCAAAAGTGTAACTCCATGTGCAGTGTGCAAGTAAAGACGACAAGTATGCCGTGTCACTGCGTGTTATCGGCGCAATAACCCGTCTATGCCTTCATCTCATGAGCGTACCTCCACCGTCAGCGAATACGGAGCATTTGTTGGACTTCAATTGCAAATTGCTGCAACATAGGTACTGAAATGCAGTTGTGACACATCCCGTATTAGAATGCATTACAGCATGGCCTTGGAAGATGAACTTCTCGGACTGCTTCGCTGGTCGGCTTCTGCCGGACTCGAAGGCGCAGGTCCAGCCACCTCTTCTCCGCAACGAGTGTACCGGCTGGCTTCGGACATTGCTGGGGACCGGTTTCTTCATCTTTACCCTACATTTGCCTTGTCCCATTCGAGAACGAACGGACGGGTTACAGGCCCCCATGTGTAAGCCCAGAAGGAGACAATCGGTTGTATGTGCATCTTGGAAGGCTGCCGGGCTAGATAATCTGGTCCACGATATTGGTAGCCAATAGTCAATCCTCCGATTGACGCTGCCGGAAGCCTGGAAAATAAAGGTAGCGGCTAGGGGGTCGAGCTCCACGACTGGCTTCATACGTGTACTCGTAGGGCACCCTCCGTACCTATGATGATATACACCACGTGATAGAATGGTATTGTTGACCTATCATTTCAACATTGATCTAGGGTGGCTATCGCCTACCGTAATCTGCTAGAGGGGATACTCGCCTACTTTTCGTAAAGACAATGCCAAGCATAAACCCCATTCAGCCAGCTTCTTTGGCCTCATTCCAATAAGAGGACAGCAACCACCAATTTATGATGGCAAGGACCTACTGAGGTTAGACAGCCATAGACGTTAAATAAGCCATCTAATACCCCCTTGAAGGATCGATGCGCTTCCCCGCTTATTTGGCCGGTTGACGCCGGGTCTCAGCGCCGGCCGGCTTCGGAGGTGGCCGATTAGGTATCTACAGGAGGGGGCCGCAGCTTTGCTTATCAGGCGGTCGGGCACGCGACTTCCAACAGAAAACAACATCAATCGTATCCCGCTTCTCTAAACTCTCGTCTCCCGAGCGAATTTACTCTCTAGCGGCATATCAGACTGTCTACTCTCAGATTTCTTGCACAATGTCTTCGTTTGCTGATGAGGTCGAGTATAAGCTCGATGCCGTCAAGGCAACACAGTGGGGCCCTGGGGAAATTGACGAGATATTTCGCCCAGCATGCATCGGTAAGTTCATCTTTCCCATTTACTCATGTACGGGCATGGGCATGTATTTACTGACACGAGTTTCAATGCACCAGATCTTGTCTCGGCGGGATTGGGTGGCAAGGTTCTCGGATTCTCGGATGAATGGTTTGCTGAGGCCAATAACCTCTTAACCCCAACGGCCCCCATCAGCCAACCGGGCAAGATGGTCTATACTGGAGCTTGGTACGACGGCTGGGAGACTAGACGCCACAACTCTGAAGAATTCGACTGGGTTGTGATCCGCCTCGGTGTCGCTTCTGGTACCGTCAAGGGCGTCGAAATAGACACTGCCTTTTTCAATGGCAACAATGCTCCCGCCATCTCTGTCGAGGGATGCTTCAGTGACAACGACGAAGAGGTCGTCTCATGGAAGGGTGGCCGAGGCAACTGGGAAACCATCCTCGGCATTCGAGAGTGCGGGCCATCTCAAAGACACGGCTGGAAGCTTGACGCGCCCACCAGCAAGCAATACACCCACGTGAGACTCAACATGTACCCGGATGGAGGCATTGCCAGATTCCGTCTGTTTGGACACGCAGTGCCTGTATTCCCCGAGGATAAGGACACCGTTTTCGATCTTGCAGCGGCGCAAAACGGCGGCATTGCCATCTCGTGCAGCGATCAACACTTTGGCTCCAAGGACAACCTGTTGCTGCCGGGCCGCGGAAAGGACATGGGCGATGGTTGGGAGACGAAGCGTTCGCGAGGCAAGGACCACGTCGACTGGACGATTGTCAAACTGGGTGCCCCGGGGTATATCCAGGAGTTTGTCGTGGACACGGCGCACTTCAGAGGAAATTTCCCGCAAAAGGTTGCTGTCCACGGTCTGTCATGGCAAGGAGAGGGCCAGCCCGAAGCGACGTCTGAGGGATGGGTTGAGGCCGTATCACCCAGCAAGACGGGGCCTGATCAAGAGCACAAATTTGTGTCTGCGGTTGGAGATATACCCCTTACGCACGTGAAGCTTACCATGATACCTGATGGAGGAGTCAAGCGATTCCGGGCCTTTGGTAAACGTGTGGCGTAGAGCGGGAAATTGCTCTTGGGCATTAACGAGATTTCCATGTATTTTAGCACCAGTACGTTGATGCGGTAGAACATGTGGTTTCGCCACTAAAAAAGAAGGGGGAAAAGCTTTCAGAAGAGAAAAATAAAAGTACAAGGCTGGACATTTTAAAAAGCATAAATAACCAAATCGTTTCTCCAGCCCGCTTGGTGAAGCCGTCCGTGAGCACCTTATTTTTTCTTCAACGGGGAATTAATCGTGCAACAAGGTGCACCGAGTTGACAAAGGAGATTGTGCACGGACCACCCGGTCGATATCGTATCCGATGACGAACCTAGACCTATAGCTAACAACCGTTGAAAGTGGGTAGGATAGTAGACCGCTCTCTTGTCAAGGCCACCTCCCTCGCGACTCCAGACGTCGGCCGAAACGCGCCTTTGCTCGAGCAGACAAACAGAGGCTTCTGATCCGATCGCAATTCCGAATTCGAGCTCGAGCTCGCCCGTGCATCGACCACCGGCTGCGGCATCCCATGAGCCAGGCACTCTGGCCCTGCCCCTCCTCCCACCATGGATCCTGGGGATTCTGGCAGCGACAATGGCGGCGAGAAGCGGCGAACCATTCCGGCTGATCTTCCCACGTCGCTGGACGATCGAAGACACGCAGCGGGAGAATTCACAATGCCGGAGACGGAGATGTACGACGGCTGGCAAGGTGCGTTGCGTTGCGTTGCTTTGGGCTGTGTGGCGAACAGAACAAAGAAACCCCCCCCCCTTTATGGCCAACAGCTGTAGCATAGCTGGCATCGAATTGAGCTCGCTAACTCTTGGACAGGCCAGTCTCAGTTTCTCACCTCGCCAGTGCTCGCAAAGCCGCTCAACTTTGGGGATCTGTCCCTGAACGATTCGAACCAGGACGACTTCGTCGGTAGCGGCCCAAAGGATAGCGACGCCAGACTCATGGAGATGCTGGCGGCCCAGGCTGCGCATCGCAACGAGGCGGCGCTCGAAGATGAAGATGCAATCATAACAAACGACAAGATGACGGAGTCGGAGAAAAAGGACATACTGCAAAGGGCCTTGACCATGGCGGCCAGCAACGGCGACACCGACAAGGTCAAGAAGCTACTCGAGGGAGATGCGAAGCCCTTTGTGGACGTCAATCTTCCCGACGACGATGGAACCCCGGCATTGATCTATGCCAGCTGCTTTGTTCGTCTCTCTCTCACAATACCAAAAGAAGAAATTATCGATGCTTGTGACGGCTGGCTAACTCAATCTCTAGGGTCACGAGAAGGTCGTCGAGGCTCTCATTGAGGCGGGCGCCAATGTGAATCAGCAAGACCGCAACCAATGGACACCTTTTATGTGGGCAATGACGAACCGCCACAAGGGCATATCGAAATTGTTGCTGGACAAAGGGGCATCTTCAGAGCAAAAGACATCTTCCGGCCGGACGGCTTTCGACTTTGTGCCCCCAGATAGCGACATGTCATTCTACCTACATGACAATGGTTATTCTATTGGTAGTGCAGGTATCATGGGCGATTTCTATAACCCCGGCTTCTCTCAGGACCGCTTCGAGGAGGAAATGGCGGAAAACGAAATGCGGAGACGGCTGATGATGGAGAGTGCCCGCGATCTAGAAGTTGATTTGGGCAACGTTGGTATGGACGATCAGCCAGAGGTATGTCTGAATAGCCTCTCTCCCTTTTTATTTCGTTTCTCCACCTCTCATATTAGTTTGGTATTGTTGGCTAACTCTCCACGCCCTTCCACTAGCCAATGGATGACTTTGAAGAAGAACAAGCAGAGTTCGATTGGAGCCGCTGTCTCCACGACCAAATGTTTGTCTTCCAAGAGCACGAGTTGGATCGGATACTGGATATTGTGGTCACCAAGATGAGCCCCCAGCGGTCGCCATCGCAGAAACCAGTTCCAGCCAATATGATTTTCCTCAGCGCGAGATATGCACACTACCATGCTAGCCCGGATTTACTGAGAAGACTGCTCGTATCTGCAATGGCTCGCATCAACGCCGTCGTTGAAAAATCCCAGTGGGACATGACCATCCTGGCTTTTTGGATTTCAAACGCGACGCTCCTGCTGCATTATCTCAAGAAAGATGCCGGCTTGGTCGAGGCGACAACCACATTCCAAGCTCAGCTTGCAGAGCTCATCAATGAGATATTTGTGCTAATCGTGCGAGATGCCGAGAGACGACTGGATAAAGTTCTCGACCCTGCCATGCTGGAACATGAGACGATCCCGGGATTCGAGGACATTGCATTCCAAAACGAATGGAAGATCTTCAAGAGGAAGTCTACAGTTAAGGAGCAGCCTCTCGAGAAGCGTTTCCGCCCGCCGTCTCCAAAACAGAGGGCGAAGCCCGCTCCTAGAAACGTCACGTCACTACTGTCGTCGACGCTCTTCGTGTTGGACTTGTACGACATCCACTCGGTCATCACATCACAAATCATCTCTCAACTCCTCTACTGGCTTGGATGCGAGCTGTTCAACAGAGTCATATCGAACCGTAAGTATCTAGCCAGAACAAAGGCAATGCAGATCCGCATGAACGTGTCAATGGTGGAGGACTGGGCGCGAACAAACAACAGACAGGCGGAGCACTACGAAGGCGGCGAGATGAACTCAACCGGCGAAACCACAATGGATGCGGCCAAGCGTCACCTCGCGCCCGTCATCCAACTTTTGCAATGGCTGCAGTGCTTTTCATCGCTGAATGCTGATGACCTGGAAGCCTTGGTCGACACTCTCCAGCAACTGAAGAGAATGACACCTCAGCAATTGATCCATTCAGCCACGCATTACCGCGCCGAAGTTGGCGAAAAAGGACTACCTGCCAGTGCTATGAAGTATCTTCTCGCAATCCAAAAGGAGGGAGCACTCAAGAAGAGCAACCAGGCGTCGGAAAGTGTCCCGACTACGCCAGTAACGGGCAATTTCAACGGAAATGGACAGTCAACTCCCAAAAGCGTTCAAATAAGGACGCCTGGTGGCGCAGACTCGGATGACGAGGACAGCACCCCCAAGAGCTTGTTACTGAATCCATCTTACATGCTGCCTTTTGCACTACCATCAGTCACGGACATGTTGGTATCATACGGAGCAGGTTTTGGAGGTGTCAACAGAGAGAGGGAACGCAAATACATCCCGACCGTCCCACCAGAGTTTCTGGAAAAGTTGGAAGTGAATGGATCGCGGAACCCACCCATGTTCCAGGAGAAGGACTGGGAAAATGAAGAGGTGTGAAGAGTCAAACCGATGTGCTGGTTGGGGGAACAGTGATGGTGTTTCTTTGAAAAGGGGAGAATCATTGTGGTTGGCAGCATCACAACACACAAAACCGTCGGTGAGCGTTGATTTTCAAAAAGGCCAAGGTGGACGGGGGAGGGGACAATATATAGAGAGCAACATCTACGGTTTATTGCACGTTGAACGAGTACATGACGAATTCCTACTGAGCGGGTGCCGCAATTTGTTTACCGACGCATTTTGAGGTGCAGGTATGTGAAGTGATGGGGGAAAGAGGTGGCCCAATTTTTCTTTTCTTGTTTCTTTATTCTTTTTTCCTTTATCCATTTCATTTTCCATTTCTAATTCATTTTCTTTTCTTTTCTCTTTCTCTTTCTCTTTCTCTTTCTCTTTCTCTTTCTCTTTCTCTTTCTCTTTCTCTTTCTCTTTCTCTTTCTCTTTCTCTTTCTGTTGCTCATAGGCTAGCAAAGGTCAACCCATCAGAGAGCATGTGGATGGAGGTGAAGACGCGGAAACCTTGCAAGATGACGCAGCGGACAACTGTCTCTAACATTCTTTGGAAAACAAAAGCAAAGCAAAAAAGGAGGGGACGCATAAAGAGCGACAGCATGACATGCAGTAAGGAGACGACTTTGGGGGCTACGAGGGGAAAACGCTGATGGATAACGCATGCTTTGGATCTACTGGCAGTATTGAGAATGACTCTTGTCTGTAAAGAGGGCAAGGTCCGAGGCTGCATATGTATGTACGTTGTAATTGGGCGGTTAAAGTTCATATTATGACAGACAATTGGAAGCTTGTTGGGGATTTCTACTGCATATTTGGGAGTACATACTTTACTGTACGATTTTAATTCATCTATAATTTTCTGCACCTGGTATAGGTCTAACTGAAACGAGTGGCATCTTTCTTTTTATTTTTTTCCCGATAAATTCTAACTGAGGGCACAGCTTGAAAGACGTTTGGATTGATATTACCAACATAAGGCGTGGAACTCACTCCACCAATAAGAAGCTCAAACTTGTGAGTATATAGGCTGGGAGGTATTGTCCCGGCAGATGTGTAGCGGATATGCGGATTGGGTAAAAAGAGTTGCATGCTACCTAGTTCTCGGCCTGTCCCCATCGGTGATATGAACGGGCAAAGTAGACGGCCCTTCGGTTTGCTGAAAATGTTCCTATTATGAACCTAGATGACAGGAACATTTCGCTAGTCACCCTTCTTTTAAGGTTTCTCTCCGATCTACTATACCAATCCTTTGATGAGTGCTGTATCGACGCAGGTCCCGTCCGCATCCGTCGATCGTACGAGAGTAGTTTTGTTTGCCATGTAGGTTTAAAAGCATTCCACTGCCCTTTGATTTATTGATGTTCGCCGGTTGGCATTGAAGCTGTTTTACGACCATAATTCTCCATGTTCTTAGAAAAAAAGGGGACATGTGTGGCAATGCATTCTCTCTTAGACCAGCATCCAATAGCAGCAGTATATCAACACAGTACCTTTGTCCATGCTAGTATCTCCAATGATTCTAAGCCTGTCCGAACTAGGCCACGGTCTCTATGCCATTTGACCTGCACAAGGCACATAGTCTATGCTTAAAGAAGTATGGTAACAATGAAGAGGCAGAAGCCTTGCATCGGTCAACTCTGTATTTGGCTAGACCAATCTGACAGGGCAAAGAAGAAAGAATAGAGCATAGGTAGAGAGAGCGCCAGGAGAGAAGAAAAAAAGGCTCGATCGGCTCGGAGAGGGTCCGTGGCCGGGGGAGGTGGAGCAGGCCCCAGCTTAGTCGGGTCGGCGTCTTGGGCCCCACTAGCGGAATGCGCTGGCGGGATTGTGCCATGGATGTGAATTTTAAAAAAAGAAAAAAAGAAAAGAAAAAATGGCCACGTTGAACCCGGAAGGATGAAGAAGAGGGTGGTCAATTAATCTATTTTAGTTTGCTTTTGCTTTTTCTTCTCACTGTGCTCCCTTGCGGTGTTGGGGGGGAACGATCGATTGGGGGAGTAAATGGGCTGATTTGTGATGCGTGTTGCTGCCGGGATACCCTGGAGAAAGAGGGCTTTTCTTTGCTGGCACCATTACCCAGTCAAAGCATTGATGATGGGCTTTGTGCGTGGTGAGAGCCCTCCGGGTAGATGCTAGATATGCGAGGGAGAGCTAGTACTGTTGGAGATGCGACGGATGCTTGCTTTTTTTTCTCTCTCTTTCTCTTTCGGCGAGTTGGCCTACGTTGAGGTAGTTGATTGGTAACGAGGCGGCTTGCATGCGAGGCCATCAAGGATGTCCACATACGTGTGATCTCGTAGGAGTTTCTTACAGCTATTGACACGTGAATAGCTAGGAATCCTTGCACGAGGGATGTATTTTCGCAGTCGGGAGCCCATGGTGTTGCGCCAAGGTAGCACTATCGTCTACTTGGCAGATGACAGGCCACAAGCAGGCAGCAATCAATGGCCAGAGCTACCCGACCTGAATTATTCCTACGGTCACAGATTACACTTTGAAAAAGGAGAGAAAGAAAGCGAAAAAGGGCCACAAAATCCGTCAATGGACGGGTAACCCGGGCGTAGTACCGCCGAATTCAAGCGGAGAAAATGGAGAGCATGTTCGCAGCAACTGGAGAACAAGGTTCAGCTTGGCGAAGAAGCCTCACCGGAAACTTGGTCCCCCCAAAACGTCAAGAAAGAGAGAGAGAGGGGAAAAAACGAGACGCAGAAATTCAATTGAGCGAAAAGGAGGGGGGGAGGCGGCAGAAAGATTGCCGAGCTGAGTCCCGTCCCTTCCATCCCCCCCTCTCTCTCCCTTGCATGAGGTTTTATTTGGTGGGCAGACTTTGGGCGACTATTGCGTTGATGCGTCGGCGTTTGCACTGCACGGTGCCGAGCTTTTGGGGGGGGGGGGGGGGGAGAGAAGAAAATTTGGATGAGAGAGAGAGAGAGGAGGCCAACCGAATCGGCAGAAGGGGTGCGGACGGATGGGAGTCTGAGCCGAAAGGGCTGGGCAATGGCATCTGCAGTGTGTGTGCGTCCTTGTGTGTGTGCGTCCTTGTGTGTGTAAGTGCCCAACGTGTGTACGAGTATGCACCCAGGAGAAGAGGCGGGAAAGGGCGAGAGCGTGTGTCCCTGTACAGTACAGCGTTGACGTGAATACCTACTAAGGTACGGAGTAGAGTAGGTAGGATCGGGTCCATTCGGTGGCATCGGGTACCTTGCATCTGTTGAGATGGAGGGCGTTTGTGAGAAGTGACGCCCCTTGCAGGAGGCGGCGTCTCCTCTCGCTCGTCGCTTGTCACGATGGTTGGCGAATGAAAACGAAAAGTAATACAGCTGAGGGGTAAAAAAACAAGGAATAAGGGGGGAAAAAAATTAAAATTTAGCAGCCGGCTGGCTGATACGTGTCCCACCGCGCATGCAGAGCTGAGCAATGGAATGGGGAGGCTTCATTTGATTCCTGCGATGTGATGCGCGGCGGTGCGCAAAATGCAGGTTTGTGATAGTCCTGCCGGTTCCTGCATCCGCGGACCAGTAGGAGTGAAACCTTTATTCGTTTAGCACCGGGGGCTTGTTTTCTTCTTCTTCTTTCTTCTTGTTTTCTGCTTGGGTGAGCAGGAGTGGCGTTTTTTCTTTTTCGCTTTCCCGGTGTGAAGAATACAATTTAGTTTGCATATGCATTCATTCGTTTGCTTCGGACGCAAGGGTGCATATACGAGCTGGGTCTGGATGACCAATGAGTATTACAGCCCGAGCACCAATCCGCGGCAGTTGATGCTCTCAATTCCATCCATCTCTCCAGTCAATTTCTTCTTCTTTTTCCCCCAGGTATAGTAGGTACCTGTTTAACCATGATTTAGTACTCGTAATACACGTACCTACTGATATTTGTGCTCCCTGTCTGTCAATTTGACATGCCCGCCTGTCCTCCCCCCGTTTGACGTCGGGTCTCATTTGCTCGTTTGCTTGGACCGCACTCTCGCCAAACGACTTGAAACGGACGCAGCAGGTAGCCGAAGGAGGCGGAGGCGGTGGGCTTTCCGAGTGCCTGACAGCCATGCCATACCAACTTGGACCAAGGGAGATGAGGCATAATGATGGAAAGGTACATCCGTCGAGGCCCAAAAGACCTTGATCGGAAGTCGATGGAGCCCAAAGGCAACAAACCGCTCGACGCTAATCAACCTGGAAGATGGAAGATGCCGGTTCCCAGCAGGCTGGAGTCTGCCCTGGCCTGGCCTTGCTAGCGGGTGCCCGAAAGCCGTGACCGCCTGGATGCCGCTGGAAAAGGCCCTGTAAGTCAAGCATCGGTGATCCCTGTCCCGCCACTAGCCAGCGTCTTAGTGCGTCCAGCTGTATTTGATCTCTGCTGTATCGCGGGTCCCCGATTGGGTTCTGGGATTGAGTTGAGCTCGGCACCTCGACTCGACTATTTCCCACTCAAACGGCGTCTTGTGTTGCCATTGATTTCAACTCAATCTCAATCTCAATCCCTGTCGGGCACATGCAAGTTGAGTCCAAAACTTGGCGTCAATGTACTCGTATGCATGTGCGGGCGATGTGGAGGCTTGCAGTTGAATTCCGTAGTGCAAATTCAAAGAGTCTTTGGTACATCAATGTATTACGAGTGCACCAGTGATATCAATCATCAAAGAATAGTCGCACCCGTCATCCCCGACAAACCACCTCCATATTGACTGCGCTGGCCTCTGCCCTGCATGAGCATTGGATCATACACGCGCAATGCCTATTGGTATAGAAACAAACGACATCCTCCCTCCCTCTCTCTCTCTTTTATCTCTTTCTTTTTTTTTCCCAGTCTCGTTTCTTTTCCTATCCCGCCTCTTAGTTTTTCAGCTCTCAGTCACTCTCGTTTTGATTCGCCCTCTGTCCAAGACGCATGTCTCAGCTCTACTTTGCTTTTGCCTTGGTACATGACTTGGATGCAAGGGACGCCTTGGCCCGGCGCTCTTCTCCAGACAGAGAGAAGGGCATTCGCTACGCCTTCCCCGGATCTTCACGGCGTTAAATTACTTGCTTCTCCTCCATAGGTATATAATCCGTTCTCTCCATCATTTCCCCCCGCAAATGCTGTGTCGTTTTGCTTTGTTGTCAGTGCCAGGGGCTGAGAGTCAGCAGGAAACCGAGAGTTGCTCTTACACCGACTTGTCGGGTCTTGAAAACATCCATCAACCTGCATCTGCATCTGTGTCCCGCCTACCCGCCGTGATAGTGCACCGCTAGGGCTGCGGACTGCCCGTTCCTCTCGTTTACAGCAGTTACGACTTATGACTTGAACGATTGCCACGTCAACCCTCATTCTCTCTCATCTTGCCGCCTTTTTCTTCCATTCCTTTTCCATCGCTTCTCTTCTTCTCTCTTCTCTCGTCCCTCCCACTTCTCTCGCTATCATTACCCACCCTCGTCTGCTCTGCGATATTCTCGCTTCCTCTCGCTTCACATCTTATCGCCTCGGCAAGCCTCGATATACATTCCGAGGGAAAGACCACAGCAAAGTGTCACTTGCCAGCCTCACCTTCGCTTCTCACCGCACACTCGGCATCAAGAGGCAGTTTTAAAATACCAACCGCCCCAACCATCTCAATCTTTCAAGCTGGCTGCCTCACGCTTCACCAAATTGCTCCGACGCTTGGCTCGGAGCTTCCGCTCGCATAGCACCGAAAACACCAGCATCAGCACTCTCGCCATCATTAGCACCTCCGCCATCAGCATCAGCAACAACAATTCATATCCATCTCGCCCACAAGCTCAAGTTCAAGTTCAAGGTCATTGCGGCCGATCAGCTCCTCCAACTGCCCCAGATAGAGCCATGGCCATCACATCCATCCGACCAGCAGCTGGCTCCAGATCGCGACGTTCTGCCGACAACATCATAGGCCTCCGTTACGAAAAGACGGTCCAGGCAGAGCCTCCCATCCCGTTGCCTCCCAGAAACACATCTCGCAACACCATTCATACGCTGTCGATACGATCGTCAGCATCGTCTCCCTCTCCCTCTCTGTACTCGGTGTCTCTGTACTCGCCAAGCCTGGTGGTTGTTTCACCACCGCGGCTCTCTCTATTGCCCATTACGCCCCCAACTGAGCAGCATCCGGCGTTGAGGACGCCGGTACGTCAGGCAAAGCTCGCCCACGAGGGTTGGAAGAGAGACTCGGGGCTCGCACCGACGCCCACCTCAGCCACTACCATTTACGAAGAGGACTGCGAGGAAGAAGAGCCCAAGCAGGAGCCCAAGCAGCCGGCAGAGGCCCAAGACTCTGTCGGTGACAAGCCAACCAAGGTCGACGAGGTACCACGACATCGTGTCCCACAAGCACAAGCACAAGCACAGCACGGAACAGCTGTCGGTCCAGTGGCGGCTGGTTGGCAGTGTTCGACAAGTGAGACAAAGTTTCATCAACCAGCCGCGTCTGCGTCATTTCCCTGCTTCGAAAAACCCAATACCGCCGCCGCCGCTCCGAGCCGTGGTCAACCTCAACCTCAACCTCCCTCACCACCTCGCTCGCCGTTGTCGCCAGTGTCGCCAGTGTCGCCAAAGAGGCAAAGCATTCTCAAGCGCCTTAGCGTCTGCTCCTCTGCGTCGGCAAAGGGGAAATTAGCCCTGCAAGCCCTGGCAATTGACGAGGGATCTGCTGCCGCAAACGCGCCAATGCAGCCCCTGATGCGGGGCTCGCAGCAAGCCTCCACTCATAAGCAGCCACAACGGTCGACTGCAGAACAGTCGCCTCTTCCGCTACTGCAGATACAGACACTATCTCGCGACACTGCTTCTCCGGGCGACGTCAACGACCGCTTTGCGCCTCTGGGCATCAGCATCCCAACGCACAGCCTGCTCGAGGATGATTTTATGGCCACGTTGTCCTTCTCCAACCGCGGCAGCATCATGTTCGGCGGCCGACGCGCTGGAGCGCTGGGCCTCGACGGGACCAGCGACTTGGGCAGAGGCGATGTCTCTGCTCCTTCAACACCCACCCACAGCCATGCACGATCCAGCAGCACCAGCGTCGACCGCATCGAGTCCTTGGCCGCCAGTGCCTCCAACCCCAACCTCGTGCCCCGCGCTCAGCCGCCACCCGACATCCGCCTGCTAGCATCCGACGTCGACAAGGAGTCCCAAAAGGTGAGATCGCTCTATGGAGTCGGCGATGCCATCAATTGGGAGGATGGCGCAAGGCGCTCGTACTGCGAACCCTTGGAGCCTACCCCAGAGCTCCCAGCAGAGGAAGATGGGAATGACTCGTATGGATTCCCTTGACGATTTCCTGGCGCCGCGTGTCGGGTTGTCTGCTTGCTCGTCTTCTGTGCATCTTGTTGCTAACGCTGTGCGCCATTCGAACTTGTAGCATAATACTGCCGCCTCCCATCCCAGTTTGGGGGACCCCGAGATCCGTCAGGTCTACGAGCTCTTCGGTTCACCTTGACTATAGGCGAGACACGGAGCTCGCTGGCGGCCTAGAGGACTGGGAAGACGTTGACGGCGCCAGCGTCGATCGATATGGATTCATCACCGCCCCGCGATCACGGCTCGGCACGCCCACGGAAATGAAGTCTGCCCAGTACTCGCCTAGGCGAAGGAACATGCTGCAGAAGAGGGACTTGGCTGGCCTATCTCCCTTGGGCCCGAGCAGGAAGATGTCCGCCAGGTCGCTCAACACCCAAGCCTCGGAACTATCTACCGCCTCGAAACGATCTTCGCGATCCGTCATTCGACAGGCTAGCAATCTGCTACCCCATAACCGAGATCGGCGATGGCTGGACGAGGCTGGCGACATGCTGACGCTTCCGACAAGCCTCCAAGATGCCGCAGAGGAAGCCCATATAGAGAGGATATCGGAAACACTAAAGCGCAAGGAGTGGGAGAGGTCGGAGAAGTGGCGCAAGATGGCCAAGGTCGTCCGAAGGGGCGGCCAGGGCGAAGGCATGGAGTTTGAGTTTGACAGAAAGAACCCTAAGCTCATTGAGCGAACGTGGAAAGGCATTCCCGATCGCTGGCGTGCGGCCGCGTGGTGGTCCTTTCTTGCCAACTCGGCTACGGAACACGGAGTCCACGCCATTGAAGAGGAGATTGTTGCGTCATTCCACCGGCTGCTGGAGCAAAGCTCGCCGGACGATGTGCAGATCGACCTCGACGTGCCCCGGACCATTAGCCGACACATTATGTTTCGCAAAAGGTACCGCGGCGGCCAGCGGCTTTTGTTCCGCGTGCTGCACTGCCTGTCCATCTTTTATCCAGAAACGGGCTATGTCCAAGGCATGGCGTCATTGGCAGCAACGCTGCTCTGCTATTTTGACGAAGAAAAGTGCTTCGTCATGCTGGTGCGCATGTGGCAGCTGCGAGGGCTCGATCGCCTCTATCGCCCCGGCTTCGAGGGTCTGATGAAGGCGCTGCACGAGTTTGATGAAACTTGGCTGAATAAAGACGTGGCCAACAGGCTGGTGAGTCTTGACGACGACAATCTAAATACTTGTATTAATCTAACATTCTCATCCCTCTTGTGTTGTAGACCGAGCTCAGCGTAGACATAACGGCATATGGTACGCGTTGGTACCTTACCCTCTTCAACCTCTCCATTCCATTTCCAGCCCAGCTGCGAGTATGGGATGTCTTTCTCCTACTGGGGGATAGCGCAGCCGAGGCGAATATCGCCACGCATGTTGAGGACGGCGAAGCAAGCCCGGCAACAGGGCTCGATATTTTGCACGCCACGAGCGCCGCCTTGATCCAGGCCCTCCGCGAGGTGCTCCTGGACTCCGACTTCGAAAACGCCATGAAGGCCTTGACGTCATGGATTCCCATCAAGGATGAGGATCTCCTGATGAAGGTGACCAAAGCCGAATGGAAGTCACACCAAGGCAAGAAGAAGACGTAGCACGCTTGCCTCTCCCGACTCTCACTCACTCCGACGGGCTGATTCTTGCCTCTTATTCTACTGTATTAAATTCTGTTTTCCCTTTGTTTTCTTTTGAAATTGGCGCAGGGGAACGGGAGCATTCAGCTTCCCGGGGCTCTACCCTTCTCTTGTCCTCTTCATCTCCGTACCACCCGATACCCCCTCCTTTTACTTGTTCAGCTACTGATACCCTCTATTAATGAACAGATGGTCTATTTGACACCTCTTCATATATGGTCTCTCCTTTGTCTTTGTTTGATGCGTGCTGATTTAATCTTGCTTCGGCCCCTCCCTCTCTATATTGATCTCTTTTTACTTTGTCTTTGTGTGTCTGTCTGCTTGCTTGCTTCATATACCAGGATCTGGGACAGGGTGGCGCGGAGCGGGCGTACGGTACGCCCTGACTTATGGATACCCTTCCGTCACGGAGGCGTTTTGTTGTTTTGAGCAGTGGGTGGTTGGAGATGGTTGGCGATGTATTTTGTCAGATTGGCCGGAGTTGGCGTCCTGGGGGTGGACGGCACCGGCAGATGTTTGTAACTAGATGGTTGCTTGATGGAAGGGGGGAACAAAAAAGCATTACTAGTACTATTAATACAGGCGGAGATTTGTTCAGCCAGGCCTTTTACAGTACGAGCGTTGATCCTTTTTTTTTTTTACATTTACACCCCCGTAAGCACTTGGCCGTGGTGTTTTGGGCAGCAAGGCACCCGAGTTAGGTTCCCGGAACTGGGTTCCTGGATATGGAATATGCTTCATATATCACACGTGAGATTTGTCTCGCTCGGGGGCTCCTCTGTCACAGATCCTTGCCCATGGCTTTGTACTTGTTTCTTACAGTCCGCCCGCGGCATCGGCGATAAGTCGGTTTAGGTTTCTTGCCACTTGGGAGGGATTATAACTTGTTTTCACATGTGTGTTTGTGTAGGTGCGGAGGACAGAGCAGATGTTTGTTATTCAAGGCTAAGAGCGTATATGTATATGTATATATATATATATATACCCTAATGTATATACATATACTCGTATAAATACGAAATGGAGTGTGAGTTATTCTGGATACGACGGCAATTTTTCCTTTTTTTTTAGTTGAGCTTTCGTGTGCTAGGGGGTGAGGAGAAGTGGGATTTGCCGAGAGTGAAGTGTTACAACCGAGTCAGATTGCGAAATCCCGAGGAGGCCAGGGGTGGATAGGAGGATGTTCAAAAAAGGTTCTGGAAGCTGATGTGATGTGAGAAGTGTAAGCTTTTGACGGAAGGGGAGGGGAGGGGGGGGGGGGGTTGGGTGTCTAATCATTATTTTTCTTTTTTTTTTTTTATTCTTCTTCGTGTTTTTTTTTTTGGTGTTTTTTGTGTTTTTTTTATGTGCTGTGTGGGATAGTGAGACGGGCAGACGATGCATTGACCTTTTTTTTCTTTTTTTCTTTTCTTTTTGGTCTTATGGTTCTTTTTCTCTTTCACATGCTTGGTCATAACATCGTACCGGGAACCCCATGAGACCCTTCCACTTGGAACCTTTTCTAGGACCCCTGATGGGAGCCGCTTCGGCAGATGGGGGTTACGACTTTCCGCTTTCGAGATGGCTGTGCTTTTCCCGTTAGGCAGACCGAATGCTACCATGCCAAGTTGCTCGCTACGGTTAGCCAGGCTAAAGGACGAAGCTTTTTCCTTTTTTCTATATCCACTCATCACCTGTCGCAAAAAAGAAAAGAAAAGAAAAGAATACTACAAGGGGGACCAGATGACGGGAAGCAAAGAGGCATGTGAAGAGGAGTACAACTACTACCTAGTAGGTACTATAGGTATATACAACAAGGTAAAGGTAAAGGTACTTTCGAAAGTGCCGTACGGAGCGAAGCACTGAAACGGGTCGCCGTACTTCCGTATTGAGAAACGGTGCTGAATAGAAAAAACGGAGCTGGAGGTTTTTTTCTCCCCCTGTTGCCGGTTCCCCGGATTGGGTTTGAATGTCCGGGAAGCGAGAGCAAACAAAGAAAAGAAGAAAAGATTTCAAGTCAACGGGTCGGGTGGGTTTACGAATCGGGTATCGCACCGAAGACGGCTTCTTGCTAAAAAAAAAAAAAAAAAATAAGTAGCGGTACTCGGGCGTCTGTTCGGAGATGCATGTGAGAAAGCGGTAGGTCCGTGTACTTGTACTTGCTTGTTTTTTCTTGATTGGTGGTGGGAAAGGCATTTGGTGGTGATTACTGTACTACACGGGTACCTGGCGTTAAGAGCACACACGCGCACACTATAATTCTTCAAGTGTGTCTCACCTCTAATTTCCTTTTGAGTTTGTTTGACGAGCGTGTGCCCTTTTCTTCATCTTCATCTTGGTAAAGTGACGAGTCACAATTTCTGTTTCTTCTGCCGGGGCCCTGGGACGTGGTTCTTGGCGCGCGGGACAATCCATCGTTCCGAGAATCTTTGTCAACTCTGCAAGTGGGCTTTTCTTTCTTCTTTTCCTCTCTTTTTGACAGCAGAAAGAGGAATATGCTTCGTTATCACTGGGTACTAAGGTAGGCTAGCTCGAGTCCCCCCCCCCCAAAAAAAAATCCCATTCGGAAACGGGACAACGAAGCAGAGAAACCCCTGTCCTGTCCTGTCTTGTTGAAGAAACTACGCGTATGCGGGCATTGTTTTTTTTTTGGGGGTCGTCCATGATCCAAGATTGTCATCTTGATACCCCGTAGGAGCTAGATTGTTCCATAAAAGCCCTCAATGATGTCTTTTTGTTAGTTTCGGATGTGCTATTCACACCCTCTTCACCTCTCGGCACGCCATTGGGGAAAAAAGCCGGAGATTAGATCAACGCAATGCTTATTTCTTCTCAGAACAAAGTAGGTATATACCAGTACAAGTACCGGTGGTCGTTTATAGCAGAAGCAAAGCCTCACACACACTCCCCCTTTTTGGATGGCCAAGGCGTGCTATAACGTTTCAGGAATTCACCAGGCAGTAGAAGAAGAAGAAGAAGAAGAAGAAGAAGAAGAAGAAGAAAACCTTGGCAGATTCCCATCCATTCATCCCACAGCAAGCCCCGAAGCCTCTCCAAGACAGCTGCTAGTATTGCCAAGCTGGTGCTAGCCGCCCGACCTTGATTACTCCCTTCGACTTTCTTTCTCGGCGATGCTCCGGTTCCCCATAATATTTCCTCGAGCGATACCCGGGCCTACTCGTACTGTACACGCACATGCCTTGCGTACATGTGTATATGCACCCAATAAGTCTGAAACAAGCGACAATTATTTGCTCTTCTTCCCGTTTCCCGTCGTCTCTTCTCCTTTGGGCCATGCGTAAATACTGCCAACTCCGTGTTAGGCACAGGCGGAGAGAATGGTCCGCATACTGTATGCACGAGTACAGCACCCAAACTTGCTGCCGAGATGCTAAAGAGGTACAATCAATACCAATAAGGATACCTACATGTTGCAGGTTACCGGTATTCCATGCTACTTCCAATACTGGATAATCATTTACCCCCCTACCTACCTTTACCAGGTACTACCTAGTACCACCCTACCTTACCCAGCTTGCCCAGTACTACCTCCTACTGTAGTACTCCGTAAGTAGCATCAAAATCCCAGCTTCGTACGCCCGCAGCATATCCCAGTCGCACTCCGTAACGGGCTCTTCACCATCCCGCAACTTTCCTCTTCCGTCCCAAGCACCCGCAGCCCGTAACCCGTGCCGTAAAGGGGAATTGGCAAACACACACACAGACGCACAAACTCTCTCGCAAACTTGGTGCTGTACATGAAACCTTTTTGCTCCACCAATTCTCCGATTCTATCCTACTAAATCCCATCCCATCGGCCGCTACTGCCAGGTACGTTGCCTCGGTACTCGCTCCAGCGTGCCAGCCAGCCTAGGCAACTTTGCAACAACAACGGCAGCCGGATTTGCCCAGACGAGGAAAAGACAGCGGTCCGTCCGCCCGATTCAGGCAAACCGTGTAAGGGGAAAAAAATGAGAATCAGAAAAAAAGAACAGAAAACCCCCCTCGCAATGCACTGACACTGACACGTAGGTACTTACCTACCTGTACCTGGTAATAATACCGAGAACCAGTATCCATGACTCTGTGCTTCATATGCCTTTATGAGTACTACTAGGTACTTGTACCATCTGCTGTATACGTGTACTCCCAAAGAAGAAGAAACCCCCTGCCGATGCAAACTGCCAGAGCACATGTAATCATTCCAGGACCTGCATCATCCGAAACGTTGCTCCTCTCCGACTACCGTAACTGACCCGGCCGGGGCTAATGGCATTTGGTTCATGTTTGGTTACCTTCCTACAAGGTACATACATACATGTACTGTGACTGTAGCACCACGTCTGATTGCCAAAACCGCATCTCACACTCATTCATTCTCACGTACAGTTCAAGTAACTTTAGATGATGCTGCCTCCTGCATAAGTGTCCCTCCCCCCTGGTTAGTAATACTAAACTACTTGCTATACCTACGACCGCCAGCCTTTACCGCCACACACCAAACATCCATCCCATCCAAAATCCTACCCGTCAAGACTACCACCACATCAGCCCTGCCTCGGAATCCGGATGCGCCTTACGCGGCACCGCGCGATATCATATGACCGATCGCTCGAGTGCCCTCTTGCTCGGGCCCGAACCCTTGCCCGTCTTGCGTGGCTTTTTTTAGGCCGGCTCCTGACCTGCACCATCCCCATGGGTCGTCTGTTTCATCTACATGCCGTGATTGGCAACCCAAAGGCGCCCCCCTGTGCAACCGTTCGCGGCCGTTTGCGCTCGGATATCAGTCCTAAGCCCCGACCACGGCGAGCCCAATAGCACTTTTATTTCGGTTGCCCTCAGCTAGTTGCTTCGATAGGCATCAGGCAAACGAGTCGGGCTGTACTGGTTGGTACTGTATGAGTACGAGTACACAGCTAAGGTACTGGGCGGGAATAAGGTACTCGGGTAATGCTTCATCTGTATGCTACTTGTATACATGTATCAAAGGTACTTTGACAACTTTTGCACCTGGGGGGGCCATTTGGTAATGCTTTTGATTCCTTCTTCTTCTTCTTCTTCTCCTTTCCTCTCCATGGATGCGTTTCTGGCATCCCCCGTCCAATCCCATCCTATCAATACACTTTTTGTCCATGTGCAATGCGAAACAGCTCAAAATCCCCTCCCTTCCCAGTAAAACGAAAAAACGCCGATATGTGCAGGTCCCCTCCCCTCAAACAAACTATGCTATCCGACCGCCATTCTAGTCTGTGAAATGTAATGACCAGTCTGGTCTTTCCTGCCCCTATGGTAGCCTCGAAGGATGAAAGGAAATTTGCGCGGATGGTGCATGACGTATACCAAAACAAATATACAAAAGGGGGCGGCGATCAAAGCCAAACCCGTCGGCCATGATCATGAAATGAAGAAGTTGTTTGAACAAAGTGTAGGGGGAAAATGAAGTGAAAATGAAAAAGAAAATGACAATGAGAACCAGAGTGAATAAATGAATGTGAGAACAACAGGTGGGAAAAAGGGGGGTGAGAACGAAGACAAGTGTGGTAAGACTGTGAAAAAACAGAGGCCTCCCGAGTTGGCGACACTGTCGTCATGCTCTCACAGTTCTTGAGTGATGCCAAATGAGCCCGTCACCCGCAGCATCCCATTGGCAGTCATCTCCAGAAACCCAATCAGGCTTCTCTCTCGTGCATCCCACCCCCTGCCATTCGGGACCTTGGATCGGCTTCTCCTGCAGATAGCGGCGTATCTACCCCAGCTCTTTGCTCTCCCGGTCCCCTGGCTCGTGGTATCGGCGGCGGCGCCTCGAGCCGCGGGGGCTGCGCATTCTGTCGTGACAGTGCACCCGAGTCATCAGGCTCGCGGGATAGCAGCGAGGATACCGACTGCTTTGCACTCCTCGAATCCTCCCTCTCACGTTGCGAGGGACCCCAGGACGGGGCTTGTGTTGGCGTTCTCGCTCGAGGCCGGTCAGGATCCTCACCGTACATCTGGCCAGGAGGCCTATACCACGACACATCGCTCCGTTGGCGCTTATGCGATTTTCGACTGGGCGACGCTGGATTCGACGAGCCGAGCTGCGTGAATGGCGGCGGGGATCGAAATCGGTCTTCGCTCGGAGCTCTAGTTACCTGCTGAGAAGCCCCTCCAGTCGTCTTTCGCTTCTTCTGAGCCTCCCCTGTTTCAGCCGCACAAACCCCAAGTTAGCTTAAAGGGAGTCTCGCTTTCTCTTGGATTTTGACGAACCAGACGGTGTTCCGGGCCGGTTCGAGCTGCTGCCGCTCTGCGTCGCCGGGGGCTGCCAATGATGGAAATAGATCGACGGGCTCGTGTCATGCTGGGATGACTGCGACTGCGTATGCGCGTGCCCTTGGTACGGCGGCATCACAGGAGGAGGTCCTTGCGGGGGCTGGGGAGGGTTGGCGACGCCCACCATGTTGGATGCCATTCCAATTGGTCGGCCCATTGCGCCGGAGACAGTCTGGCCTCTTGGCCTCGTTGGCGATCCTGGATACGGCCCATACCCGCCGGGGCCTTGAGCTGAAGTCGCCTGTGCTGGAGAAGTGGCGTACACCATTCCGTGGCCTACGGGCTCCCTCGAATGGTCTGGTGGTGAATGCGGCCGCTGGGGCGGAAGCAGCTGGGGATGATGGCCTTGGGCTGGAGCCATGAACTGTTGTGCCCATTCAAGAGCGGCCTGGGGAAGGGTGCCCCCGCTTCCCATGCCAGCAAAGACTAGAGGAACCAAGGGAGGTGGGATGCCGCCGCCAAGAGAGGCTCGCAAAATATCCATTTCGATTTTTCTCTGCTCCAGACGTAAAGTCTCTTGCCTGGTCCTCTCCTCTTCTTGCCTCGTCTTCTCTTCCTCTGTCTTGGCCTGGAGCCAAGTCCGCATAGACTCCTCAGCTCCTTGCCATTGCTGTGGCGGCGGAGGCAGGCCAGCCGAAGGCGAGGGCCATGGTTGTTGTGCCTGGTGAGAGTGCTGTGATAGCGGTAGAGGAGGTGGTGGTTGAGCGTGGTGTGACGGCGGAGGGCCAACGGAAGGAGGCTGCTGTGGAGGTAGAGTCATGGCCGCCGGAGGAGGCAGGCCACGATGAGAAGACATGGGCTGCACTGGGCTGTTCTGAGAGACGAGGTACGGTTTGAAGGATGGGTCTTGATAGTTCAAGGGAGGAGAGGGCCGGGAGGTGGAAGGCGGAGTTGGCAAATCATGGACGGACTTGTAGCCGTATGTCGTCGATTGCTGCTTGATGGTGAGCATCATCACATATGCCGCGAGTTACAGGAGTGTATGCATGTGTTTAAGTAGGCATCAGAGGATGGTGCAAAAAAGAACCAGGCTGCGGGGCATGCAAGAAACAAACAATACTTGTAACAATCAAAGTCATAAAATGAGAGTACGATGACTGGGGATGGGGGAAGTTGGGCAAGGAAGAAAACAGGAGAGGAGGAGAGAAGGACAGGATGGGAGGTTGTGGAGGCGTACGTGGTGGATATAACGTCTGTTATAACAAGTCGAGGCGTAGGCTGGAGGTGACGGCCCAGCTCAACAACAACAACAACAACAACAACAACAACAATGGCTGTCAACTGGGGCTGGACGGATGACGCTTGAGGATAAGCTAGCCACCCTCATTGAGGGTAGTCTTGGTGTCAACAGACAGTACTGGGTACAGGGAGAGAAAGCAGATGGGAGAGGGCTGAAGCAACCCTGTCGGGCACATGTAGGCTATCAGAGATGGTGGTCCATCCGCTCCTTGTGTACTCGTAGTGCTTCCTAGAATGGAGACAGAGCGCCGCGGGACGGACTTGGCCAACGAGGGGCTTGCCCCAAGGGGGGGGGGGGGGGTTGTGCCAACAGTCAGAGGCAGAGGCGAGACAGCCAGAAACCGGACCTGAGAATATCGGCTGGGCTAGAAGGAGGGTGAACAGCAGACAAGGGCCGGAGCGGGCACCGTGCCACTGTGGAGAAGGCGTATGGTGTGCCTGGTCTATTCCACCAGAGCGTGCACGTATCAGAGCGTATGATCTGATTAGGGAATCGATGGGACGTCAACTAACAGGGAAGTGGGCGGAGGGCGTGTGCGTTTCAGATAGGGAGTGCGAGAAGAAGGGGGGAGTTCTAAAAAAGAAAGGAAAGAAAAAAAGATCCCAGAAATAAAATTCTCAGCCAAGATTTGTGGATTGGCGGCAAGCAGAGCCGAAATAGACAAGGGGGACGAGCCTGAGGGGAGAAATATAGAGGAAGCAGAAAATGAAGCAATCAAGAATGAAGCTGTGGGAAAATCAGTTGGATCCTATGCTGCGGCGCAGAGAGGTTTGCTCTTTGCTGCTTTGAAAGGTGCATACCAGTTGCAGGGGGATAACACCACAAATGGCCAAACAAGCCGGCAACGATACGGGAATCATACAGGACATCAGATTAAAACCACAACAAGACAAATAGAATTCTTATCATACATTTCAGATGCTCCCGCACATGCAGCGCAAGGCAAGAAAGCCAAAGGAGAGGAGCGGCCGCCGGCTGTCGCAATCGAGGGCAACGTGAGATGGCGTCTTTCGAATGCGGGGGGGGGTTGCTTATACCAACGGAGGACCTGTAAGACGTATACTACTTGTAAGTAACGGTAAGCTGTCGAGGAAAAAGAGACGCGCGAACGAATCGGCCGTTATCAAAAACACCATTGCAGGGGCAAATCAGGGTCGGCCATCGGGCAGAGAAAAAAACTGTCCCAACATGATATCCCTTGATAAGACTAGTTTGAGAAGAAGCACACTCACTCATGTGCTAGGCAGGCAGGCAGGCAGGCAGGCAGACAACAGGCAAGCAGGGAGCACCACTCTGCAGCTCCGGCATCCTTGTGCGCCTGTGTGCGGCTGCTGCACGTCTTGGGAGATGTGCAAAAAATAGTACACGATGCAACGGGGCCATCCAATAAGTGGCAGCTTGCCCTGCGCTTCCGCGGTACGGAAGCCTCTGGCAGCTACGCCGCATTTGGGTCACGGAAGTGCTCCGTACTGCACAGTACAGTAAGGCAGGCAACGACCTGTGTGTGTTAGAAGAGAGGCAAATGGGCGACATGTTGCGCGCCCGACCCAAACGCCGCGGGTCTGGCCTTGGCCGTGGCCGCCACGAGCATGGGGCGCTGGAGTTGCGAGATTCGTCCGCCATGCCAGCTTGGTGCTGTACTCGCACTCGTAGCGGTACGCATCAGCCTCTAGAAACAACCCGATCTCAGTGCCCCATCTAAACTCATCGGCTCGGAGGTACCCTCTCTGTATGAGGCAGATGTTGCGCTTGAGAGAAAGCCACAGGGCTCTAAGAGTGGAGGGGGAGAGGGGTTGGTGGCGGGCATGGCTCGTTCTGCTACCAGGTCGTCGTTCATTAGCTGAGAGCGGGCGGGTGTAAGAGATACGGACGGAGACTTGCGGTTTCTTAGGCTGAATAGCTCACCTATCGTCTTGTGGCCATGCCGTGTCTTGACTAGGACCAGGTCGTTTCAGAGCTGGCTCTCATCTCAAGTCCGCAGGACGAGATGGATGCGCCATAATACTCGGTGCATATGTACGCAGGAAGCACAGTAGCTACATTCCGCCTGGGCAGTGCTCCGTGCGCACGCAAGTACTCGATAGTCTCTGGCCATGCGGTGTATGTATATGCAGGTGCACGCACCGTATGCATGTCGTGTCCGCCGTTTGTCTTTTGTTGTTCTTCCAAGCTGTTTTTTTTTCGGTTTTTTTTTTTCGTTGATGTTGATGTTGGCGAAGTGGTGTTGATGTCGTCGCTGTCACGTTATTGCCCTGTCTACCGATTAACGGATCTCGCCTCGTTATCGATATGAGTGGCTAGCGGCCTCGTTTTCAATTCAATGTTTTACATGCAGCTGCTGCGTATCGACCTCGAGTTTACCAAGCACCTTGTTGGTTTCCTTCCCATTCTCTTGATGAGCCCATCTTTACCATCCCACAAACTACAAGCACTGCCAATCCAAGGCACAAGGTAGCAGTTATAGTTGAGCATGTTTGAGAAATCTGAGCCGTGAGTGCATATATTTGCATGGGCAAGTCCAGGTATGGAGTACCTAAAAGCTACCGCCCTTGGCGCCTACATGGCCAAATATGCATTGGGCCGGTACTTGGCACACCATGGCCAGGCCCGTCTAGACACATGTAGGAGTACTCGCAGCCTCCCTTTGCGGTCCGTACTTGGAAGTATCTAGGTACCTCTGCCATTTACCCACCCTAAGAATATGGAACGACACCTCAGCCCCAGAGCTTATCGCGAGGAGCACAAGCTCCCCCAGCAACGGATTCTGCAGTACAGTACAGTAGCGCCGCATCCTATCGACTACCGGCCGGCGATTCGCAAACGGCTATGTATAGCAAGTTTGTCCAGATAGTAGATGCTTGCAAGGCCAGGTTGCGAAGCAGGGCTGCCGTGGCTAGCCAGGTTTATACCCGTACAAAGGCTGCTGGGGTGACTTCACAATCGGCTTCCAACGAGGGAGACGCGAGAGGGAAAACAGGGCAGCATCGCCCGCCGCCAGGGATGCTAAAAAGCCGATCCGATTGAACAAGCTCGGCTTGCAAACAGGGACGGAAGTGCGGACAGACAAGTGTGACTGACTCAATGGGGATCCGGACCTTGTCTGTGTGGCTTGCTGCTCGCCTTACGCCCCTCCCCCAAAGCCGCCAGTGAGTTTTGCCCAAATGGATAGCTTGGCTGGATGAGGGAGAGGGGGGGCTGTTTTATTCGACTATGGATCTAGTTGAGAGGAGCCACGACTCAGTCACCTTGGATGATGCAGCTCTGAAGCTCCAACATGTCCTAATCGAGTCGAGCTCTGTTAATGCAAGAGCAGCGTTGACATGGGTTAACTTTAGGTGGCTGAAAAGACGGCCTGTTGCTGATCTGTCACCGCCGTCAGCTCCGCAGAGCCATGGGGAACTTTGGGGTATGGGCTATGCTTCTTTAGACGAAGCAACAGCGTGCTGTAGGTAGGTTTACAAAATCCAGACGGGTGGGCTAGGTGCTGCAGAAGCTGTTCTGCAATGACGACAAGACAGGGTTGGCAGCAGCCTTGGGGAAACGGCGACATTGAGGGCTGTGAACATGTCTTCGGGTCGCAGACTTTGAAGGCAGCAAGCCTCGAGTTGATCAATGTAGGTACGGAAGCACAGAGTACTTGTACATGTACACGCCTCGTGTTTGTTGATATCAGTACGGAGTACGGAGTACGAGAACCAGGCTGGTGTTTTACAAGCTCGGACATTGTATTGGTCGGTGTTCCCACCTCCCACCTCCCTCTTCTCCCACCTCCCGCCTATACTTGTACACGGTTACCAATACCAGAATAGCGGTGGCCCATGCCATGTTTGATATCCATGCATGTTGTCTTTGTTAAGTATTACAACGCCAGCCTGGTGCATCTGCCGTTGGTGTGGCATCGTCGCCATGCAAGAACCGACTTCCAGCCGACAGATGCTCGATGCGCTAGCACTCTTGGACGGGAAATAGCAAACCCGCCGCCATGCTAGTCAGATTCTATATATACTATATATATATATTTACGATACGATACGAGTGCCATCTACAGCACTCGGCACTACATATCTACCTGTAGACACTGCAAAGGGAGTAGCATCGACAGATGCACAACTACTACTACTGGTCGTTAGCCGGCACCCTTGCAACAAGACCACTAACAGGAGCCGTTGCGATGCGGGCTCGCGACACACAACCGCCCAGGGAGGGTCAAAATACGACCGACTGCCTTGGCTTGCATGGCGTGTCACAACGCGGGCTCACATTAGCACAAGTATCTAGGACGCATGCGTATCTGCCACTTATGCGCAGGTAAGGAGGCCAAGTGCGAGGAGCAGGGACAGAGCATGGAGACAAAAGTACGGAGAACGGAGCAGATGCTACATGGAAGCACCAAGTCGAGCCGATCCATGCCAGACTTGACGGGGGTGACACATCTCAAACGGTCAGCCTGATCCAGTCATGATCCAGAGTTGCCGTGTGCTCTGAACAAGCGCACTTCGGATGCAGACAGTCGGAAGACCTTTGCACGCGAGGACCCTGCAAACCGCTGGTCATTGCCGCTTCGGCGTTGGTCCAGTCCGTCCAGTGAGGGCGAGAGGGCAACGCTAGACAAAAAACGAGAAAGCATACGACGAGACGAGGGGAGGATTGTTGAGGAATGAGAGAAATAATCTGTGGCAGGGAAATGGTGAGAAGATGAAATAATTAAAGAGAAG